CCTTGGGTGCTCCTGCCGTTTTCTTTTTCTTTTCTTTTTTTTTTACAGAGGAAGCAACGAGTACGCAGTATGGGGCATTCATGTTTCTCAGCGCCGTGTGTGCATGTGTCTGGCCCTTCTCGTCTCGCCCGTCTCCACCACCATTGTGCCGTAGATAATTAATATCACTTCAGTGATCCTCACAGCCTCACACCCCAACCCCAACCCCAACCCCACGCCCACATCTTCAATCTTCACCTGGCCACGGGCCAAGCATTTGAGAAAAGCCGAGAGTCACCAGCCCCTACCTATTTTCAGGACTCTGGACACAGGTCCCACTCACATCTCGAGGAAGGCCAAGCCACTTGTCGCTTTCTGCTCTAACCTCATTCCCAAATTAAGCTCCCGGCTGTATTACACGGAACGCACAAGATCTCACCATAGCCTATGCTTTGCGCAAGGCCGTGCAGAAACCGAACGGCCGGCTTCTGTCACCGTCTAGCCTTAAAGCCCCTTTCGAATCATGATGACTTCCACTCCTGGACATGAGGATCTCGCCTCGTGAACAGGCCAACAGTCGCGTGGGGCTTTGACATTGAGACACGGGGTCACGACGCACCAAGCAGATGATGGCAATGTGCACGAGATCGGTTGATCAACCTGTGACACAAGAGTGTTATGTATGCGGCGTAATGCCGCCCGGACTTCATCGTTGATATGGACCAGGATACGCTTAGGCGCGATGAATTCAAATGGAGAGATCGACTTGCTTTCGAACATCGACCTGCCTCTACGGTTCGCCCACTCAGAAACTGCGATGAGTGGTTGCGAGTGGGCGAGGCTTTTAATAATTTGGCTGCCTAGCGGCGCACTTGGGCTTTTTCTCCCTGGCTCTGATGCGCCGCCCTCTGGCGGACGATTCTGCGGGCCAGAGGCCTCTAGGTGATTTTACGGCCGAACAATATGTCCGATCTTTTAGAGCCTCTTATGCCTACATAAGGCGCGAGGGGGGTGGGCCGTGGCGCAAATTGTACATCCAGGGCCAAACTTTCCAACCCGGCCTCCATGTGGTCGTCACCAGAAGAACATGATTGCGAACGCCTACTTGAGGCATTTCAGGCAGGCCAATGGGAACTTTCAGAGGACGGAGTTGTGCATACAGTTAATATGATTTATATGGAGTACACATCTCATATATCATCAACGGGAAGTGTTGAAAGTGGGCTTCGTTTTGAGCCTGGACAAATCAAAGCCGGCGTCTCATTTCGAGTAGAAGGTGTGATGATTGGGAATGTCACCCCTTTTGATGGGCGTGGTTACGTATGTCTTCTTGCAGTCCTTCATCATGCAGCTGGCTACCCCGTAGTAAGTCTGGTGTCCCCTTTGTGTGTATGGGGTGTTTCCTGACATGTTCTCCGTGATATTAGAATGAGCCTCCTACTGTCTGGGAATGCTCCCGCTATGACCACTGACCCAAATTGGGATTGTCATGTTGGTCGTGCAACGACGTTGAGCATACATACTACTATCTCAAGCAACTGGACCCTGCATGCCGAGCGGCGTTCCATTGTGGCGGTACCGGCATTGGGGGAAAACAAAAAAAGATACCAACAGCCGACTAAGAGAAAAGAGATCTAACTTATACCGGAGAGAGTGGTATCACCAACTTTATGTGACAACAGACGAGTCCTTGCATTCGGAGCAGTTGGAGCGTTTAAGCTTCACCTCTCTCAAATTCTCAATATCCTTGCGGCATTGGATTCCCCGTGCCTGCGGGACCGGTTTGCACCCCTTGGCCTGGCCATGCTTGCGCGGTCCATGGAGTACGGATACCAGTCAGCGGTTTCTGCTGGCCCCTTGATCAGCTTGTTAGATGCTCGGTTCTAGTAGTAGTACTACTACTCACAACGCGCCCCTGTTTTTAGTTTTGGCTCGTCCATCCGGCTGCTCCTCTACACACACCTCTTTGGGCTACCCTCCGGGATTGTGGCACTAAAAACCTCCACGGTAGTGGTCCTTAGTATAGACAAGGCTTGCCATCCTTTGCTGGCGGCTTGGTCTTCATCGCTTGCCTTAATATCTAAATCCTGTTTTAAGGAGAAAATACCACCAAGTTTCTCTTTCATAACACCCTCAGCTTTTGCTCGCTTCTTTCCAGTTGCCTCCCTCTAGCAACCTCAAACCCTAGATGAGCTTCCCCTTCGGGCGATGCCTGCTCAACAGCCTCGACTCTGCACCGTTGTGTGCAACCATGCCGGCCTGTCGAAATGGGAAAAGTGGCTGTCTCTGAATAACTAAGACATGGCTGCGACCAATGAGCCAATCGTGGCCATGGCTGGTGGCCAGGGCAGGGGAGGAGAATAGCCTGACAGGCCGGCCGAAAAGGCAACAGCCAGCCGGAGAAGATGACAACACACTCCCTCTTGGCCTCCCGTGCCCACGATGGTTGGTGTCCCGCACCAGTCCTGCAACAGTGATAGCAGGCACATCGAGGCAAAGAACGGCTAGCATGGGGCATCACCGGAAGTAAGCCCGCCTCGTGCAGACCGTTTAACCAATAGCGACATGTCCTGGCACCCGCTTTATTTGCATCCTTGTGGGTGATGGAAAGATGGCTTCGATGGAGGCGCACCCGTCAGCCCAACCAATGCCGCCGCTAGTGGAAGGGTCTCCATTTATCCAACTCGGGTTTCTCCTTTGCTCTTAAGCTCGAGACTTTGTCGCCATCGCTCTGCGCTTGATATGGCATCTCCAGACGCATTGACAAAAGTCAGTCGGCCGTGCCTCCCACGGCCTCGGTCACTGTCCGCACCTGACCCATGCAGGACTGGTCCTGATCTTCTGAGGTCTCGTGGCTCTTGCTATGACGCGAGACGAATTGTTTTCGGCCGACACTCTGGGGCGAACTCCTGATACAACCAGCACATTTAGTCTAGACATGTTCTTTGGTGTTGAACACTAATTGGCAACATTGCTTGGGCATTGCGCATGACCGATTTGCCACCATTTTCGGGGGTTGGCTAGAGCGTGGCAATGGCGCGCATTCGTCCTTGAACATCGCCGCCAGCCGCTAGTCGGCAACTACTATCGGCCGAGTCCTCTGACAAGAAACGAACAGCCACATCAGAGATTGCCGGCTTGTCCAGCCCTTTTTCTAGTCGTCTACCCTGCATAGGCGGAAGATGGAAGCGAGGCTAGAGAATCCAGCTGCCGTATTGCGCGAAAACGTGGGTTCCGTTGGGTGTATTTCATAACTGGTCATGTTGTAGCCACTTGTGTCTCTGGCGGGGGAGGTTCAAATACCTCGCTCGCTTCACGGTTTGGCTGGCCATGATAACGGCAGCGTCCACGTCCACGTCCACGTCCACCGGAAGACTTGCCTTGCGGCGTCACCCATTTTTTTGTGGTTCTATACCGGTACGCGGTAGTCAACTTCTAGAAGAATTGCGGGCCTTGGAGTTGGCTTTCCTGGTGGTATCGGAGCATTCTGCCTCCAACTGTTTAACACACACTGCTGGTTCGTCAGGGACCGGAATGTGCGCTTGAGCCATGAGGCTTGTGAAGCTCGAGTTTGTTAAGAGACTAACCATCCTTCGACCCACCGACACCCCTGCCGTGTCTTGTCTCCGTCTTGCGTCGTGCGTCGTGCGTCGATTTCCTGTTGCACTCCTCAGGCCCATGCCGAGCAAAAGTAATCACTACCACGGAGGTCTGGTTGCTGTCTGTTCTGTGACAGACACCCGCTCGGCAGACTCGCCCACCCTCCCCACGGCTCGTCACCGGTACATGGCTTCTGACACTGTTGCCCCCTTGGCCTTGAACCGACCAGGAATATTTTCGTCTCCTCTTCGGCAAACGGTCGATAGGTTGACATGACGGGGCGTGTCAAGCATGTAATATTTGCCTCCCATGGGGCAGCGCGAAACGAAGGACCTTTCGTCTGTGTGGCCCCTCGATCTCGTACTGCACCCATGATGATGTCTTGGCCCCATGTCCCATCCCACGGTAGCTCTTCCCGTGCTGTCGGACTTGATCTCGCCCCCAACGTAACCGTCCATCTGCCATGGGCAGCATTTAGGGCTTCCAAGTCCCCTTATGCTTCTGGGGTAATTCATGGTTTCTGCATAACAAAGACAATTGGCGTGCCAAGAACTGGCAGAGGCACGGATTCACATTGCACATTGAAGAGTGTTTTGTCTTTACATTTCGCCTCCTGGGAAATCGTGTCGTTGTCGCCTCACACGGTCCACGAGGTTTGGGTTTCCTGCTAGGCCGGCCCCCTCTTGATATTACTACTCGCCTTCCAAGAACAGACGCCTACACAAAGGAGGACTTAGCTCTGCTCCTCGATGGACGAAAGATTGCAGAGACGGATCGATACTAGCCCAGTGGATGGATGGGCCAAGAGCCTGAGCCTGAGCAGCCTGAGCCTGTTTAGTCTCGTTTTGCTCCATGACCCTAATTGCAATTACACACACTACGCTGGGCTTGTTCCCGTTCCTGGCTGTTAACACCGGCCCTGGCACTCGCATCCCAAATGTACCCAGGTCAGTGCCGGGCCTTTTAGGACACACGCCCCTCCACAGAATCCACAGAGTCCACAGGCATCTGCCGTCCTGGGGGGGGATCCATCGGGATACAAGTAGTATACTACTCGCCCGCAACTTGATCTGCAATTCTACAACCACCATACTTACATCTTTCCTTTATCCAAACTGCCAGCCGGTGCTACTTGAACCTGCCTTACGACTCGGCCCGTGTAAAGCTAAAGGCCACACGCTGTCGCCGTTTCATCCGTCACGGTCCAAGTTCAAACCTAAAATCATCTCAAGGCGGTTATATCTGCTCCCGCCCTTGGGCTCTTATCATTACGCCTTCCTCATCACCGGCATAAAAACCCCGTCTTTCCCAGGGTCCTGTCCTAGTGGTAATTCATCACTTTTGGCACAACCTGTTCTACAAGGCATTTGTTGCAAAGACATGTGCTCATGATGACTACGGCAGCATACCCAGCAGCTACCATGACCGAGCTCCGAGGAGAACCTGCTCATTCAAGTCTATGGTCAAATTATGGCGCCTCTTCACACTTGCCTACCCGCCTTGGAAGCATGGACTCTTCTATCCATGGGCACTCGCAACCACATCTCTCGGCTCGACCCCGAGGCGAGTTGGACCAGCCCTACTCGTATAACCGATATTCCCAGGATGAGCCCGCCTCTTACGACCGTCAAAACTCTTATTCTAGTCTGAAACGGTCCTTCTCCCAAACCGAGCCACCAGCCTACCAGGAAATAGTTCATGATATGAGGGACGATGGCTCGCGACTCACCGTGAATCAGGACCACAAGTTGCTTTCCTTCCGACGCTCGCAAGACAAGTCCACCATTGTCGATCAACAGGGCCGTGTACAGCAACTTGAACTGTCTGCTCAGCTCCATGGCATGTTCTTTCTATCCGAGATGCCTGCGAGCAGCAGTGATGGCTCTGTATTGCAGCCTGAGCTGACTTGCTACCGTCGAAACCTGTTCCAGATCAGTGGTTCGCTGGTCATGCCACGAGGACAGCTCTCTGTGGTTACCGAGTCCAACGAAACGCTCTCCGTCAGTAACATGGAAGTAGCTGTGTCTGCCATCGAGTCTGTAGATGGCAATCCTGTACGACTCATCGTGATTCCCTGGAAGACTCCTCCACCCAACTCTCCCGAAATCAGCCAAGGCCCGGACCAGGAGCCGTCTCCGTTGCCTCTGATTCCATTCCAGGAGGATGGAAACGACAACGATGGAGACTTTGCCGTCTATCCCATCGGCTGGCGTCGACTTCAGTTCAGGATGTAAGTAACCGCTATGCATGACAGTCGTGGTGGACAAGTGGATTCGGTCTTCTAACACAACTCTAGCGCCACGGCCAACAATGGCCGTCGAAAGGAGCTACAACAACACTTTGTATTGCACCTCAAGGTCCATGGCACGCTCTCTGACAACTCCAAGGTTGTATTGTCAGAGTCCATCACCGCTCCGATTGTGGTCCGTGGCCGCAGCCCACGCAATTTCCAGGCCCGCAAGGAAATTCCTCTTCTTGGCTCGAGCGCCGGATCGCGAGGTCAGGCGCTGGTGGAGACAGGATTGGGTGTTGTCGCCAGCGCTATTAATCTCAAACAAGACGGGAAGCCTAGGAGTATGGATATGCAAGTCCCCAGATCGGCGTTTACGTTTAGCCCCCCGAAACCTCACAACCCAAGCATCAATCCCATGAGATCCAAGTTAGTAGCCAAAACCCCATAGTATGGACTTCTTTTTTTTTTGCGCTAGTCGGCGGGAATGAACTAACTTGTGTATCCCAATACAGCTCATACCCTTCTTGGAACTCCCAGGTCCCCTCATCAATGGCACCTGATTCGTATTCAAAGCTGCCACTCTCCGGATCCTCGGGATTTGCTACAGAGACACAAGAGTTACCGTTACAAACTTCGATTGGATCTTCGGTGCCGTTGCCACTGGCGACTGCAGATCAACCCCAGCCTGGTATACGATCTCAGTATAATTATACCACGACGTCGACCCCACAACTCCCTGGTAGCACGGTTACTTTGGGAGGAGACAGTGGTTTCAGCATGCCACGATACGTTGACAGCAATCCGAGGCCTTCCAAGAGCCCCCGGCACCAAGGCCACCAGTCTGTTCATAGCAATGGATCCATCCACAATACGGAAGGCCCAGACTATCGATACAATGCTTTCCGTGGTATTTCAAACGGCGTAGGTGATGTCTCGCCAGGTGGCAGCGCAGCCCCGTCAAGAGATTACTACCCTCCCGCTCATACATGGACAACTACGGCTGCAGAGTCTAGTTCGAGCCTCTCTTATGCCGGCAATGATGGCAGATCTTATTCAGGAGTGCCTCCACTGAAACACGAACCTGCGCCCTACAGCAACAGCGCTCGTGGCTCATTCGATACAATGAACAACTACTCGTGGACAGCTGCTTAGATTCTACGGATTCCCTGCAAGATAGTTCATGATATGTCTATGATATGTCTTGCAACAAAATCCTTCAAGATGCCCTGAACAGTGGTAGGCTGGGGTCTGGTGGAGTAGAATGCAATCCGCAGCAAGCCATCAATTTCATTTTGACTAAACATAATGTACTATATTCACTACTATTACTACTATTCACCATCTGCGTTGCTTGGCGCTGTGGACGCTAGATACCCGCAATTGGGGAGCCCTGGTTTGACCGTTTTTGATGCAAAACGGCCCAAGAGACCGCAGCCTGACCCTTTTGCATGGAGCAAGGCGGTTGGACCAGGGACGCCTCCGATCTACATATGTTATATGAATCAATCAAACCTGTTTGACGCTGTATGGAACAGTCATATCTGACAGGTTGACAAGTTTGTTGATTTGGTTCGGTTGGGTTTTGCCGGAGTTGCATGGGCGCGCGTCCTGAGCATGCAGGCGAGACCCACTACTTCGACGTATATAACTGCATTTTTTGAGTACATTGCATTAGCATGGCCGGGATAGGCTCTTTGGTGGCGTGAGGTATGGTCTGATAGGGGGATTGATTGGGGATTGATTAGGGACATGTTCTGGTTTAATGAGCCATGGGGACGGACGGATTCGACGACAGACGCCGAGGCCGCACCACCCGTGGGCTGGCGTCGAGTTTTATTACTAGTTTTTTGCCCGCTAATATTTGCCTTGACGGCGGCGCTATAGCGATCAGAGGCTTCTTGGTTTTTTTTTTTTCGCATCTTCATTTCTTTTTTGTTTACCTTGCCCCCCCTGCCCCGTTCGGCACTGCAATGGGGTTGTATTTTCTCTCGCATTTAGCTAGCTTTTTTTAGAATTATCCCAGACATGCACACATTAGATACCAGAAATTGTCAAGGTTCTTGTGTTATGCGGCTTGGGGCTCTGGATGTTGTGATGTTTGATTTTGAAGTGATTATGCTTGGCCACGATGAAGTCGAGCGATGGTCTGTTAGCGCGCGGCAGTTATCTCGCTACTAATAATAAGCAAGTGGAAGCAGACGGAGGGCGCTTGCTGGTCTCATCCCGACCGGACGCCTTCCGTTGGTCGTGTGCGATAAGATAAGCAAATGGCCCCAACTCACTTGGAGGCTTGAAGTGGGACCGAGGCAGGTTGGTGGAACACTGAAACTTCATCCACGAGCCCAAGACGACTTGCTCACGAGTCACGAGCCACAGCCCGCGTGCACAAATCGAGGGCCACTGGTTCGCTATCAAGGTGTTCAATCTTAATTTGCGTTGCAGAAATCGCACACTTGTCCTGGCTGGTTCCGAGCTTGACTACAATGTTTGAGCTGCCCGAGGCAAAGAGGTTCGCATTGCTCACGGGGACCTTCATCCTGGAGACTGTGACTGATATCCGTGCAGGGTGCGCCGGGAGGATTTGAACAATGATCGTGATTCATCATGGAGTGGCAGTGGAGACGAGGGCATCGATCTAGACTTGCAGGCGAGGCTGAATGCGCAGATCGCCAAGACACTGGGCATGGATGTTCATGAGCCGGCGCCTACAGCTTCAAGTTCCCACGCAAAGCCTCATCTAGCACTCCCAAATCCTACCGAGGCCACCAAAGAAGGGGACGGAAAGCAAAAGGTCCAAGAAAATTCCGACGAGGACCTGGGCGAGTTCGACTTCCGGCTCTTCAGCACGGCTGGCGCGCCGGCCAAAGTCGTCCTGGAAGATGACACCAGGCCTCTTGGAGAAGGCGCATTGGTACATCGACGACCTCCGTCATATTACTTGGTGCGAAATGTATCCGACAGCAAACGGCGAGAGTACTTGGCTGCAGCAGTGACTGGAGAAGAGGTCGTCGAGCGATCACACTGGCCGGCGTGGGGAATGGAGTTGCCATGGAAAGTGACAAAGGTGACTATCGTGAGAAGGGCAAAAGCCGAGGACAACGAAAAGATGGAGGGAGTGGTGACGGGGCAGGAGAACGCAAAGACGAGAAAACGGCCGGGGAAGAAGAGGCGGATTGCGGCGCGGATGAAGACGAAAGCCAAGAGGGAGAAGGCTGATATTGCGGTGAAGAAAGCGCTGGATAAGGAGGAATATTTAAAGGAGAAGAAGAAGAGGCTGAACCGGTTGAAAAAGATAAGGAAGAGGGCGAAGAAGAAGGCGGGCAAGGCAGACGGGGAAGAAGATGGCCAGGACGACGCCTCGAGTGGAAGCGGTGGCGAATAGGGCGGGCTAGAAGAAGATATTGGTGATGCAACGGCACTTGTTAACTGGTCATAAGCGATTCGCACAGATAATGCAATTGTTTCATGCCGTTGGAGCCTGTAGATAATCGTCGCGTATAGTGTTACGGTGAATCGAATACTGGGATAGTGCAGTCCGGCTCAGGACGCAAGATTGCTTTTAAACCTGCAAGGGGAGAGCCTAGAATGAGATCAATTAATTGATGGATGAATAAATTACTAGCAAAATATAGTAAATAAATAAACAAACCACTTGTGTCTCGCTCCGTCCTTGATGGATGTCTGTTTGAACGATGCATTTGGCTGCGCTTGTTAGGTTCGTGCCAGCCAATGGGGATGCTTCCTCCATGTCCGTACCTGCCACTGCCAGCCTGAACCCCCGCCAACCACACCAACCCAGAGCTAAAGCTTCGCTCAAAAACGTAGGCCCCTCAGATCGATAGCCACGCGAAAACAATCTTCAACCTTGATCAACAAAACCCACGAATTCGAGCGCCTGGTTGAGGTGGGACAAATGGACTGAAGCTCACACAGCGCACAACAAACCGGTGGACGGGACGCGCAATGCGCCAGGAACGACCGAGTTACGACATCACCGCCTAACCTCCCTGCTCTCGTCAGTGTCACCACCACAAGCCATGTGGCCGACTCCCAGATCCGTTCCCGAGGAGACCTCTGAGCCCCCGAGGCCGACAGACGATGTAGCAGACACGGGAGAAGTTGCTGAAGGCGGAATGAGGGCCGAACAACTGAATAAACCCCCTGTACCCGTGCCGCCGTCAAGACCAGGCCTGCAGCGAAATGCAATGCCTTCTGGTTTTGCAGCGGCAGCAGCAGCAGCAGGACCAGGCCAGGCCAAGCTGAAACAGCAGCCTCAGCAGCCTCAGGGCCCGGCACCTACGGACTCTCTCTCACTGCTCCAGCTCCGCCGCATTGTCGCCGAAGTGAATCGCGCCGAGCCTGTTGCCTACGACTTTGTCTACTCAGACATGGGACCGCATGCCGAGGAGATTGACGAATGGTTCGTGTACCAATTCTGGCAGTGGGTTCGCTTGAATGCTGCTCAGAAGGCATTCGAGTGGCACTGGAACAATGATTCTGACGGCCAGCATTCGTGGGACGATGCGGATCACGACACACGGGCCAAGTTTATACAGGCCGCCATTGCGGGAGTGCAGTCCAATGACGCGGCGTTGCGGTCTGCGTCAATAGGCAAGATTGTATATCTTGTTTTGGGCCGTTGGGGAGACACGGCTATGCCGAATGCACCGGTTGGAGGCAGCCGGTCGATTGCTAGTATACCCCAGCTGCAGGCCATCAAGGCCGGCGTGGAGTGTTTGGCATCGTTGGAAGGATTGCCGGTGATTTGGGAGGCGCTGAGAAACTGTTTCGAGTTGCATTGGTAAGGCGGCGACTCGCAGGGCCGTGTGAAGTGAACGGGCGATTTGCTGACTTGTTGCAGGTCTGGAGACATCCACCAACAGGCAAGCCCGCAGGAGGCACAGGACGAGTTGATGAATCTGATGACCATTATGTATATTGCTATTCAGGAAACGCTGAACGACCCCGACGATATGTCTTCGTCGTACAAGGCATTGTGTAAGTGGCTTGGTGTGGGCTGGTGTTGATTCATTCATGTAGGTAATGACTAACGCTGTTGGTGGTTTAGTGGAATTGAATCCGTCTTTGGTGGATTTTATGTTGACGGCTACTTCTAAACTGCGATGGGATGAGCAGAATTTCATGCCGCTTACACAGGTGATTGAGACGTGGCTGGGGGTTTGAGGGCTGCGTTGCTAACAGACGCGCAGATATTCCTCTTGTTCTGGAAAACCATCTTACTAGTATTTGGCGGCACGCGAGATCTAGCAAAGGTCAAGGAGGCCCTGAGTGAGATAAGAGAGGGCATGAATAAGGAAACAATCACAGCCTCGCCTCTGGACTACCATGTGTTCCGACAAGAGATCACATCCAAGTATCCAGCATATGTCCCTCCGCAGCCTCTAATACCCCTAGAAGACGAAACCACATCGATCCTACCACCCATTCCGAACCACCCAGCACGAAACAATGGCTCAAATGGAATTATTGCAACCCCCGCACAGCTGCAAGCCGGTGGTGCCTCCATTTTAAACCAGCCAGTTCACATCGCCACACCTGCACCATCCCCCCCGCCTTCACCCGGAGTCGGTGGAAAAGCAGGCAAGAAACAGAATTACCAAACAAATCAAAACTTCCCCTTCATGTACCCACCCCTAGATGCCACTAGTAACAGCGCTGGCGGAAAGGGCATGGCTGGCATTGACAACTCAATCGTGAGTCGGCGATGGGAAGGAAGCGATATTCCCGCTTCGATTCTTGAGGCTGGCGAACTCTTCTCCACCAGGGTGCGGATGACGCGCGCAACACGGCAAATGTGGGAAGAGCGAGAACGCTTCCTCAAATTTGAGCGCGGATGGACGGAGAATGACGAGGATGAGGATGAGATTGAGGATCTCGACCTCAATGAGTTGACGTTGGAGGAGAGAGAAGTGCTCAAGGAGATAAAGGCCGAGGAAAAGACAACAAGACATGTACACGTTCCGGAGCCCGAGGTGGATTACGGACCACACCCGGAGAACCTGTCAGAAAGAGATAAGCAACGATTAATAGCGGTGGAGAGATTCTACGTAAGTGCTCGAACAGAGAGAGAATGTGGATCATCATTTGCTGACCGCCCTTGTATCAACAGAAAGAATCGTTGCCTCATTTGCAGTCACTCGTTATTGTCCTATTACGGCCAATCCTGGTCAACGTCACCGCCATTGTAGCGCAGCAAGCTAGCCAGATGCCCAATGGTATGGCGGGTAGAGGTAATAACCCAGGAATGAATGGCGGCCCGGTTGGACCAAGGCCGCCAGAGATTCCGGGACAGATTGCCGCACAGGAAGAGCCCGAGCCCTCACTCGAGGAAGTCGACGCCGCCAGGACGAGAGAAATCACGTCCAAGGCCATGACTGGGATTCTTGTGCTACTTCTCAAATGGCTGAGGATATCTCGTAAGATGCCATGGTGTTACCTCTTGTTGAGCCCCCCCCACTGACCTTGTGCAGACGTTCTCAAGTTTGAGTATTTCACGCAACTACTTTTGGACTCCAATTACGTCCCACTGGTGTTGAAGCTTTTTGCCCATCAGGATGTTCAGCAGGTAGTGGACAGCAAAATGGATCGAGTAGAGAACAGGTAGGGGACTCTCACCAACAAAATGAACAGCAGTCCTCGTTCTAACGAGCCAATAGCTTCTTCCAGTTCTGTAATCTGCGCTCCAAGCTCAAGGACAAGGCCGACAGTGACTTGGAAATTGAGGACGAGGAAGAAAGAGAAGACGCCGAGGGCGAGAACAAAACAGGGCAGCAGATGCAACCCGACTCCGAAGATGACAGTGAAGACGACGCTGTGCCCCCACCCATCAAACGCAGACGATCCCCGGCTAGGGATCTTGATCCCGAAGAGGAAGACGAAGGTGAGGCCAGCGACGATCAGGCCTCAACGCGACCTGAAGTCGACGAACTCGGGTACCCCGTCAACCCTCTGCCGGAAGAACCCATCACGGATTTTTCTCGCCGCAACTTCTTCTCCCTCATCAACTACCTCCGCGTCCTCCAAAAGATTTGCAAAAACAAATCCCACCGCAACCTCCTCCTCGTACAGTACAAATCCTCCACCATCCTGCGCAAGTCCCTGCGGGTTCCGCAGCCCGAGCTGCGGCTATACACGCTCAAACTCTTCAAGAACCAGGTCCCCTACTGCGGACGCAAATGGCGCCAGTCAAACATGCGTGTCATAACGGCCGTGTATCTGCACTGTCGCCCCGAGTTGCGGGACGAGTGGCTCGCCGGGAGCGATGTGGACGCCGAGGTGGATTCGGCGCTGCCGCTGGAGCAGGCCCTCAGGAGCCTGACGCACTGGCTGAATGTGCGGCGGTATCCTGATAAGATTGCGGCGGATATACGGACGGCAATGCGGGAGGAGCAGGACTTTTTCACCAGGGAGTTGGAGAAGATTGACGTAGGGTGGGGGGATGAGGCAGAAGCCGGCGGCGAGCTGGATCATGTGGAGGGGTGGGCTTGAGTAGCCGATGCGTTAGCGAAGAAGTATGGGATTATATCTTTTGTTGGGACGCATGTATGCTAGGTTGGGGAGTTGGAGCACACAGCTTATCGGGTCTGCATGACCTGGAGTGATGGCGGTTGTGAGCACCGCCCATGGCCAAGCCTGTGTTGATACGAAACGAGACGTCGTTATGGTTCTGCCCCATGATGCAATTACCAAGCGAAAGACGCCCCTGAGCATTCAGCCGCGTGTTACCCACGATAGTACAGTACAGAACAGTGTATATTAGTAACAAGTGTCAGGTCATGGCTCGATTCATTACGTAGTACAGCACCAAAGCCAGCCTCATCAAAAACGACAAGGACGTAGCGAGAGGCAACCCCCGCTAAGTCGGGGTATCACAGCAATCCACCCACACGGCATTCCTCCCCCTCTCCCTCCCCCCTTCCGAAGCCCTATCCTTTCAGGAATCGCTCGCTTCAAGCACGCTCGTAAATGCCATCCTCATACTTGTAGTTCCTGGCCGGCGCGCCACTCGTCTGCGGCGCCGTGTGCCAGCCCCCCGTCGTGCCGTGCGTCTGGAGCCCGTAGCCGCCCTCCTGCTTGTAGTAATCAGCAGGGCCGTCGTGGTTCACGGCCGTGTTCTCGGTGCCGTAGCTCTGGCGCGTGTGGTCCAGCTGATCCGGGAGCGTGTGCTCCGGCAGGCGGCTCGCCTCGTCCAGCGGCGCGGCATCCTTGTCCCGGCGGAAGCGGCTGAAGAAGCCGCGCCTCGCGTAGCCCGAGGTGTAGTTGTTGCCGGGGGAGGGGCCGAAGCGCTTCTCCTTGCGGTGGTGGCGGACCAGGGCCACCTCCATGAGCATGGAGAAGATGAAGAAGATGCTGTGTGGCACTGTGAGCGTGGTTTCATATTCTGGGGTTTGATGCTTGTCTTACATTGCGATGATGGCAACGGCCATGCTGGCGGTTTGCAGGCGGCACGCGGTGTGGAAGCTGGGCAGGGCGGTGAAGCCGTCCGTGATGCCTGGGGCCGTGGCGTCGGACTGCCCCTGGCCAAAGGGCGTGTCGACGTAGCCGGAGCAGCTGCCGGCGCCGTGCTTGTTCACGACGGCCACGTAGACGAAGCAGCCGATGAAGCAGAAGTCGAGGACGATGGCGACGAAGGAGGTGAATGCGAAGCCGGCGACGCAGCAGAGCAGCAGGAGGCCGAGGAGCGTGTAGAGGGCCGCGGCGCCCGAGATGCCCGTCACGGCGCGGACCGACGTCTCGATGGGGAGGTTGTGGTTGTGCAGCGCCGCCAGGAAGTAGGCGTAGATTCCGAGGATCAGGGCCGCGCAGAGGAACTGGATGCCGCGGATGAACCACTGCAGGAACTTGAGGGCCAGGCCCGATTTTGCGCCCATGGTGACGAACCGAGGGGGGCTGCGGACGAGTCGATGGTGGTTGGCTGGTGGTTGTTTAGGTGATGGTGTTTTCGATATCCGGGGCGAGAGGAATTAACGATGCTGGAGTGGTTGGCGGGGATGCAGAAGTTGATGCCCTGGCGTAGGATGAGGATTGGAGGAAGCAAGTTTTTAAACGTGACAGCGTGTATGATGCAATGCTGAGACGAAAGGGCCACTTCCGTGCCGATCGAAATGGAAGTGCGTTTCAAGTGCCGGCGCAGAGGGGAAAAGCAGGGACCAGCGGTTCATGGGTCCGAAATTCAGGATTGTTTCTTGGATTTGTGGCCTTCTTCACGCTGCCTTGCATCATTTGCCTCCACGTGCTGCATTAAGCGAGCTGCCTCCCGGAAAATCAAGCGCTAGCAAGGACATTTTATGGCGTCTGGTCCCATTTGATGGCCGTGATTGTCGTCATGTACCTTGGACCTGGGAGCATGACGACAACAGCTGTGGCTGGTGGGGCGCTGATGTCGTCAAATGGAGGGGGAATCAGCAGTCTGTGGACATGTCATTGGTTTGTGGCGCCGTCTGCCATAGCCACAGCCACAGCCACAGCCATGTTGGGTGTTGGTCAGAATTAGCTCAGATGGGGGTTAGGTAGTGGTGGTAGTTGACAATGAGTTGGATAATGACGTGGCGGGAATTGTTGTAGTTGAGATTGGGTTCGAGAATTCTTTAAAGAGGTGCAAAGACAATTTTTGTCTTGGATATTAGCATCTATCCTGGTATGGCTATAAATATCTTGCAATTGTGCCAGCCAAGACTGAGACAACGGCATTGCCCGCGGTGGGACACGTGAAACAAGTTGATTTACACGGCCATTGTTGGTAAGACGGATGCGAACTTGAACTCGTCAACGCAAAGCAGACGATGAGTCGGTTCGACATCTTCAGCGTTCCATGAAACGATAGATAACAGTGCCTGATTCACTTGGAGCTGTGAATAACTATTGAGAAGCATTGGCATTATGCACAGCACGCAGGACTTCTCCGAGCCACACTGGGCCGTTTCCCTCCATTGGGTACGCCACCCGATTGTCAATTACGAGCATAGGCAACCGCACACGCGAACGTAATCCATATGCTGGTAGGTATCAATGACTGAACAAGCCAAATATTTGAGCCCACCGACGCACTATTGGCAAGAATAAAGGGGAAAAAAGAAAAAAAAAGTCAAAGAGTCCAAAAGGTAACAGTGCGGGTGAGATTGCCTGGCCGGTAATATCAAATCAGCATCAGCTTGCTGGTCGTGAGACATTCGCCAGACGGGAATCAAGACACGGAGAGGCAAGCTCGGTAGGACATAGGTCGATATAATCCAAAAATAACATGACTATCGACTCACAATGCATCCGAGTACAGCCTCGTCGCCAACGTTCCATTGTTCCCGGGTAGAAAGTCTTCATTATTGCCAATGATGCGGCAATTGCATCGTGGCCTGGCCACCTGAGAAAATCTAGATTCAGCAATTTCCAATGTTTGCGAAAAAAAAAAGCATCCATAACGGAAGCGGACCGGTGCGCAAAGATCCCTTCAACCCTTGTACCTCTCGAGTATACAGTAGAACGGGTCAACTTGCCGTTCAATGCCCTTGACCTGCGCCATGCAGGTGAGAGTAAACATGTGTCCGCGGAGAGGAGAAGGTAGGGGCGTGATTCTTCCGTTTCCATGCACCATGCAATCTCGGCAGGCTATGCCTGTGCCATTTCCAAGTTCCCCAGCAGACTCTGTGCAGACATCGGCGCTGATGAAGTCCAGAACGGGCAGAGTAGCATCCAGGCACCCATTCCAGAAGCTGATGTCGACAATGGGCAGGGCCTAAATGGGGTTCGTTAACACGGGGAGCCGCTTTTGGCCCCCAAGCTGAGGGCCTACATGCATATTGTTGTATGTACATCTCACCTGGCTCCGCGATGCCAAATGGGCTGTCAACGATTGGTCTAGTCGTCGGCCAATCTTGCACCGCCAGCTGAGACGCCACACCGGTTGTTGCGTACGATAATTAAGAACGCCGTGGCGACGTTTATCTGCTGGAGCCGAGAGCTGGTCAGGAATCAGGATTCTCGGCCACAAGATGTCAGGTTCAGGCCTGCCAGGGGCGAGAAGCGGGGTGAAAAGCAACGAGTGAATAATAATCGGGCAGGAGCCACCCGCCAGTTCAGGGGTGGCGGCGTTGATGTGAGATGGACATGTGGGCGCACAGAAAGACAGAAGCCGCCAGGCCGTCAACGACCGAACTCCGCACCGGGTAGTAGTACTACCAGACAGTCCACCAACCTTGGTCGACGCCACAACACCAGCCAAGCACCGTCGTTTATCGTCATATGATGTTACGCGACTCACTCCTGTCGGTAGCAACGTCAGCTCGTCTCCGAGGACGAGAAATCCCAACCGTAGGAGTGTCCCTCGGCCGCTGAATGGCAACATGTATGTTCTACCTTGCCTGTGCTCTCCCACCTTCCTCTAGGCACGTGACAACTTGTAATCTTGCCTAGGTAGGCTTTCATGATCATCGGAATAGTAAACACGGACTCTAATACGGAGTAAGGAATTCGGAGCAGTGCGCTAGAAGACCGGATCAAAAGCCGGAACCTCGCAGGCACACAGGCTCAGCGCCCACGTTGCATCGAACCACGCCAAAATCGTGGCAAGTGGGTGGATCGGGTTGGTGGAATTGGACGAGCAAGGGAAGACGAACAAGGGCCGTCGTGCGCACCATCAGATTTGTTCTTTGTTCAACGTCTCGCACGTTTTGCTCTCTGCGGAGAATATTGTGTTGTACCATGTCAGTACCGTGACCTGGCTCTGCATTCTCATGGGTAGCACAATCCGTACACCATTGGCTAACAACTCTGATCCAGCAGACGCCTTTTATCCCATGGTGCACACCTGCAACTGCATCTAGGAAGCGGTGATAATATGGACAAAGCAACAGAACCCCATGCCAAGTCCGTACGCAGCCCACCTGCGTTAACATGGTGTTGCTGATTTCCATGCAGCTTGCAGGACACAGCAGCGCCAAGCCAGTCAACTGCAAGCGAAGGCACGCAGCATCAACGTCTATATTATGTGGATGCAATATCTTGGGAGGCACAGACTGGCAGTATCATCAGGCGTGGTTCGGCGTGATCCAGCACGGCCGTATGTAGTGCGTGGGCCTAGACAAATCATAAACGGTCTGTATCCAATGTATTGGCATCCACGACGACTCGATGGCATCCATCCGCTTCCTGGAAAACGGTGAGGAACAACCTCTGATAATTTCTTACCCCTACAGGGCGAGCCTACTGAGGTTGTACAGTCATCGGTTAGCTACCCAGGTGCTCTCTTGTCTGTCTAGCTGGGCTGACCACGTCGTGGAACTGCAGCCCGAGACGAATACATGACCATGGAAGCAGCAGGGATATTCGGGACTGCGGCTGAGCGGCGGCGAATGGTAAATTGGATAATCCGGCACAGGACGCCACGACCCCTGGGCGACTAATGCAAACGCCGCCAAAAATACGAGGCCCATTCCAACCAGACTAGGCTGCGTTTGAGAAATGGCACATCGCCAATTGGTACAACCTGCCTCCACTCTTGGGACGCTTGTTTATTCCGCGAGGCATGCAGGGCGCCTTGTCGTTTCTTGTGAGAGCTTGCAGTTCTCAGGCTTGGGTGAGCGCCTGGACCGCGCCGCCATGGCCCGTGGCTCCATGACCGATTTCCAATATGCATTGCATAGAGACATCGGGCAATGCCCGGCCGCTTTTTCGTACTCCTTGAGTCCTCCATGCTTTAATGCGTGTTCAGCTTTTCTTTTTGTGCTGTGTTTTTGGAAGTTCATAAATCTCCTGCGTCCTCGCCTTCCGGTCATGTTTTGAAGACCGCTGTCCTTCGTTTGTAGACGCTCAGCGACATTGTTGGGGTTGGTCATCACCTTTGCTTTTGCCCTTTTGCTTTCGCCGTGGCCACCAGTTTCTGTGATCCTACGGAGTAGAGGCCGCGGAATCGCGAGCTTTGGCCAACGGGAAACAGTCCTCTCTTATCGGATTGCGGAATTGATACTTCAAAGTCCTCGATAATCTCCAAGAACGCATCAAAATGAAGACCTCCCTTGTGTTGCTAGGCCTTCTCAGCCTGGCTGGCCCAGCCTTGGCTGATCCGACCTGGCCCTCCAGCATCGACGAATTGGAGGAGATCATGTATCAAATCAACTCTTTCCGGGCTCGCAAATTTGCTGATACTGTCAACCCATGCACCAACGAAGCCTCGGGTCCCGGTCGCCGCAATGCTGCAGAGTGGCTACGATCCGCCTTCCACGACATGTCAACGGCCAACACCTTCTTCAAGACTGGTGGTCTTGATGGTTCCCTGCAGTATGAGTTGGACAATGGTGAGAATACAGGTCCAGGCCACAGAACGACCATGAATTTCATGGGACCTTATGTCACTCGCCGTTCTAGTCTCTCCGACTTGATTGCCATGGGGGTCTATATGTCTGTTCGTTCATGCGGCGGCCCAATCATTCCCATTCGCGCTGGACGTATAGATGCTGCCGCTGCCGGTGCCTTGGGTGTTCCCCAGCCTCAGAACTCGGCAACCATGTTCCAACAGCAGTTTGAACGCATGGGTTTCAGCACTGAGGAAATGATTCAGGCTACGGCCTGCGGCCACACTCTTGGTGGCGTTCATCAAGACGAATTTCCTGATCTCATGCCAGCTACTGGTGTAGTCAGTGGCAATGTAGCACTCGATTCTACTGATGCCGTCTTTGACAACAAGGTTGTTACTGAATACCTCTCTGGAAACACCTCCAACATGCTCGTCGTCGGCCCCTCGGTCAAGATTAACAAGAACTCGGACTTCAAGGTTTTCAATGTGGACGGAAACAAGACCATGGAGACTTTGACTGACGCCAACAATTTCAAGGCCGTCTGCCAAAAGGTCCTTCAAAAGATGATCGAGGTGGTTCCTCCAACCGTCACCCTTACCGACCCAATTGTCCCCTACACCGTCAAGCCTGTCAACCTGCAGCTTAGTCTGACTAACGGCGGCACTGGTCTTCAATTTACCGGGTTCATTCGTGTCAAGGTCACTGATCTCCCAAAGGACAGCATCAAGAACGTGGTCATCACTTACAAGGACCGCAAGGGCAATGCAAACTGCGGTGCGAGCTCTTGCACCATCACGGCCACTGTTCAGGGAGTTGCGCAAGGCTTCGACGACAACTTTAACTTTTACCCCATCGAGGCCGTCATTCCTGCTGCGTCGGGTATCTCGTCCTTCACAGTCACCGTGAACAATGCCGACGGAACGAGCAAAGCCTACGACAACAACGGCAACGGCTATCCTCTTCAGGATGATATCTTGTTCCAGGCCCCTCAGAGCTGTGTCACTGGCAGCTCTGGCGCCCTTACCGTTGTCGCTGCTGTTCGCAATGATGTTGCCAGCAATGGTGCCCAGGCTAGCATTACCTACAAAACGCCGCAGACCAACAGTCCCGTCGCCCTCTTGAACAATGCCACTGTCCCTCTTCAGAAAGGCGCCTGTCTTGGCAAGTATACCCTTTTCTCGGGCCAGTACACCATTCCCGGTGGCATGCCTTACCAGTCTCGGGTTGATGTTATTTCTGGAAGCAAAGCCGACACCTTTAAGGCTATCACCGATATTGGCGGAACTTGCACCGCCTTTCCCAACCCTGGAGCCTGTGATGCTGTTGACCCTCCAGTTAACTCGACCACCACGACGACAACTCCCGGTTCTACGGCCACGACCACAACCACAACTTCTATAGTGGCGCCCGTCACTCCTACCCACCGTGCCACTGTTGCCGGCTATACTCACGTCTCCTGCTGGAGCGAGGGTGTCGGCGTCCGAGCGCTGGCTGGCACCTCTTTCGCCAACGACACCATGACCCTTGAGAAGTGCGCCGACTACTGCAAAGCTTATGTATACTGGGGTACCGAGTATGGTCGCGAATGTAAGCCTCCAACCTAGAAAGCTCATCTCGTTTTGGCCTTGACAATTTATTGGAATGCAAGCATCTAACTGAGGAATTAGGCTACTGCGGAAACGCTCTTGACAAGACTAGCGCGGCTGCTGCCCTAACTGAATGCAACATGGCCTGCGGCGGTGACCCCAGCGCGTACTGCGGCGCCGGCAACCGTCTCGAGCTGTACTCGACGACGAGCGCACCCGTCACGCCGACTCCTACTGCCACTCTCAGTCACAAGCCCACTGTGGCCCCGTACACTATGGTCGGCTGTTGGAGCGAGGGCAACGGTGTCAGGGCTCTTGGACAAGCGGCCACTACCAGTGACAAGATGACCAATGAAGCTTGTGCTACCTTCTGCAAGTCTTTCAAGTATTTCGGCACCGAATACGGCAGTGAATGTTACTGCGGCAGCTTCCTCGCCGATAGCAGCAAGACGGCGCCTATTGGGGAATGCAACATGCCTTGCTCTGGTGATCAGTACGAGTACTGTGGTGCCAGCAGCCGCTTGGAGCTCTACCAGAACCCCAACATCACCACTGGTAACCCTGAGCAGCCTGCAGCTGTTGGCGACTATGTCTTCGCCGGATGCCAAACTGAGGGCAACAACACGAGAGCTCTGGCCGGCCCGACGCTGCCGCAGAATAACATGACCAATGAAGTGTGTGCCACGTTTTGCAATAGCAATGGCAATAACTTCACGTACTTTGGTACCGAGTATGGCCGAGAGTGCTACTGCGGTAACGCTCTTGACATTTCCTCGGCTGTTGCCCCCGCTGGCGATTGCAAAATGCTCTGCGGTGGTAGTGACACGGAGTACTGCGGTGCTAGCAACAGGCTGTCTGTTTATAAGAAGAAGCAGATTCCCGCCACGACACAGAAGCGGAGACGCAACTACTTGTAATGTGCATGTGGTTAGGAGATGGCGTCGTATGTAAAACCAGGCATATTTATGATGGCGTGAATTTGAGCTACATTTAAAGCAGAATATATGAAGTGATTCATAGTCAAGGGCTTTTTTTCTCCTGCAATCCGATATTAGTGATGCACGGCCAGGCTTTCAGTTGAATGGTTCCTTCCCGGGTCCACGCAGCAGTACAGAACAAGAATAGTTGATATATTGTAAACAAGTCAGTCTACCATCCTGCGGGACAATGCGCTGACGCTCTGTAATGGGAGTAATGGCGCTTCTTTCCCCCGCAGGTGAACCTGGCCGCCTGGTAGTACACTGTAGTTACGTACGTATTATGCAAGGCCGGAGATGGACTGCCCGGGTAACGGACCCGAAATGGAGACGTATCGGCACCGGGAGCCAAGTGACGCCCGAGTCCTGACGTCTCAAAAAGGTGAGTGAGTGAGTTCATGAGAAAATATGGGTACGTATGTCCAGTGTAAATTCATGCACCACCTTTGTCCTGCGCGTCAGCTTAGAGGATGGACTAGTTGCTGGGGCTGGTTGCTGGCCATCAGAGCGATGGGTGGGCGCTGCCGGATTATGAGGAGTTGAAGTGAGTGAGGTTGGTGAGACGGGATGGCTGGGTGGGCATGTGCTGGCCCGCGGTGGTTCACATGGCGTTTTGGCAAATGATACCTCTCTTGATATTATGATTTTTGTTCTCGACACAACTTCAATTGGTTATTCGCAGCCATATTGCAGCGGCGTTTGAGATGGTGCGCGTGGAGGCATATCGCACATGTTGTACATACCAACACGTCCTGTATCTACTACTAGCGCCATATCTCCGCGTTCGCAAATAGACTGTATTCAAGAACTCAGTCGTCATATGCATCCCTTGCCTCGTTGTCCGTATCCCACCAGGCACTCACCAATGCCAGAACCAACCTGGCACTGCCGCCAAGCATACGACATCATAGCCACGCTTACCCACAGGGCAAGGTACTCCGTAGAAGATCTAACGATGAAGTAATATTGCAGGTACAGCCTTGGCAAGCAAGTCCACTGCGGCACGTCAGGTTGCCGGATTTGCATAAACGGGAGCCACTTTCAGTTTCGTTGTCTCACAGAGTACGGAGCGCGTGCATTTCCCATCCTGCCATTGTAAAAGCGAAGAAAAGGCAGGAATGTCGATAAATGACCCAAAATAAGAAAAAGAAAAAGAAAAATCAAGCTCCTGCAAATATAATTCCACATGGCCTTGGAATTTCCCATCTTTCAATTCATCTATTCCACGCCGTCGCACCTTCCCTCCACTCAGCAAAGATGGCCCGTGCCCCTCAGTCCTTGACCCCTCGCGACAGTCCCGCTACATGTGTGGGCCCCCAAAACGTCAACGATCCAGACGTCACCAGCAAGTACACCCCACAAACGCCAATGACGTCAACTGGTAGCTACCCCCAAGCTCTCGTCTTCCCACCCGCAGAGGAAGCTCTCGAATCGTCATACCAAGTAACGCCATTCTGAAATCCCGCGAGTGCAGAAAACGACAGCTGCCACTTCGGCATCCGGGCAAACTTTATTAAGCCCGTCCTCTCGCACCTTTTCCATCCTTCCTTCTCCCCCTTCTCCCCAAGTTTCCCGTTTTCCATCGTTCCATCAAACACCAAAACAACAAACTTTCAAAAAGTTGACTCCATCGTGTCAACACTCCATCAACAACACCTTCTTCCTTGAAGTAATTTGGAAAAAGAAACACACTCACAAACACGCAGAGCTCATCCAGCACCGCAGCTCACGCGACACCAACCCCGCACCTGCCCAAGCTCACAAAGTTTCTCTAAAATCCCCCCCTCCAAAGAAATAAAATGACTCGAGGCGAGAGCACGCAGACCAAGATCCACTACAAGGGCGACGACGACGACTTCCTCGTCTTCGTCGAGGACGTAGATCAGTACAAGCAGTGGCTGAAGGGCGACACGTCCATCCCCCTGGCCCAATTCGTGTCGTCGTTCAAAATCTTCCTTACACACAGGTACACACACACACTCACACATTCTTCCCATTCCCGCCCCTCTGGCAGACCACCAAGATCCCCGAGCGTCGAGGAGCCGCCTACTGACAGGCCGTTTTGTAGACAAGGCGCCCAGGGCACGTACGACGCGGCGCCCAAGAACGTGCTGTACTCGGAGTTCGGCACCGACGACGACGACGAGGTCATCAAGAAGATTCTCAAAGGCGGTTCCATGCAGACCATGGAGGTATGTCCCTCGGTCCCCTCCTCCTTTTTCCTTGGTCCGCGGTATGAGCAGCCACTGACTACTTACGTGAAAGATGCCCGGCCGACAGGGTGTTACCAACGAGAGCATGAGCTCCATGAAGACTCACTGAGCGTATTCATTTAGGCAGGCGTTGTTATGAGCTACGGAAGCATGGAATCATCTTCACTTTTTTTTGTTACCCGCCTCTTGTCCCGCTGGCACTGGTGCGAATTGTACTTTTAGAAAAGATAAAAAAAATGAAATAGCTGTTGGGGGCTTGTGCCGGTTGTCCATCTATGGCTTGTCTGATATCAATGCCATCTGCACTTGGCAACTTTAATATATTGAGTGTGCCTACATATGATTGCCCCTCGGTGGCTGTGAATATGGGTTGTGCTATACTTTTCGTGACCTTTGATGCCGCCCTTTACGGGAACCTGAGCACAACTTGAAGTGCACCAATGTGCTTCTCATCCAAGCAGTAATAGTTTAAACGTGTAAAAAGGACTGCCAGCACAATTCACATCTACCACGAGTAATTCTCTAATTATTCTTTATCATTACGTATTATCTATGCTTTGCGAGACGATATTTCCCAATCTGAATATCTCGTTACACCATATGTACTTGTGAATACTGCATACCACTGTTCGCTTACCGCCCGTGTCTCCCTCCTCTTAGTCTATGCAGAATAGGTATCAGGTCTCTTGGGAAAATAAAAATAGAGAAATGTTACCTTGCCTGACGCGTGCCCCAAAATCACAATGTCTTCACAGACAGCCAACACATTCGATGTATAGCTGGTCGGCAGCAACGCCAAAACACCACGTCCCTCGATCCACACGTCGCCCAGCCTCGCTTCAGACTCCATACCAGGGAATGCTACCGGCTTGTACACAAAAAGCGTATTGTCTGGCGTCTTCTTGTTCAGCCATGTCTGCCCAGACGCGCTGCTCGGCACGGAGCCCGCAGTCGTCACGATAGTCTCCCCATCAGCGGCGAATGCCATGTCAGAAAAGGTTTCTTGCTGGCTAAGCACCTGCCGTCTCGAGTTGGATGCCTTGTCCAGCGCGTAGATGCAGCCATTGACAGACCCCATCATGACCGTCGAGTCGTCTGGGGAAAAGGCGAGCGCCATGGGGCAGTCGGCTTCCTCCGCATCAAACGCATGCACTTGGTTTCCAGTCTCGGTATCCCACAAAGCGATGGCGCCATCCTTGTTGACAGAAGCCAGCGTCTTACTGTCGTTGGAGAAGGCAATACATGACTGTGATTCGCTTTGGCCCCTGATCGGCACACTCGAACCCGTCTCAACCGCCCAGAGCCTGACCGTCTTATCCTCGGAGAATGAAGCAATCATCTTGCCGTCTGGAGAGAATGCAACGCACTTGACAGCTGCAGTGTGCCCCTGCCAAGTTTGGCGAGCTTCACCTGTTTTCAGATCCCATACCCGGACGGCCTTATCGCCCGAAGCCGACGCCAAAGATTGCCCGTCTGGTGAAAAGGCGACAGAGTGGACGGCGTCCTTATGGCCGCAGAGTCGTTGCAAGCACTCGCCGCTTTCAATATCCCATATGCGAATGTCTTTGTCGTGGGAGGCTGTTGCCACGACAGTCTTATCAGGAGAAACGACCACGTCCGTCACCCGGCTATGGTGACTTTGTGCTTCCTCCTGCTGACTCCAGTCCTTAATGTCCAGCAGACGAGTTGTATCCTCCAAGCCACCCATTGCTATGGTTTTGAGATCTGGGGACAATGCAATCGTCGGCCAGTTGTTCCATCCAGGGCTGAAGCTTCTCGCACAGATGCCGCTCTCAATGTCCCACAGGCAGATGGTGCCATCAGTGGAGACTGACCCGAGCGTCTTACTGTCACTCGAGAATGTGAAGTCGCGGAATGCCTCGTCATGGCGCTTCAGCACTCGAGCGCTGTCTCCCGAACCGGTGGACACGTCCCAGATACCAATCAAGTTTTGCAGCAACGAAACAGCCAAAGTCTTGTTGTTTGGTGATAAAGCAATGATGCTCTTAGCCTCGCCCTTTGCCGCGAATACCTGCTCAAACTTGTCCGTCTCTGCATCCCACACATGAACTGTGGCATCCCTAAGAACCATCACAACGCCTTTGCTGTCGGATTGGAAGTTGGCACAGGCAATTTTACGCTTCTCGGGATGTACGAGGGTCCGGATCTGTGTTTTTGTTTCCACGTCACAAATGTGCAAAGTATCACCATACACCGCCATGACGGATTTGGAGTCGGGAGAGAAGCTAAGTTCTTCGGCCACACCTGTCGAGTCGGGGAGGAAAATTGTGCAGATGGGTATCCATGTTTCAACCTTCCACACCGTGAGCGAGCCCTCAGTACCTGTTGAAAAGAGGCTTCCGTCTTCAGAAAAGGCCACTGCGGTGACTGCGCCATAGCGGCCATCAAGGGTCCGCGTGTTGGAGTCCCCGGTCTGCTGCGTGGTGACCATGTTTCGAATGAAAGGAAGCCGCTCATCCCATCCAAAGACTCGAACACTGCTTTCAGGTTGAGTAAATAGTAAGGCCGTGCCGTAGGTCTGCAAGGCTGCCGCTTTGATGGTGGATTTGTGACTGATGAGAAATCTCTCGGCGTCTTTGAGAAACTGCCTTAACGGCGCTGAAGATTCAAAGCGAGGCTGTGCTGCGAGCAGGCGAATAGCTTTCAACCCTTCGGACAGGCTTCCGAGAAGTGACAGACTTTCAATCCAGCGAAGAAAGAATTTCTTCAAAAATTCCAGGACCCTCTCAGATGTCACGAGCTCTGCAGAAGTCTCCGACCTGCCGGCATTAACCAAATGGTGCATCCAGAATGTCGCAGAGTAGGCAACACCAGCCAAAGGATCGTTATCAGAACCGTTGATTGCATCACCTAGGAGCCTCGGGAAGTACCCATTTCCAGGCAAATGGTACATGTTGTGCTTCAGGGTGTGTTGCATCTCTATAAGTGACCTACTAGCAATATCCTGATGGCTCAGCACAACATCCCCTTGCTCCAGCAACTTGCCATATTTCTGGCACAAGTATTCTCGGACAGATTCATGGGTCAAAGAGACCACTCTGCCCGTCATGCTGAGAAGAGAGCCGCAGACCTTTACGATATCTAGAGGTTTAATGGGAGAACCAAGCCCGGCCACCACCCCCAGCTCCTTCAGAGTGAGCGGTCGATATGCAAGATATACAGCCGTGATAACGTTTTTGCACCGGATCCTTTTCAGGCCATGATGCTCTTCAATCTTAGCCATCAGGTAACTGTACAAGTCTGGCAACCCGGAGGGCAGCTTCTTGATTGTCTCAATAGCCTCCTTCCCATCAACACCTTGAAGTTCTCTGAATGCCAACGCCGCCCAGAGAAAGGTATTTGCAGCTCTGTCACATATTTCATTAGACAGTTCCACGAGAGTGGCCTCGTCATCGTATCCAGGGTTCTCTTTCAACCCTGACAGTTTGTAAGTGATGTATGCATGAACCGGCCCTTCCAATCTTTGTGCATCCAACTCAACCAGAGCCTCATCCACATCTGGTTTCATCAAGTCAAGTTCTGGTCTGCTAGAAATCAACCATTTGACCTTGTGCGAAATACTAAGAGACTTGTAAATCAGTTGAATTAAATCTTCTTTGGTCCCGTCACACTCGTCCAGGCCATCCACCACGAAGTATGCAGGCGTGAATGACGGATCCTCCAGCATATTTTCAAAGGCTTCAGACATTGCACTAAACGCGTTCGAGTCTGTAAACAACGAGGATCCCGCATATTTATGTTTGGCACGCAAGTGCTGGATAAGACGAGGTTGCTGAATAAGCAGCATCCAGAGCAAGGATCGAAATACTGCGGTAGCATTGTTTCGCGTCTGATCTCCGGTGCCTTGACAAAAGTAGTATGATGCGCTGGGTGCGAACGCTGCTGACTGTGTCGAGATCTCTCGGACAATCCCCATCAAAAGCATTGTCTTGCCTGTTCCAGGTCCTCCTTTAACCCAAAGCAGACGGCGGGAGTCAAATCCATGCCAGTTCGAGAACGATGTATACTCTTCGGTATCCAGGACCCACGAAAACGCAATGTTAATTAGCTTGTCCGTCTTCCTTTCAAGCCTTTCAAGGTCGCGCATCGGGTCGATTACGAACAAGTCTCGGAGACAAGCAGAGTCTTTGTCATCGGCAACCTTTTCCTTCTGGGTAGAAATGAAATCCTGAAGATCTTGGTGGATGTTCCCCAGCGTTGATTGCATCTTGTCTCCATGTTTCATCAGCTCAGATAGGCGTTCAAGGGAGCTCTGGGTATTGTACTGAACAGAAGCAGCTCTCAGAGCTTCTTCTGCAGTGGTAATGGCCTTAAGGTCCGACTCCCACTTGTCCCATGCGGCGAGTTCACGAAGATAAGTCAAGCCCGAATTCCTGTAATAAGAGCTAACGCTCTTCATCTGATAGAGCAAAAGGCTCTTGTACAGATCAAGCACGAGGGTTTCCAGGCGCTGCGTGACCACACTGGCGGGTTCTTTGCCTTCGACGATACTTCGCTCATCCAGAAGGTGATCAACCAACGAACAATACCAATCCATGCGAGAGACTACATGGGTGATCCCTGCGAGATTCTCTCGGGAGACTTTAGCTGGATTAGTAAGGATCTGTTGACAAGTTTAGTCTCAGTGGTCTCGATGGCGACTTCGATGGCGAAACCGGATCAATAGTCTTGGGCATGTAGCTCTCACCTGCAGTCCAACACAGACACCGGCCCATGGCAAGGCGGCTTGAGGAACGTTTTTGATGGCAACGTCGATGATTCCTCTAGCCTGGAGAACAAATCCAGCAACATCCCCCACAGTCTGGGCCAGCTTTGAGTCGTCGGCAAACTTCTCGCGTCCCTTTTGCACAAGATCTCGCATGTGTGCCTGCCGCTTGACGGGGTCCTTCAAATCAGTAGCCAAAGTGGCCATCTCTGGCCCCGGCTTCCCTTCGTCACCACCAGCAATGGCAAACGTCAACGTCTCCGCATATGACTGCACAATGCCAGAGGTGGCACCGCCGTCTTCCAAGCCATCGTATGCATCGTTCCAAAGCTGCTGGGACTTGGACAGAGCTTGGTCGTCGTCTGGTGTAGGCGACACGGCCTTCTTTGGTGTTTTGGCGGGAGCTGTAGCTTGCTGAGCAACAACGGCCGCAACTATCTGCTTGGGGAGTGCTCGAATCTCGGTTTGGACGACGGTTGTAACGGCTTTGACAGTTTGGTCAACGGCCGACTTCATCAAGGTGGGTATCAGCCGCTCGGACTTGGACGGTGCTGCAGCAGCACTCCCATTGCCATCCTGCGTATGGACGTCTCCCGTCGATGCCATGATGCACCCCTTCTTGTTCCAGAGAACCCACACCAGAGCGACGGATGGTGCTGTAACACGAGCAAGACACGATGAGCTTGGTCGCCCCGGAGAGCTTGTCAACGAGAAAAATGGCGATGGCAGCTTACCGGTTTTATTTCCCTAGCCTTCAAGGTTCAATTGCTGCGGGGCCAGGAGCAAGCCAGAGAGAGACAAGCCACCTCGCTAAGGGTTCAGGTGCAAGTGCCAGCTCACGACATCATTTAGCGACATCATCTAATTTGGCCAACTCGCCCAAGACATTGCAAAAGTTGGTACTGTAATGGAGTAGTGCGGAGTACTACTTGGCAGTCACTTCATTTCTACCAATTGGCCACCCGTAGGCCATTCTAAAGGCACATGTTGTCCGCCCGAAGCCCATCTACGCAAGTTCTCCGTACCTCCTAGAGGCTACTCGCAGGTAATGCCATGTACATATGTATATGCACGACCTGTCCAAGACACATCAGCATTCATCACTTCACCAAACGCTGTCAGCCAGTACCATTGCCCCTGATTTTTCTTGCATGTTGGCCATGGCCATACTACATCCTCTGTTATTTTATGTTCTTCAGTTTCTAAAGTATGTCATTATGTATTATGCACTTTCCGCCATACAATTTATTCCGGCCAATCCCTGTACTATCTTCATCAGGGGCACAAGACCCCTGCATGCCATCGTCATATCACGTCTGTAGGGGTCAATCGTACAAGAGTTTAACTGAACATGCCTCGGAATCCATGACCTGACATGCCGCTTCTCTTCTTCGTCGTTCCCTGTATTTCCTCCTGAGACAATGAGCGCTTTGCTGCGGCTGTCGAAGCTTTATGCCTCTCTAAATCACTCATTCTGTTTTCCGAGTTTGACGTGGATCCAGGGTCTGCCACTTCTGAAGGTGTCGTTTGTAGCCCGACTGGCCGGAAAGTGTCTTCGAGTGACATTCTCTGCCTCAGTCCGCTAGCTCTCTTGGCAAAGGAGCTTGCAATACTCGCCACACTCAGCTTCCTAATAACCGTCGAGGCTGATGTTCTAACTAGACGCTCACTTCTCGACCGACCACTCATGCCTGAAAAGGGCAGAATCTCTTGACTCCAGACATCAGCCAAAATAATCTCTAAACGCGCGCGTTCGCTTCGAGGTGGCGCGAGAAACGAAACACGAGTCTTTGCAGCAAGTAGCGAATGAGATCGATGCATGTTTAACGACGTAGAACCGTGGCCGCTGGTTTGGCGAACTCCACTTGTGTTTTTGATGATTACCTGGTACAAAGCTGGCTTGGGACATATCGTGGTAGCTCTCCGAATGGACAGTCTTCGAGCACCAGGATCTGTTTCCTTTTATGTCAATGCTGCCTACAGGATGGACCAATAGTGAAGACTAACCTGATTTGCTGGTAACAGCCCCAAGGCTTTTAATGTTCAAGTCCAGAAATGTAAGCGTGGTTGCCACTCCAATTTTGCATTGTGCTAGTGGTGAAGATAATCGTGCGCGCCATTCCACTTCTTCTTTGGGGGCACAGGCCGTCATAATAATTTCAAATAGCTGATGATGGCATTCAAAAACGAGCTTCCAAGAGAAAGGAGCTGTGTGGCATTGTAAACCTATTGTTGAGATCGCAATCAGCGGTTTTGTAGGTAGGGAATTTTCAACGTCGAGACATTTCGCTCACCTCTTCCGTTATCTGCCTCCTCTATTTTGACTTCATGCACATTTATACAAGCTTTTATGGTATATATGGGATCTACTTTCCCAGCACATGCCAAGCAGAGAACATCAGGGTAAAGTATACATATCAAGTATTGGCCGTCAACTCCATCTGGAGTTTGCCAACAGACGTGGAGAGTTCCGCATAGGCGAACATGACCGAAAGATCGTACACGATCTTTGGAAACCGAATCGAAACTCTTATCTGATGGTTAGTTACTCCTCTTTTCCAAAAGCTGACCTCAGAAAGCTTACCCTGTTTGGAAATACGAGTCGGTCTTGTAGTAACCAGGAGCGTGATAAAGTGTTCCTCATTTGAGGGTCATTTGTCACCTGGTTAATTTCTGTTGTTGCTTCTCGAAACCGGGCTAACACGCTCTCAGCCGCCATGTGTGCGTTAGGGCAATCAGCAACAGGCGTATATTTGAGGAGCTCTCCAAATATCAAAGGGTACCTGCAGATTCTTTGTATCGGCTGGCGTTCATGTTAATACGTGCTTTCTTCACTTTCCTCGTCCTTGACATAGGTCTCACCTTCACAAGGAGATCTTTCATAGTAGCCGCTCTGTTGGTGTTGCGCAGTGCACAGCTCCTCGTGCTTAATAGAGCTGACAGGGCCTCGAGCCCTTTCTGGTTACAATCCCAGTCCGGCAATGTATCATATACTGAAGCTGTTTCTTGAACCATCATTTCATACTTGGCGCCATACTCTTTATATATAAAGAAACGACTCATCTATGGCTATCAGAGAAATGCATTTATCTCATCGTAAGTGGGTGGTGTGATGATGGCTCACCTGTCTCTCAAAGATTTTGGAAACTTCAACAATAACTTGTGGTTCTGCACATAGCTCAGAAGTTTCCATGGTTGACCGACCGCGGTGAACGTTGGCTCTTCCGTTACGACTGAAGACTTGCGTCCGATCATGGAGCGGTTGGTCTGGTATTCCAGTAACACCTTCGAGATGACCAAATTCTTTGATCCCCGAATTTGAGACGGCGCGCTGAAGCTCGTCCAAGAATTCTTCATGCAGCTGTAAGATGTCAGAGAGATTCCGGTTGACTGATTGCCGTAAGCCATGATATGTGGAAGGAAGCGACACCAGCATCGTAACATAAACCTAGTAGACTCATTAGAATATCTTGTAGCATCATTATTGTTCTGCCATACATTTAAAAGCAACCTTATATCACTGATATAGTCTTCTTCGGTGTGTACTAGCTCATCTAATATACGACGGCGCTTCACAGCCCGAACCAGAGCGTCAGGATCCAGTTTTATTGGCCTGTCAATAGTAACATCCTCAGATTGTTTTGGTTCCGTCAATACGTCGGTGCCATGATCAACCTGCGAGGCACATCTGGAGATTGCGGTGTTGGCTTTTGATCTTGTCATCGTACTGAGCTCCGCCAAACTCACACTGGCGCTTCGAACTGCAGAAACAAAGTTGAACGAGGAGCCGGATGAGTTTTTGGCCCGAATCGAGTAGCACGGCTGTGACGTACTGTGCCCTTCGCCGGTTCCCCAAAGCCAATCTGGCAAATCACGGCTTGGTAACTGCCGTGGTGAGAGGCCATGTTGGTTTCGTTTCTGTATGGAGACCATCCACTTACGGAAGGGAGATCGAGGACGTATATTTTTTTCGGTTTCGATGTCAGGCATATCAGAAATTTGACTAATTGAGTTAGGCGTGATTGGGTCTATACGCCGGTACAAGAAACCCTGTGAAACCTGGGCTTTGTTCTCGATACCATCGTTGGACAGCAGAGACTTAATCTGCCTTCGTCGCTGGCTTAGCCCACCGTAAACCTGTCCAGCATACGTGCTGAAATGGGAAAACGTGAAACTGTTGGTGTGTTTCCCAACCATTGGAGGTATTGGATTTGTTGATTGAAAGCCGTCGACTGAGGCCCGAGGCGTATAGAAGGTCGATACTGCAATCGCCATACTACAGAGGAATCAAACTGAACAAGTCCAAAAAAAGTTGATACAAAATTACTTCCAAGAAGATCCCGATTTGGGGGAATGGATGCCACCAAAAACGAACCAAAGGGAGGGTATTGTGTGGATGGGGGAAGAGAAGGAATTGTAGAGATGCCACCGGGTGCTCGACAGCTGGCAACAGGGGAGCATAAATGTCAGGGAGGAAGGAGCAAACCCACCAGTTGACGTCAATGCAAAACAAAAAAGCTGTCGGAGCACCTGCTACTTCCATTTCATAATAGTCAATATCAGTCCGCAGTCTGGGGAATCTGGTCTCCAATGCTTCCATCTCGGCAAAAGCATTGCCACGTATTGCTGACGACGGCGACGCCGCTCACATCCCATGTCGGGCCCCAAATATGCTGGTCTACGTTCTTTGTCATACCAAAAATGAGGTCCTTTGTCCGAAGTAGCGGTTCATGCTTTTGGCATGTAGTCCCTGTGCGATCGATGATCTTGGGTACATGTGGTTGCGGTCTCGTATTCGAGCGCTCCTCTAGCCGTGGCAAGGGCATAGGTTAACGGCTTTAGGATTTCCGCAGACCAATTGTCATCCATTTGTGTTTTCGGATACCAGGGCAACATGGCGTCTGCTGTGTACAGGCGGTTGGATATCTGCAACTTGCTATCTCCAAACCAACTGCGTGGAGACTCGGGATGACAACAGCAGAGGAAGCTGCTGTAATTCTCTTCAGCTCTGCTCAAAGGCGCCAGCGAACGCCGTCGTTTTTGGACCATTGTCGTCCTCCGAATCGGAAAATGCAGGATTCATGTGCATGATAATAGCGTGGTTGATGCATGAAGTGTCGTACATGGTATTAAGGTTCATGAATCATGGTTGGCAGAGACCCAGGGTTGGCAAGAGGCTGTGGGAGGACAGTGTGGTACAGTCACACGGCAGGCAAGTAACCATTTAGCAACTTCTCATGGCAAGATACTGAATATTATGTGACCAGTCGATTACGGATCTTTCTTCTAGGGACTGGATCCAACACAAGTTGTAACTTGTGGGGGAGAGTGTGTTGAGCAACTTGAGTTCTTGACGCCTGGTGAAGGTCCTGACTCCTGTGACTACGGCCAATGTCCAACTACCGCGACTAACAAGGAACAGGCGCTCAAATATGAATACAGAAGGCGATACAAAATCACCCCTTCGGTTAAATCGGTCTATTAGCTTCCGAGTGATGGTCACCATCTGCGGGGTGGCAAATACATGAGATCCAGGCGAGTGCCCGTCGCCGTTTTCGGCACCAACCCCTCTTTCATGGTCAAGTTTGTATGACCATATATTATAGTACTAACTGTAAAGAAAATGAGTATTCGATAGCATTGTCTCAGATCCATAGAGGCTCTTTTCACAATGGTCGCAGCCGCCATGACCCTGCGCTCGCATGAGCTTCCTATCCCAGTAGGGTCCAACGAAGGAAAGGTTGCGCTGGAAAACCTAGGCTGGCTCAGACCAACATCTAAAGGGACTTCTATTTCTGAAATGCGCAAGAGGCTGAAAGAAGCCGGTTATTTATTCGTCAAGAGTTTGATTCCAAGGGAGGATGTGCTAAAAGTTCGATCCGAGTGAGTATAACCTGCAGGTATATCTTGTAGTAACCCGTTAGATCACGTAAGTTTAACACTTCCGCGATGATTACTGACACCCCACAAAGATACTTCACTCGATATGCTCCAACCGGAATACTGGAACCGGGAACATCAACGGAAGCCGGCATATTCAACTCGAACCAATCACCCCAAGCCCACGGCGGCATCGGTGCCGGCGAACTCCCTCCCACAGATTTACAGGTCACAACAATGACCGACGTACACAAAGCACCGGAATATCTCAACCTTGTGGCACACACCGACCTACGGAATTTTATCAGGAATTTAATGAGGTGGGACAACGAAGTCCTTCTCCAGCGCACAATGCTTCGTCACAACGTCCCCGGCGCACTAAGCACAGCGGTGCATTACGACAAACTATTCCTCAGAGGTGGCGAGGCCTTCTTCCTCACCGCATGGGTCCCCATCGGGGACGTGTCACAGAATGGAGGTGGACTGATGTATCTTGCTGACTCTGTGGGACTGGGCAGATCTATCGAGGAGGACTTCACTCGCAGAGCAGCCGAATTGACCCCAGAAGAGAGGGTTAGCGCGTTTAACGTCCATATGGAAAAGTATGGACAACTATCACAGAATGCTGCTGAATTTGGTGCGCAGCACAAACACCAGCGGTGGCTCGTGGCCAATTACGAAGCTGGGGATGTGGTATTCCACGACCCATATATGATTCACACGAGTTCATTAAACGAAGATGCCGACGATAGAATCCGTCTGAGTACCGACTTGAGATTTTATCGTGAAGGAAGCGATTTGGATCCAAGGTGGATGAAATTTTGGGCGCCGGGTGACGGGCTATAATGGTTTGTTTTCACTTTCTTTTTCACTCAATTATTACCTAACTTTTACAAGAGGGAAATAATTAACAATGCGTGACCTTGGAGGATCGGCATAACATCTCATCAGATTGTCCGTACTCAGCAGTTAATAAAGAGGATCAACCCTGTGACCAATCTCAATCTCGAACCCTGGGTCACCGTGAGTGTCAGAGGTGTTGCGTAAATCTTGTACTGAGCGTATGCCTGTTCCCTAGTATACGTTGTATAAAGGTGCCTTGTAGAGTGACGCAGATACCTGACAACGAAGTTCTCTAAGATGATGCTTTCTCGGCGCGATTGATCCGCAGTAGCTGCTGCGGGCAAAGAGCTCACTACAAAATCGACGCCGCCTAGACGCGGCCAAGTTTAGGTCGCTAATAAATATGTCCTTGCGGCGTGAAAAATTGATCAGGTCTCGGCATTTGTGGCTATTGCTCCGTTGCCGGCGGACTGCCACTCCAAGAAGGTGATTGGAAATGCGATCAGTCTCTAGAAAATACCAGAAGCTCTTATATTCAAATTTATGCCTGTAGCATATTTTTGTGTTCCGGGTGTGGGATCCTAAGGAGTCCTCAATACATCACTCTTGGTGATATCGAACGCATTCGTCGGCAGAAGTGTCCCAGTTTCTGCAAAACCTTGAACTTTTCTATTTTCTGATTTGACTGGTACTGCGGTTGCAAAGAATACATATCAGACGGATACTTTAACAAGAGCGATGCCTCGGGGTTGCACGTGGACGAATGTGTCAACGTTCTGGTTCCTGTTCGTGGCAAATAGGTTTAAAGTTCCATGGCTGAGACACATTAGGATCAGACGATTGGGATGGGGTTCAGATAATTTACAATCACATGGCGACAAAGACATCGGACGATATTACACTTGTCAGCTAGAGGCTTATAGCTGGCTTTATTACAGTGTAGTTTATATAGCAATACTATAGCCGTAAACCTTGCCTCGATTTTGACTTCTAATCGCGATTCATATCATGGCATGTCATGGGCTTGGTTTGCTTGTTTATGGGGGAGAAGGGGCATACAGTCTGGCAGAATATATTTGCCCACCGAGAACCATTCAATAACATACCATAGTATATAATGAGAGTATTAAAACAATAAAAAAAGAGGGCTAAATGGTCATGCACTATATTATATCATATGGAACGCGATAGTCAGGTACTGATGTGGTCAAATACTTTTTGCCTCCCACCGTATCTCATCACGTTCATCCGTTAGATTGGGAGCCGTTGACAATTTGACAACACATCTTTTGTCTTGTCTCAAAAATTGCAATACAGCCAATCGGAAGAGACATGCCGATTCTGCAGTGAAAAAAGAAAAGAAGGAAAGGAAAAAGGAAAACAAAAGCAAAGGAGAGAGGGACAGGGAAGTACGCCGAGGACATTACAGCCCAAGCACGACCAGGAGTCGGCATGAATGCAACGTACATTCGGAAGCCTGCCTTACCTGCCAGCCTTACCTGCCAGCCTTCCCAGCTCTGGCCTCTTGCCGCCTGTTGTTTTGTTTGCAAATATCTGGACATCGCCGAAAAACCTCGAAGCATTGACATCGACACGCACGGCGACAAACGTAGAACCAACTCTACCAGTGGCGGACGCTTGGCCCGACAGAGGCAAGGCCCTGGAGCTAGTCCATGTTTGGTATAGACCGGAAGCAAAAAACCTGGGGCGCGCCGACTCAGGAGACCCGGGCGGAAGATGCCCAGCTGCGCCGCTGAGAGCGCTGGTGACCATCCTGTTTCTCAGTTGTGATGCTTGCACGTTTTCTCTCTGTGCAATGTACTTACAGATACTAATACTACAGTAGAAGCCGGTAATGGAGCCTTCAATGTTGGGCTGCTCCACGTTTGAGGAGGCAGTGCTGGCTGGGCACGCTGTCGTGCATCTAGTAGATAATACCTGACCCTGGGCAACTGGAGGGGACCAATGGAGCGCTTAGTGGGAAGCTGACGGGCATCCTCCAGACAGCAATTGTGTGGAGTGAATGACCAGCAGAGGTCTGGTATTACGAACCGAATCTGAGAGGCATGAGCCGGGATGAAGATGCTGGACGTTGCGTTGCGATATGTAAGTACTCAAGTACCCACTACCTATAAGGTACCTCCCACTATAGGATTCCTCCTGCATGTGATCAGGTAACCATTGCCAAAGTTCACGTATCCAAGTACTTCGTGCTTCGGGCATTGTTTTAACAGATACTAGCCCTACGGGCGGTCCTGCAACCAGTTGTTACCTTCCACTGGGTGACCAACCACACGCAACTCCGCGTGGTGGCAGCTGCATGTGTCTGCACCTGCCCTGCACTTCATCATGATTCCAGATGTGTCTTCCTCTTATCTGCACTTGCCGGCAGCTTTGGTGCAGAGCAACCACGGTGGCCTCGGACTTCTCCATGTAGATGTTGACTTCGCCTTCTTAGTAAGCTGGCAGCTGGCAGACTTTAGGCTGACACTGGCCCGACACCTGGCCGATGCTTGGCGGAATGGCCCCTGGCTCTAGGCCCGACTTTGCCGCCATGTGGCCCCAGGCGCCACTACGGAGCCCGCTCCCAGACAAAGCACCTACCAGGCCCTTCGCCTCAGCCGCTACCCACTCCTGGAGTCCTGAAGTTGACTAGCACCACCTCCAAAGCCAAAACGAACACGTATGTACAACTTTTTGCGCTCGCCGGCCTGGCTCACAGAAAGCTGCTTTTCCCTTCATTGTCCGTTTCGTCTTCTTCTCCAGCCTTCTCTACAGACACCACGTGGGGCTGCTCGGATCTGACAAATCGGCCATGTCAAGACGCTGATCTGGCTATTGGAACCTTCTTTACCTTCTCCCCCAACCTTTCGTCTTCCTTTGTCCGTGCTGCTGTGCTCAACATCCCCCGGTCTATACTCGCTCGGCACGTCGCGCAACATCCCATTTCCCTCCTCGCCGAGCTTCCGGTGTCCTGTTCGCCGAGCAAGTCGACATGGAGAACGCCTTTGCCCGTCCCATTGCGACGGTTCTCTCCCACTTCGAAGTGGACGAGCATGACGGTCTTACCAACAAGGAAGTTGAGGAGCTGAGAATCAAGTATGGTCGCAATTGTACGTCATTCCTATCCAAGTGTCGCGCAATCTCTCATTTGCCTCCTATCCGCGATGAAATACCCCATTGCGAACGATCTAGAGTCTCGATGCCGCTCTTCACCCCACCATCATCGTTTTGTACAAATGGTTTTGCTGACTTTGTTGAGCAACTAGCTATCCCCGACGAGCCTCCTACTCCTCTGTGGGAGCTCATTCTGGAGCAATTCAAGGACCAGCTAGTGATTATTTTACTTGGCTCCGCGGCCGTTTCATTTGTTCTGGCACTTTTCGAGGACGAAGGCGGCTGGAGTGCCTTCGTTGACCCCGCTGTTGTGAGTACTCCTGATAGCATATATCGATTCGTAGCTCTACTGAGTGTCTTAACCAATCCGCTTGGCTAACACTTGGTTTCTGCTCTCAGATTCTCACCATCCTAATCCTCAATTCCGTCGTCGGAGTCTCCCAAGAAAGCAGTGCTGAGAAGGCGATTGCCGCCCTGCAAGAATATTCGGCGAATGAGTCCAATGTTATTCGAAACCATGGCCACGTTGCTCGAGTCAAGGCTGACGAGTTGGTTCCTGGCGATATCGTTACCGTAGCCGTTGGAGACCGTATTCCCGCCGATTGCCGCGTCATTGCCATTGAGAGCAATAGCTTTGCCGTCGACCAGGCTATCTTGACTGGAGAGAGTGAGAGCGTCGGCAAAGATGACGAGGTCGTCGTCAAGGATGAGCGTGCTGTCTTGCAGGATCAAGTCAACATGCTCTTTTCGGGAACTACTGTCGTTACTGGGCGTGCCAGAGCCGTTGTCGTCCTCACTGGCTCCAACACTGCCATCGGAGATATCCATGAGAGTATCACGGCCCAAATCTCTGAGCCCACGCCTCTGAAGCAAAAACTCAACGATTTTGGAGACAATCTAGCCAAAGTCATTACTGTCATCTGCATTCTGGTCTGGCTTATCAACATCCCCAACTTCAATGATCCCAGTCATGGTAGCTGGACTAAGGGCGCCATCTACTATCTCAAGATTGCCGTCTCCTTAGGAGTGGCTGCTATCCCTGAGGGGTTGGCTGTTGTCATTACCACTTGCCTAGCCCTTGGTACGCGCAAAATGGCTGCTAAGAACGCCGTGGTGCGCAGCTTGCCCTCTGTGGAGACCTTGGGAAGCTGCAGTGTCATTTGTTCAGACAAGACTGGCACCCTAACCACGAACCAGATGAGTGTCAACAAAATTGTCTACATCAATGAGGCCGGCAATGACCTCAATGAACTCGATGTTGAAGGCACCACCTTTGCCCCCAAGGGAGCCATTACAGCCAATGGCAAGCCCGTGAAGGACTTGACATCGTCGTCAGACACCGTTCGCCAGATGACAGAAGTCGCTGCCATTTGCAACGATGCTCACCTCGCCTATGATTCCCGTACTGCTACCTTCTCCAGCGTTGGTGAGCCTACTGAGGGTGCTCTACGTGCGCTTGTTGAAAAGATTGGACCCTGTCCTCCTAATGACACTCATCTCGAGGACTGCCTCCACCATGCCAGCCACCTGTATGAGAAACAACTTCCCCGTCTTGCCACCTATGAGTTCTCCAGAGATCGAAAGAGCATGTCTGTTCTGGTCCAGAATGGAAAGCAGAAGAAGCTTCTCGTCAAGGGCGCACCCGAATCCATCATCGACCGCTGTTCCCACGCTTTGCTTGGTGCAGACGGTAACAAGGTTGCCCTCAGTGGCAAGCTTTCCGATCTCTTGATGAAAGAAGTTGTTGATTATGGAAACCGTGGTCTTCGTGTTATTGCCTTGGCTAGCATTGACGACGTTTCCAAGAGTCCCTTGCTATCCGCGAAGTCGACTGAGGATTACGCCCGCCTTGAGCAAAATATGACTTTCTTAGGTCTGGTCGGTATGCTGGATCCCCCTCGAGAAGAAGTCCCTGGATCAATCGCCAAATGCAAGGAAGCCGGTATTCGTGTGATTGTTATCACTGGAGATAATCGCAATACAGCAGAGAGTATCTGCCGTCAAATTGGCGTTTTCGGTCAGCATGAAGATCTCACTGGAAAGAGCTATACTGGGCGTGAATTTGAGAACTTGAGTCCCAGTGAGCAGCTTAAAGCTGCCCAGCGAGCCTCTTTGTTCTCTCGTGTCGAGCCTGGTCACAAGTCAAAGTTGGTGGATCTTCTGCAGTCTCTGGGCGAGGTTGTAGCCATGACTGGCGACGGTGTCAACGATGCTCCTGCTCTGAAGAAGGCCGATATTGGTGTTGCCATGGGTTCTGGTACTGATGTCTCCAAGTTGGCTGCCGATATGGTTCTTGCTGACAGCAACTTTGCCACCATTGAAGTTGCCATTGAGGAGGGTCGAGCCATCTACAACAACACCCAACAGTTTATCCGTTACCTCATCTCGTCCAATATCGGCGAGGTTGTTTCCATCTTCCTCACAGCTGCTCTGGGTATGCCCGAGGCCTTGATACCCGTTCAGCTCCTTTGGGTCAACTTGGTTACCGATGGCCTTCCTGCCACCGCCCTGTCCTTTAACCCCTCGGACCACGATATTATGAGGCGCCAGCCCCGAAAGAGAGATGAGCCCCTTATTGGTGGATGGCTGTTCTTGCGTTACCTGATTATCGGAACATACGTTGGTCTGGCGACTGTTGCCGGCTACGCTTGGTGGTTCATGTACAACCCCGAGGGGCCCCAGATTACCTTCAAGCAGCTCTCCCGCTTCCATCACTGCACCGCCGACTTCCCCGAGATCGGATGCCAGATGTTCTCCAACGACATGGCCAAGGCAGGCTCGACTGTGTCACTGTCTATCCTTGTCGTCATCGAGATGTTTAACGCCATGAACGCCTTGTCGTCGAGCGAGTCACTCCTCTCACTGCCCCTGTGGAAGAACATGATGCTCGTCTACGCCATCGCTTTGTCCATGGCTCTGCACTTTGCCCTCTTGTACATCCCCTTCTTGCAGAGTCTGTTTGCAATTGTCCCACTCAACATGACTGAGTGGAAGGCAGTCGTCGTTATTAGCGCACCTGTCATGTAAGTGCCCTGCAACTTCTATCTAAGCCAGAACTACAAGCTAACGGTTGATACAGTCTCCTCGATGAGGTCCTGAAGTTGATTGAACGCAATTTCTTCATGCAGACAACAACACATGAGACGACGGAGGGCATCAAGGGCAAGAAGGAGATATAGACGAATAATGAAAGACAAATAAAAAGAAGAAGTTATATAGACGCGGAAACAATGTTTTGCATGAATGGCCTAAGCTAGATGGTAGACACATGTATGATAGCCTGCCAGCGAGAGCTGGGGGAATTTTAGGTGTACTTTGCAGCGGCCGGTGTTTGTACTACTTCAATAAAAGCATTTGGAGTTACAGTCAGAACATGGTTGACGCGTCGCTGAAAAGCATGCAATAGGGCCGAATAATTTGTTGGTAGTAAATTGTAATTCTTTGGTTTATTCCATCTCGACGCCAGCCGAGCATCTAGATATTCGTACAGCGCATTCCAATCCTGCGATTCCTCAGTGCGCACTCCATCATGTCCGAAGCCGTTCCTCGGCCTCACCGACAACTCGTTTAATCCTGTCTACCCTTTAGTAATCTCTTGGTAACCTTGTCCTTCTCAATGATGTACACATGTGCGCCCCATCCAGAAAGGGCATCTCGATCGACAGCATTCAAGAGCGCCTGCGAGATGGTTTCGAAAAGAGCATCAGGACCCTAAGCAAACTGTTTTAGCAGAAATCCTCCCCGCCATGCATAGTCACACGAGGAAAAAGAAAAAGTGCATTACGAGAAAAAAAACGGCAAGAAGAAGAGGGGAAAACATACCATGTCCTCCTCCCACAAACCCTCACACATACCAAACAATTGCTCCGACGCCGTGCCCGAAACGATAAAGTCCTTTGCAAAATCAATGCATCCTATGCTGTCGAAGCCGCAGATGAAGGGCTTGCCCGTCTTGGGATCCAGCCCCGCCACGACGGGGGACACAAAGTACGGGCCGAAGCGGCGCTCGTATAGCGACGAGGAGACGAGGTTGGCAAAGGTCCGGGGCGCGATGGCGCGCTCCTCGCGGAGGCGGTACATGTTGACCTTGTAGCGGAAAAGGTCGGCGACGGTGCCGACGTCGGTTGCGAGGCCCGTCAGGCCCAGGAATACGTCGCCGTACTGGAAGATCTTGGGGAAGTTGTTGGATACGGTGAGCGCCTGGAGGCCCAGGCGGAGGTCGCAGGCTATGGCGACGCAGTCTTTGCCGACCATGGCGACGCAGGCGCCGCCGTCTATGGGAATCGTTGGTCAGTACGTACGGGGTTGGCAAGGAGAAGGGACGCGGGCTACCAACTGATGGAGAAGGGGGATGACTGGCGGTAGAGTTAGCCTTTGATGCTGTGATGGGATGGAGGAGCGGTTGGGGCGTACCATGGTGCTGGGTGAGGAGCTGCGGATCGAGCAGTTGCTCTGGAGGGGCGCTGAGGTTGATCAATCGATGTCTTTGGGGGTAGTGAAGCCTTTGGCGGGAGGTTCGTGATGGTGGTCGTGGAGGATTGTGTGGCACGGCGGTTTCGAAGCTCCCTGGTTGCTGTGAATGAATGTCGTCGTGGTAGCTCAGCTCCGGCACCGAGAACACGGAGCGAGCGCCTGCAGCAAGGCAAACGCACTGGCGTGGCCGAACGCTGACTGGTTCGGTGGAGACGCCTGGATCTGGAAAGAGCGGGTGGCCGGCTCTGATTGGTTGGAGCTGCGGTGCTGTTGCTGCTTTACCTCACCACGGCTGCCTGCCAGTCAACGTTCGGAGTATGAGAAATCGCAGAGAGTGTCGAATTTTCTCTAATTTTATTTGGGAAAATCTGACACTTTGAATGGAGGTATCCTGTTATTTTGTCTGTCCGACACAGCAGCTACTCCCACGCGCCCGCCTTATGTGGGAACAGTCCGGCTGTCAGGGGGTAGACTCTGTGGCCCTCTATCTGACTATCACGCGCTACATGGTACTACGGAGTCCTTTCAGATATTAAAATAATAATAAGCATATTAGTATATCCTTGTCAACGGGTGAATTTCTCTTATAATCGATTACTCGGGAGATATCTTGTGTGCTGCAACTGCTAGTTGCCTCTGATTGGCTGAAGCTCAAGTGTTTACCTCACCGAAGGCTGCCTGATGGAATCTGGATCCTGGAGGCTTCGAGAAGAAATGACGAGCGGCCACGCCCACGTCCCTTGATGAGTGAGCAGCCTACAAGCTGTTCGATTTCAGAGCTTTCTCCAGTTCACAGGCGCTCAATTAATGAACTTTAAATAGAAACCTAATGCTTTGTTTGCGTCTCTCACATGAATTTACCTCGTGTCTGAAGAGGTAAGGTACCCGACGTGGACATCTGACACCCACCAGTTACTTCACCCCACCATAGACCAAAGACCGCATCGCCTAGCATCACTGCCACAGGACTACCGTGTCTTATCCATCGTCACAACTGCATATAACTCAGCCCTCTCTCCTCGAGACTGTCGGGCTCACTCTTGGCTCCTCTCCCACACATCCCCGCCCTCGAAAGGATGGCATCTCATGTCGTCGTCATCGCCACCGACCTGCGCAGGGCGACTGTCAAGGTCAACCCTGGTACCTATCTCTCCGATGTGCTAGACCAAGCTTGCCAGAAGCTCAACCTCTCCAGCGACAAGTACCTTGTCAAGTAAAATCGCCCTCTTACCGCTTCTGCGCTCCGCATGCCAGTCCTGTTCTTAAACTAACATTGTCCACAGACACAAACAGAAGCAGGTCGATCTCTCGGTGCCCTTCCGAACATCAGGCCTTGCTGGCGGCGCAAAGCTCGAGCTCGTTCTACGCTCCAAAACCCCGTCCGCCGTCCAAATCGCCCTTCAAATCCCCCAACCCGATGCCAAAGAGATTCCAGGCGGCCGCTTAATCAAGAAGTTCCCCTCCGACCTGACGCTATGGAAAGTCATGCGCCAGTTTGAAAGTGGAGAGGCGAGCGCGGGGAAGAATGTCAACATCACCGCGAGGGGGTATGCGAATACAACAAGTGGGAGCGGACAGCTGTATTATGAGACACCTGTTTTGAATATTATGGGGAGGGAGTTTTCGAGTTTTCCGGAATTTCAGAAGACGTTGGCGCAGTTGGGGCATAACTCGGGCAATGTGTTGATTCGGTTGGGGTACAAGAGGACTGAACAGACGCTGTTTGAGGCCATGGAGAAGATTAGCACCTTTTTCAAAGATGGTGAAGAGAACAGCGGGTCTGACGTCAAGGTTGATGAAACAAAGACGGAAGAAGCCAGGGAGGAGAGTCAACAGCAGGGTGATACAACAATGACCGACGGTGTGCCAGAACCAGAGGTCGCTCAAGAAGATTCAGCACAGTCACAACCTGAGCCTGAGCCTGTCCTCTCAACTGCACCGGTGGAACAAGATGCTCCTAAAGAGTGTGCAACGGCCTCCTCACCCACAGCACAGGATCCGTTTCAGCCCATCAACGTCTTCCTTGCGCCAACAGGAACTACACCCGCTGCGGCGCTGGTACCAGCCTCAGAGACGGACTTCACCCCAACCATCGCCCACGCCCAACTCCATCAGGCCCGGCTTCTAGAAAGCTCGCGGAACAAACGGCTCCTCTCAGACAAGGAACTAGAAGAGAAGGCCGCCGCGGAAGAAGCACGCATCGCCTCCATTCAATCCATCCTCGTCAAGGTTCGATTCCCCGACAATACCAGCAGCGAATGGCAGGTCAGCCCCAGCGAGACGGGGGCATTCTTGTACCAAGCCGTGAGACACGTCATGGCAGATGCTACGCAGCAGTTTCACCTCGTCCTCCCCGGCGGTAAGGACATCATCAAAGACAGCAACGCGGAAAATCATAACCTTGTCAAGTCGTATAAACTATCTGGCCGGGTCCTCGTCAATTTAGTGTGGGAAGATAGTGTACCGGCAGCAATCAGAAAGCAGCCCTTCCTCAGGGCAAATGTCGCGAACCAGGGGCAGGCTGTCAAAGTGCCTGATCTTCCAAAAGTCGACGATGCACCTGAGCCGGGTCCCGCGACGGAGGCGCCCAAGAAAGAGAACAAGAAGGACAAGGGAGATGGGACGACGAAAAAACCGAAGTGGTTTAAGTTGGGGAAGAAGTGAGTTGATAATGTTATTGCATGACTTGGCGTTTTATTTCGAATGTATAGGGTAGAGTTTAGATGAGCGAACGGTTATGAAAATGGTGTAGTAATTACACATGACAACATTATGAAGTTGAGCTAGATGAACATTTGAGAATCGGGGACTCCTTGGAAAAGAAGGATTGAAAGTCACGCTGCATTCATACTAAGTACTGGGAGTGATGTTGGCATGTGCATCTCGGCTGTACCATATACAACAATGAATTTTGGGAAACGATGAACGGAGATGCATGTTCTTTAGGAAATTTACCATGGTATTCCAGTTGACAATGAGAAGAGTTGGCAAAATATGGTGTCACATTCATTCAAGCATCACAAAGACCAGAATCCACAAATTCGAGAAGGTTAATTTTGGTATTCCAACGAAGCAGTAGCTATTTCACGTCCCTAAGATCCGCAAAACAAGCCTTCTCAGCTACTTCTCCGGCCGCAATGCATCCCATGTCATGACCCCCACGCCGGTTTTTACATGCTTTCCCAAAGGGGAAAAGAAAGCGGCTTGCTTTTTCTCCCATTTTTGCAACCCGATAAAAAGTTTCCCATTTCAAAATCATTTCATCCGTCTAGAATGCGATTTAGTGGGCGGCGCGGCGGGACTCGGCGATGACGCGCTGCAGCTCGTCGACCTTCTTCTTGGCGCGGCCGAAAGTACCGAGCTGTGATCTGGTCAGCATCCACGACACAGAACGAGAGCGATGAAGGGTTTGTGAGAAAAAAACGTACTCTCTTCTTGGCGAGCTTACGGGCACGCTTGTCCTTGGAGTTGCGGAGCAATTCGATGACGCGGCGCTCATAGGGGGCAAGACTGCATCCAAGTTAGCTTGGGTTCGAGGCTTCGTGGGATGAAAAACTCCATTCGGCAGAGAAATTCATCGAATGGACTGGCGGGTTTGCAATCGAAGCCGGCATCCAGTCTTGCACACATGGACCCGTGTTTCCCATCCATTCAATGATTTCGCTCCGCTCGAATTGTCATTTTTTCGCAGTGGTTGTGTTGCGACTTACCCAGCAACCTCCTTGACGACCTCACGGACGAAAGCGGTGCGCTTGCTCAGGTGGCCCTTGGTGCGGGAGACACGGGGCTTGACGACACGAGGGGTGGTTTTCTATAAAAGGCGAAGAAAAAAAAGCACAAAATGTCAGCGTCCATCGTCTGCTTCGGCAACAGGAACCACCTCGCGGAGGACGAGGGGAGAGCGTAGCAGAGATCCTCCACGAGGTGAGACTTTGACAACACGTACGTGGCCGCGGTTCAGACCAACGGTCAGACCGGTTTTGGCGGGAGCTTCCTTGGCCATCTTTGTCGATTGGTGATGGGGTTGTCGACTTCGGCGTTGGGTGATGTCGAGGAAAGGAATATCACCAAGTTCGGAGACGGGGTCCGTAAATTTCGGTGGATGGCGCACACACCACACTGCACATTCGAGAAATTTTTCGAGTTGTGGGTCACGTGCGCGAGGGTAAGCGAAGGTGAGCTGTACTCCGTAGGGAGCTTTGGTATCGGGGGTACGGGAGTTTAATAACCCGGCCTGAACGATTGCTGCCCCACAGCGGGTTTGGCACTTGGCTCCTTCGGGAGCGGGGCATCTTCCCAAGTCGCGTCGACGGGCTCCTTGGACCGCGTCGCTCTTTTTGCTGCACATGCTATAGACGAGAACCCTCAGTTGAAGATGACTTTACAGAATGGCGTTGCTCCCAACGGAGCTACCTGTGCCAAGAGGCACGAAGAGTACCAGTATCTTGATCTGATTCGGGAAATTCTAGAAGAAGGAGAACAAAGACCTGATCGGTGAGTTGCAACAGCCGCGTTGTTCACTACGTCACCCCCACTAACAGGATGACTCTGCAGGACGGGAACCGGCACTATCAGCATTTTTGCCCCTCGACCTCTCAAGTTCTCACTGAACCGGGACGGCACTCCTATTCTTCCACTTCTTACCACCAAACGCGTGTTTCTTCGTGCTGTGGTTGCCGAGCTGTTGTGGTTCATCGAGGCCAACACTTCATCCAAGGCGCTGAGCGACGTCGGCGTCAAGATCTGGGACGGCAACGGTTCCCGCGAGTTCCTCGACAACCTAGGCCTCACCCACCGTGAAGAAGGAGACCTGGGCCCCGTCTACGGTTTCCAATGGCGTCACTTTGGAGCAGAATACGTGGACGCCAAGACGGACTACACAGGCCAGGGCGTCGACCAGCTCGCAGACGTTATTGACAAGCTCAAGAACAAGCCGTACGACCGTAGGATAATCATCAGTGCGTGGAACGCCCGTGATTTGCATCTCATGGCGCTCCCGCCCTGCCATGTGTTTGCTCAATTTTACGTCTCATACCCCAGCCGAAGACGGCGGAACGGCAAGGCCTCTTCCACGGAAACAAATGGCGGCGCAACGAGCACGGCGCCTGAAAAGGGCCATCTACACTGCCAATTGTACCAGAGATCTTGCGACATGGGTCTCGGCGTACCGTTCAACATTGCCAGCTACGCTCTGCTCACCCACATGATTGCCCATGTGTGCGATTTAGTGCCCGGCAGCTTGACACATGTCATGGGCGATGCCCACGTTTACGCGGACCATGAAGACGCTCTCAATATTCAGTTGGAAAGAGAACCACGCCAATTCCCGGAGGTAGAAATCGCGCGGGAGAAGGGATGTGGTATCGACGGGTGGAAGGTGGAAGATATCATTGTCAAGGGGTATGATCCGCACAAGACAATCGCCATGAAGATGGCTGTATAAGATGACGATGGACGAAATTTGCGAATGAATTACGTTGATTTTTTTTTTCACGGTATGCGGGCGGGAAATCTTGGCACACTCGGTGCAACGTGGTATAGGTATGGGCAAATACCTAACGCTATTAATGATTGGATGCATTAAGAAGCAGTGCTTTCGTGTTTGGTATGGATAGATGGTATATTCGCTTGATGCGTTGTATATCGTATAGACTGCGGTAGATGGAATACGAAGTTCAACCTTCAGTGAGCTTTAACAACGACCTGAACGATTCTTTCGCTCGACCAGCGAGGCTACATGTGTTTCTCACCAGGGTACGTCTCGAACCTACCTTGTCTGAAGTGCAATCCAGGCGACGGGCAAAAACGTCCGCCAATAGCCACGCCTTTACAGCCTGCGGGCATGCTAGAATTATGGCGAAAACAAGATGATCTCTTATGCGAGCGTCATGACGGGCACATGGCCGGGATCGCGGTTTCCGACGTTGTGCAACGCCATGGGATAAGTTTACCCCAACATGATAATCTAATACTGAGTGTCCGATTATACACCGTCCTCCCGTCCGCGGGTTACAATGCACCTGGCTGACCGCACTGCGAAACGAACAAGTCCCGGTATGTACATGCGCCCACCACGTGGGTTCATCTGACCGGCCGGTGGAGCATGTTTATTCTCGCAAGCACGCAGCCGACGATCTGGCGATCTTGGTTCTCGCATTCTGCGTGGCTTTCTCGGCCGGGTGTGCTGAGATGTACACTTGGGCGACTAGCTAGTAGAGGCAACATGCTTCCTGTAGCGACGGCAGAGAAGTCCAAGGACTGCCGTGGACATGGTTTGAGGGGGATCGACAAGTCGGTAAACTTGGCTTCCCGTTCTGTGGTGTCCGTCGGCGATTATTTCATCACGTCCTTTCTCTGGCTGGGCGCATAAAACATGTGCGGTTACACGATGGAAGCGGCCAAGAAGCGATCGCCAGCAACGGTTCGGCGGGATTCCACTGCCTAAGTTGGAAGGTCTCGGCGGAAGATGGGAAACGGCAGAGGACAAATTGACGGACGCTCTCTGCCCACCCTGGAATGATAGAGACGCGGTTTTTTTGTGTTTTCTGCCGACCTGTCTGCCGTCGTATCAGCTGGATCGCGGCGCACATCTCGATCACGGTAGAGTCGTGAGCCACCCCCGAGACCCAACCAGCTCCGTCAGTGTGGCCGCATGGTGTGTAGAAAGGGCCCTGCTGAGGCTGCAAATCGTATGGGCCTGAATATCTTGGTGCCTGACATTCCGCGTCGCCAGGGGGGGATACTACCCCCGGATAGCGATGCGGGTGGCGGCAGCCTTTTTGGCAGGGAAGGCATTCAGTGGGGGGGGATTGGATGCCGCGTTCTTGATGCGAGTCAATCAATACTAATACTAGTGAAAGATGGCTCTTGAGAGTCGAATCTGTCGTCGTCCTCTCACCAAGACAGATGCTGAATGCCAAATGCCAGCCAAATGCCGCAGCATTTCTCACCGCTCGGTCACCTGATCAATTGATAGCCCGCCTTTCCAATCCACGGACGGGCATTCCAGCATTGCATCATTCCATTATCCATCCATCCATCCATCCCTCGAGGAGCCAGTCAGTCAATCGGTCTATGGACAAGGTCAGCCCCGGCAATCCAGTCGTAACAGATTGAGCCCTTTTCTCCGTCTACGATCGGCAGCCCAGCCCCATCGAGATGAGACGTGGTATGCCCAATCACAACACATGATATTCGAGTTTCCCCTGCCCATCACTGCTGCGTCTCCAATTCTTTCGCCGGGCTATTTTCTTTGCCATCCTGTTGGTTGTCATGTTTGCACACGTCGCTTCAGGAGGCGAAACATTGTGTGGATTTTGCTTTTTAGCGTTCGTCTGTTCTTCCGACGGTCGACCGAGTATCGCGATTCGCCACCACAACCCACGCAGCATCCGGTTTACGCGCGTATGAGCAGCAGCTGAGAGAGACATGTGTGGCAGACGGCAGCATTGTTTGCTCATGGGCCGTACAATGCAGTCATTCTCTGCTACACTCCCCAAGCAGGACACGGCACAAGGTCTGCAGGCGTAGCGTTGCGCGATCGACAGGGCTGGGAGTCATTATACTTCTTGTCTTTTGCAATCCTACCCGTCGATCCATTCACCTGTGATGTAGACACGTCCTTCAGAGGATAACATATGAGAGCATCCAGAGAGAGAAAAAAAAAAGATTGTTCAACCAGCACGACACGTAAGCCCATCTCCACACGAGTCACGACCGGTTCGTCTCAGAAGACAATCGCGCAGTTCTTGTACTCTTCCGAATATATTCTCTGTCAAAGTACAGCAAACTTTGGACATTTACCAGTATTCCGATCACATAAAGTTTATCGCCCCGTACCCACGTTTTCCACCACACCGTCTCCGTTCTCCATTGATATGCAGCCGAGTGGTGTGAACCGGCCCAGGCACCATCCATTAACTGGTCTCGGCGCTTTGTACCAGTCTTGTAACTATCTCATGTTTGCTGGCCCGTCACTTGTGCGGCAGCCGTATCAGGAAGTGATGTGTAGTACCGTTGCTCACTCAGATGGCTGTATTACCCGTGTCCAAACCGCGCCCCCATCCCCTTTGCGTAAATCCCTTTCCATCTTGTTATACTTTTGCTATTTATAACATCCATCCTTCCTCCGTTTCCTCTCTTGCAAACACCGTATTCTTTTTTCTTTTTCTTTATTTTTCCATTCTTTTATAAATCCGTACTCTCGGCTTTCTTTATTCCAGAACTTTGACAGTTCGTTCCTGGTGCGAGTCATCAATATAGAAAACAAAAGAAGCAAAGAAAAATACAGAAAATGAAGTCCACTCTCTTCTTTCTGGCCACGATGCCGGCCGCCTTCGCCACCAAACTGGCATATACGCCTCCTGCCGCCCTCGCCGTCAAAGCCGAGGACCCCCAAAACAAGTGTGTCCTGCCAGCGGACTACCATGTCAAGAGCTTTACCGCGACGACCAACGGCACGGGTGACGGCTTGACCTCGTACCAGTTCAAATTCCTGGACACGACTACAAACTCGTCGACCAGCTGTGAGTACGGTCCTGCGTCCAAAGCCCAGGATTCAAGCAGCGGGGGCACACTGCCGCGGTACTCCTGTGAGAGTGCAGACGTGAGCTTCATTTGGCAGGGTCAGACGAAGAAGCTATCCATGATTCAAAAGGTCTGCCCTGATGACAAGGGGTAAGTCTCTCCCCTCTCACACCCGTCTTTGAATATTTGCTCCCGTGGGTATCTTGTTTCGATGCTGATAGCAATGGCCCCCATCAGCCAAGCCGAGTACGAAGTTGCCGGGTCCGTCGTCATTCCCCTGACTTGCAATCTCAATGCTTGCCAGGCCAATGCTACCGACTACACGGGTACCTTCAACAGCCTCAACGCTGTCAAGCAAACTCCTCCGGCCAGACGCCAGCGCGGCGTTGCGTGGTCCTATGACCTGGCCAACTAAGCTTGGGGCTTGGGGACTCGGATGAGGTGACGAGGGAGAAAGAGCAATAGTGCCACGTTCGGTATGGCAAGCTCCCGACTATTGTCGCCGAATTAATGAATACGCCTTTTGCTACTCGGTATATATTGTTTTGCGTCGCCCATCTTTGACCCCTTCGCGGTGGGTTTCATGTTGCAAACCCCTGCGTTGGAAAAAGGGAGAGTTTGAAGCGGCGCGATTGCATGTCCCACATGCAGCTTTTGGAATGTACAGTTCGATACGCTACTATAGAGATTGTCGGAAATTCGAGACCCTAAATTGGTATACTTTTTCTGGTGAGCATTACTGCACTGATGTCGCATGTCGTATGCCAGTCGTCTATGTGAGTGGTTGCAAAACGTCAACTGGTGCCAAGAAGTTAGTTACCTTGTGCCCGTTTCCATCACGCACCCATGGGCCATGGCCGCATTGTATTCCCCAGCCAATTAACCCTCTCCGTGATGAATGTTCCTGGTCTCGCGCCCCCTGCATGGCTTGGCTTCCCTTTTCCCTTCATTTTTGGCCTTGCTGTCAAGCTGGGCTGACCCGGTGCCAAACATGGGCAGGTGCAGCGCCCCGCACCTCCTTCACTCCGCACTTTTGGCGCATCAGGACTGCCCACCACGCCGTGTCATAGTACAAAACAGTCACGAGTCCACTTCTTGCTTACGCTTTCAGCTTTCTTGGCTGACCACTCGTGTTTTGCCTCGACCAGACCGTTTCACGGTGAGCATTCCTTGCCATTGACATGTATTTTACTTAGGGGCGGCCCCCCTTTGCAACGCGCTCGTTGTCGCCGTTGCGCTGCTTCTGAGATTGAATTGACGATTGTAATTCTTACTTGGTCCTTCGACACGTCGCGATACCCGTGCTGCGTCTGCCGATCTGAATCCACCACCGCCGTTTCGGGACGTTGTGGCTGAGAGGAGAAGGCTGCTTTGTTGGGGCTGCGACGACATCAGCCAAACTACTACACCAAAGGGAAGACAAAAGAAGACGAGTTGACAAATACAAAAACGTCTGGCTCCACTTGGATAATGTAAAACGCGGATTCTTCCATTTTACACCTGTCGGATATCTTTCAACATGTGGTCTTGGGCGCTTCTCATACAACCGCTGCTGTGGTGGCGGCTTGCTCACAGTTCTCAGCATCACGTCATAGACTCGCCCTCACCAAATAACGAATCATCGCCGTCAAGCATATCAACGTCGTTGTTTGCGGATCTTGAGCGTCTGTCTAGACTGGTAGACGTGTCGTACTGCATCGGCAGCACCGGCGTCCACAAGCCATTTCAGTGCCTGTCGCGGTGCAAAGAGTTTCCTGGCCTTTCTCTAGCCATGACATGGAGCACCGGGTTTCTCATGGGCGACAGCTGCGGCTACATTGCGGTGGATCATGGGAGCAGATGGATGGAGAATCAAGATGGCGGCGTCTCTGGGGAGAGGAACGGCGCCATCATTGTCGCATTTAGGGGCACATACAGCATCGCCAACACGGTGGTGGATTTGGGCACGATACCCCAGGAATACGTGCCTTATCCCGCCCCAGATGACGATGACAGCGACTTCCTGGAGAACTGTCGTCGCAAGTGCGACAATTGTACCGTCCACATGGGGTTTCTGCACTCGTGGCGGATGGCCAGGGGGACGGTTGTGCCGGAACTCAAGGCGCTGAGGAAGAAGTATCCGTCTTATAAAATCCAGCTGGTCGGGCACAGCCTGGGCGGTGCCGTGGCCTGTCTTGCCGCGCTGGAGCTGAAGCTGTCACTCGGCTGGGACAACTTGGTTGTGACTACCTTTGGCGAACCTCGGGTCGGCAATTACCAACTGGCTCGCTATATCGACAAAGCGTTCCAACTGGACGGCACGAGAAATTTGGAACACAGGACGTACCGCCGTGTGACGCACAATAACGACCCGGTCCCGCTGCTACCTCTGGAGGAATGGGGTTACAGCCCTCACGGCGGAGAGATATACATTTCGAAGCAGGAGCTCCAACCTACCGAAGAGGACATTCGATCATGTGTTGGCGATAGCGATCCGGAGTGTAGTGCCGGTGCTGAGACCTCTTTGCTCGAGGATATGCGTCGACTGCTCCATTTCGCCTCTGCCTCCCCGTCTATTGAGGAGTACATTGTGGCGAGGACCTTGCCGACTCGTCTCAAGATTTGGCAGCTGTTTTTCGCACACCGAGACTATTTCTGGAGACTGGGGCTCTGTGTGCCGGGAGGAGATCCGGCGAACTGGGGACGAGGTTGGTCAGGCGGAATCGAGTCGGAAGAACTGTAGAGGAACCAGATGCGCCGCATTGGTCTGGTGGCTTTGACGGACCAACCATTCGTGGCAATCTTGTCGTTTTTTCAATCGTTTACACTTTGGAAAGCTTAGATACCCGTAACGAAAAATATGTATTTAATGGAGTAATAACTAGGTTTGTATAGTCTAATCAGCCTTATGTAAAATTGCCCTATGTAATATATGTATGTACTACACACGTGCCGTGCACTAAGCTTCTCTAGGTGGGATACAAACAACCTTGTTTTCGCTTTGCAAAAGCCAAAACCGTAGAGAGCATGAAATATGGCTGACACTCTATATATATGTATGGTGCATAAAGGAAATCAACCAACCCTGGACGCATTAAAATGAGGTTATGCTAATCCTGTACGGGCTCTTCACAAAAACAGTCCGTGACACAACAGCCTCGCAAACAACGGTCACGGGTGGAACCAGATCTCAATATCGTAGCCAACCAGATGCGGCAGGGTCAGACCAAGTCGGACAACTCACCCAGGATTTCTCGAACCAGTGACGCGCATCAAGGCTGCCTGCGCTCACTTCGTCATACGTCCCTCATCCTGAGGCTGAGCCACGCGACATTGGTGAAGCCGTCGTTTGTGGTGAAAATCAAGGACGCGTGCTACAAAGAGGGGTAGCCGTATGATGAAATGAGTCACAGTAGCATCTGGGAAATTGCCACCACGGACCTGTAGGAGGCGTGATGCATGCTCCTCCATGAGTTACTGACAGTGATTGAAGGAGGCGCGCAGGGCACCTATCGTCCTGAACGTTGTCCTCAGGTGCTGCTCCGGATGTTCTTGAACTCGCACCATTGTGAGCCAGAACAAATGCCACTCGGTCCAGCCTCACAGACGTATATATCTACAGACGCATATATATATATATATATATGTCGCACATGAAAGCAAGAATCCGGTCCCGAAGGCCTCCTGCTTAAACCAACGTGATAGTTGCTTCCCACTGTGATGTACGGTTGGCATTGACGTGAATCCTCGTCAGCTGTTAGTAGTTACGGCTGGTCAGTGGGGACCTCCAGCGGGTTGGGCCAGCCATAAAGCAACATGGAAACCAGGCATCAGCAGCCAATGCTTGGACGGCGATTGTTTGCTGGTTGGGGTGCCAGGTGACCAAGACGAGACTAATATGATGGCCCATGGAGCATCACCGAAAGAAGCCTCGACTGCCTGGGTATTTGGTGAGACGTAAAAAATGCAAAATGAGGAATGGGCGTCGAAGGCAGCAGGCTCTTGATTAAGTCGGTGGCCGAAATCATCAGTGTATTGTCGCTGAAAGCAAAGATTTTCAGCCGCTCACTGCCTAAAGTAGGTAGGTAAAGACCCTGCTTCTTGGTATTGTGGATGCGCAGAGTGGGATTGATCCGGTAGGGAAGACGGAGTACGGAGTAGTACCGCCAAGTACGGCGTCAAGTTCTGGCCCGTCCAACTGGATGCGACGACCTGGTTGGGTCTGCCATTGTGACGCTAAGCGGCATTGTAAAGGCATTGCTGCAAGGTCGCAAGAGGACTCATGTGCCGAGGACCTGAGGCTCGCGATAGCCCACGTACCACAGATATCGCTTTTGCATAGACATACCAAGTGCGACCATCGCTGGTGTTTTCGGGGTGGACGGAGGAGATGTCGAGGTGTAGCGTTTCTCCTGGATAAGCTGGAGGGAGAATGTAGAGATCGACCAAGGCATGGATGAAAAGAACAACTGACCTTGCCGTGCTGGCGCATATGTTGAGGTACCTGGTACTTGGTGAAGGAACAGACGACCGATGGAACGCTGCATAAAGTAAGGCTGCAGAAGAGGCAAGAATAAAGCTACCAGGTGCCTGAGACAACTTGAAAGGCACCTGGGCTCTAACTTTGGGGTACAGTCCCTAGATGACCTCTGTGCTTTCTCAACTGCCTTGAGTGCCTCGTACCTAAAAAAATATCCAGTAGTAAAATCTTAAAACTTTGCACTGAAGCATCTATGTATTTTGCGTGTGGTCTGAAGTCGACGTCGATTCAATGAAGCGACAATTTAGTTGTTGGGCAGTCATAGCAGAAGAACAAGATTGGGTTGGGTTTACTGACGGCGAGGCAAGAGCGTTTGAGCGTGCGGGTTTGTTGGCAGCGACACGGCCCAAGAAATGTACCAGACATACGGAGTACTACTGGGTCGAAGGGAGGTACCCAGGCGCTTCGCTTCGGACACCTCGTAGGATCGCCGTTTGGAATGCCTGGAGGCCGTTATGCAACAGCAAGTCTGATGCCAGAGCCTCGAAACAACTGCTTGGGTACGTGTTTTTGCTCGACCGTCGACATTCGACACTTGGCGCCGAGAAAGCTTCTCGCGTCGAGCGGCTCATCACCACGGCCGTTTGGGGCAGACAGCAACAGGCCCTTGGTCCTGCAGCCGCACATGTGTCGACCCTTCCCTTGCTGCGTGCCCCAGGTGCCACCACGTCGACACATGTCTTTGTCCAGGTTTGCTTCAATCTTCTGCGACAGCTTGCGGCGACCAGTCCCCGTCGAGATTGATGGGCATACACGTCCCAAGTCGGTATCCACAATGGCTTCGTTCTTCCACGGGCATCCACAAGCCGGACACACACGCGACTCCACCAGTGGCCCAGCCCGCTGGCGCCCGTCCACGTCCCCAGTTCAGTCCACAGTCGTCGCAGCACTTGGCCAGGCCAGCGTCGGCGTCCTAGCGCTGCCAGCCTCGGGTCGTATTGCCGCCGGGTGCGCACCTGGCCAGACGAGCTTTTCCTCAACTTTGGCGACGGAGTCATGGGGGGTTAGAGATGGTGGTGGAAGTGTCTGGTGAAGAGGCACACGGAGCCGGGCTGGTGGCATCATCAAAACATGAGGAATGAACCGCGGACACGACGAGACAAGAGTGCTCTGCCACAGGGCCCTGTTCCGCCGCCAAGTAGCCGCCCGTCTGGCTTCTGACTGAAATCAAATTGCTATGAACACATGCATCTCTCTGCCGACTGTCCAAGTGTGCTCAAGTCATGTCAAGTAGCAAGGAGCAGTCTGGCAAAGGCCACGGGCCCCGAGCCCCGAGCCACGCAAGCCATGGACAGGCAGTTCAGTGTTTGGGATGCGCGGGTGCGTGGCATTGATTATTGAAGCTCTGGCGAATGCCTACATGTACTCCGTATCGTTGGCTCACTTGTGGTGCCAGCCTTGAGCGCTTGACATTGACCGTGCCGCCGTCAATGTCAACATGTCAACTGGTCAAGTCTGCCTCTCTCTGCCCAGCTCCGCCCCAGGGCCCCAGAGCCCGGAGACGGGGGCCCCCCTCCAGAGCCTGGAGGCCCAGCACCCAAACCGAACCAGCTGGCCAGACTTGACCAGTTGACCTCGACCTCGACCACTGCTTCCAGAGGCTCGTGGTCCACAATCAAAATATAAACACCCACCCCCTCATCTCGTCCCTTCAACGCCTTATCTACAGACCCCCCCGAACACGCTTTTTTCCACATTTCTCTCGCATCATCCTTTTTGATTCCCTCTTCGCACTTGTCTCGACACTTTCTCTCCCGTTATCTCTCTATCCACAAAATGACCACTGAGGTACGTTCTTCTCTATTGAGTCTTGCTCCCCCCTCCCTCACCTCCTCTCAAAACTCCCACCGCCGTTGCGGCCCGTGTCTATTGCCTCATCCTGCCCGCGAGCGTGGCTGCGCAAGCTTGCAGCTCCGGCTCCGGCTCGTTACGGCGTATCCTTGGTCATATATCGACATGTTCAGTCAATCCCAGCTGCCAGACGCCGGCGACACCCCTTGCCTCCCCTCATTCTACCGCTGCCTGCGTTACGCTTTGATCCATTGGTGCATGATGCTGACGATATTTCTTCTCTTTAGCGTGAAAGGTTTGTCCGCCTACACCTGATCCAGAGACTTGTGCCTCTTCTCTCAAAGAAAACAAGAAAAATCTCCCGCGTCGCTGGCCGGAAAGACTGACATTTTTTCGATGTGCAATATAGCAAGACCTTCCTCGCCCGCCTCTGCGAGCAGGCTGAGCGCTACGATGAGATGGTCACCTACATGAAGGAGGTTGCCAAGCTCGGCGGTGAGCTGACCGTCGACGAGCGTAACCTCCTCTCCGTCGCCTACAAGAACGTCGTTGGCACCCGCCGTGCCTCGTGGCGCATCATCTCTTCCATTGAGCAGAAGGAAGAATCCAAGGGTTCCGACAAGCACGTCTCTACCATCAAGGAATACCGTTCCAAGATCGAAACAGAGCTGGAGAAGGTCTGCGAGGATGTTCTCAATGTTCTGGACGAGTCTCTCATCCCCAACGCTGCCTCTGGCGAGTCCAAGGTCTTCTACCACAAGATGTACGTAAAAACTGCTCCAGCCGGTTGCTCATGCACAAACAGTGTCTCCATAGATTGCTAATTGTCCTTCTCCGCTAATAGGAAGGGTGACTACCACCGATACCTTGCTGAGTTTGCCTCGGGTGAGAAGCGCAAGGGCGCTGCCACTGCTGCTCATGAGGCTTACAAGGTTAGTAAATATCGCACGCTGCAGTTGCCTAATAAATCGTCCAATGACGGCGCGCATAACAATTGATCATTCCGTACTCCTTAAAGCTCTTGATGCTAACCCTCTGAAAACTCTTTAGAACGCCACCGACGTTGCTCAGACTGACCTTACTCCCACTCATCCCATCCGCCTGGGTCTGGCTCTGAACTTCTCAGTCTTCTACTACGAGATTCTCAACTCGCCCGACCGTGCTTGCCACCTCGCCAAGCAGGCCTTTGACGATGCCATTGCCGAGCTCGACTCACTCTCTGAGGAGTCCTACCGCGATAGCACTCTGATTATGCAGCTGCTGCGCGACAACTTGACGCTGTGGACTTCATCCGACAACGCCGAGGCCGAGGGCGCTGGTGCTGCTGATGCCCCCAAGAAGGAGGAGGGCGAGGCTGCGGACAAGCCTACTGAGGAGGCCAAGGCTGAGGAGCCCGCGCCTGAGGCCACCAACTAAACTCTTTTTTTCTCACATCTCCGATATCATGAGCATTTCGGCAAAATGGTACCGAGATGCGATTTTGGGCTGGCTTGTTCTCGCATATTAACCTCTATTGTACACGAGAACAGCTGGATCGTGTTTTTTAGGGCTGGCAGGCAGGTGAATTTTGCGCCGGTGCGCAGATGCGTCGATGTTTTATTTTACGGCAAACGCGTGGAGGGGTCAAGGTGGTCCTTGTTATCGACTAGGGAAAAATGGAAATTGTTATGGTCACGGATTGAATTCGTACGTTTTCGCCCCATTTCACCTTTTCGTTGGGCCAGAAAGCCTTTGCTGGTAGTCTAGTCTCTTGTCAGGCGAGACTTTTCTCATCAGCAACGCTTTTTTCCGGGTACTTGCCGTATCACGGATGATCCCTTCCACCACGAGAGTTTTGCCCCTGGTGTCGTTGTTTTCCATGTCTGGTTTGACGACTCGCCGACTCGAGTCAATGCAAATGTTGCTGTTGGTTTTTCTTGGTGTCCTTGTTTTTGCCTCTTGCCCCTCCCCCATTTCATTATTGTTATGTCTGTTATTTTTTTTTAGTTGCTGGCTGCTCGTTTTCCTCCTGTATAATGGCTCAGTCTCTCTCGGGAGAGAAGGAATCGTCATGTGGCTGTTGCATCTTCATTTCCCTCCCCCAACGCACAAAAACTAAAAAATCACTTATACCGTTCTCCACGGCCGATAATGAGTGAAGAGACGATGATAGTTTCGTCTCGTGACTGGGGCGGCTTGTATGTAAAGCTGGATTGTGGACAAGTAGTACGTTTCTATGGGGACTGAATTTCCCATGCATGATTCGGTGCTACGTTGCTGGTCTGGTTTACACTCTAGGCGTGGATTAATGAACACTGAAATAAAAATCTAAACTACGTGCCTCTTGGTGTGATTGCGTAGGGGAAGATTGTGGGTTTGTAGTCACGAAGTATGGCATTTCATACGAGGCTTTTTGATGCCAATTTGACTGGGTATGATGAATATGCATATTAACCAATTATGCTAGATTAAGTAAATATAAACCGTGAGGGAAAGTATACGTATATACTGCTGACATGCCAGACTCCGTCACCATATGCCCAATATTCAACGCCAGTGCACGAACCGCATGTGTATTGTTCCTGTTTTTTTTTTTCATTGTCTCATCCTGCATGGCTTTGAAATAATCTTCAAGCCGGGTATCATTCTCTTCTGTCCAGTTTCATGAAGTGGCTGCGCGATTCTGATCTAATAGGCGAGCGGCTCGTTCCAAACGCTCGTGCTTCTCTCTAAGACCTCGACCCGTGCCGACCTTGTCATCGCTGCTCTCTTCACCAAGACCGACTGCTTCTTCGATTGTATCGACGCCTCTTGCGTCCACCGGGGGCGGGGGAGGCGGTGGTGCGCGGTACATGGCAGTCTTGATGGCAGGTTCATGGTCCAGGTCTTCATCTTCAAAACCGCCGAAGCGGCCGCCTGATAGACGACGGGCAATGCGGCGCCAGAATCGGCGGCCCCGAGACATGGCACCAGCGCTATGTTGCCGTTGTGACAAGGAATTCCCAGCAGACGAGTGTGTATCCGAAAGAGAGAAGGCGATGCCCGTGGAACTGGCTGCCGAAGAGGCAGCGTCGTCAAGTGCCGAGGCGACTTCAGAACGCCAGATGAGAATACGGTTCTGAGTTGAGGCAGAAATGTTCGACCCCCGTGCAGCCATGGCTGAAATTTTGGAAGAGACAAGAGGCTAAGGACTTTTGGTCAGGGTCCAAGTGTTGAAGGAAGGAATGCCGTGTGACTCTCCGTCCAAGGTCGGAGACCCAACCAGGAAGTTCTGAAACGGAGGTGCAGAAGTTTCTCTGGATAAGTTGTCCAGTCCAAAGGCTAGTTATACTTTCTTTGGATAATACTACTTCACCCTGTATGAAGAAAGAATTGGGACTTGGACTGCCTCTTGTTTAGTCTAGTCTGTTGTTTTCACGTTGAAATGTTTGTACTCGGCCCTATGAGGCAATGGCGCGGCACTGGTAAGTTTCGGCAGGTATATCGTATGTTAGTGCCGTTGGCGGTTCGGTGTATTGGCAGAGAGTATTTCTTATGTCTGAGTCAATTTCGGCAGGGTACTCGCAATCTCAGATGCTGCCCATACGCCCCGTGACCGACACCAGCTGACTGGAACGGGCGGCAGTCGGGTAGAGGAATTAAATGCGATCGTGAGAAAAATGGTGACCTCGGAAGTGCTAGTTTCTTTGGATCGAGGCTGCGTGGGTTCGGAGCCAGGAGCGTGACTGGGGTAGTTGTGTGGGTGCTGGTGGATTAGTATTTGACTGTTGGCACCAGGTCCAATCAAGCAACCGATATTAACGGTACGTTGGTATAATAGCTTTCAAATGTATGGGTATCTTGCGGATAGGATAGAAGCTGAATGGCGCACGGGGTTGTGTCATCCAAGGAGAGAGGGCAAACGCAAGCGATGTGGACTATAAGAGCTCTGCCTCACGGGACACGCAGATGTGAGCGAGTTATTAGAGGGTGGAGAGTAGGGAAGAAAACGTGTTGGTGTGTGTAGTCATTCGCGAGTAGGTGGGCGTTGTCGACTTTAAGGACCGCTGCGTTGAAGGGGCCTAGCCTCGATGACAGACAGCCTGGTTGGAGACACCTGAGCAAGGGAAACGGCTAAAGGAAGGCCAGAACAGAACAGAGGGAAGCTTCCTAAGCTAACGAGAAGACCGTTAGTCTAGGTCCTATCGCTCGCTGTACAACGGCAGTGGAGGGTGGGCAGGCACATACTAGGGAGTTGTTCGTGAGTAGTAGTATGAGAAGCACATGGATGAAGTCTTGGAGGCGATCGCCTCGGGAGACAGCCGAAGCTTAATCAGAGCAATGGAGATGGGCCTCACAGCACCCATAACACCAGAGCACCACCGCACCCTGGGTTCGTGCAGCAGTATCTCGATGGCGATCGCTGATACGCCAAGGTACAAACATGGAAACTGGAGCCGGTGGTGGTGGCGGAGGAGGCGGCGTCGTGGAGGTCAAGCCGTGGATGGCCAAGATGGGACGATGGATTCTGGTCTCGTGATGGCTCGTGGCATGCGGCAGTCTGCTCACCTGGTTGGAGGAGAGCAAGAGGGCTCAATGACTCTTCCCTTCGCGAGTGGGAAAACAGCCTGGCGTGTTCCTTCCCGCCACCGTTCTCCGTCCCAAGCCTAGAACTCAGAACTGGTGTCTGCGCGGAATACTCCGTATCAAGATGTGAAGATTGAATGATTCTCGATTCCTTGCCCGAAGTTGGTGTTGAGCCTTCTCTGCCGTCCACCGGAGCCAGGTGGACCTCTTTTCGCATCATCATTTCCACGCCCCTGCGAGACCGTGCAGCAGTCACGTCGCTATCGGTACTTAATCCGGTACTCTACCACCCAGATCACGGCGGCAGTAGCAGTCGAATGGGTGCTGTGGTGGGTGGCAGCAATTCGGACACTTCCTGCGCATGCTGACCTAGGGCTATGGAGTAGTACATCAGCCCACCAATGCAGCCCACATCGCGAGGCGGCAACAGCCAAGACCAAGGTAATCGCCGTGGCCGCCCAACAACCGCAACACCAACCGCGAAGTACCGTGATGCGTTGTAACGGACTTGGGCAGGGGCCCCGGTAGTCTTGCTGTCTTGGCCTGGCGATTCATCACTGGCGTGGCCGAGCTGTGGAGACGGCGCAAGCCCCAAGGCCTTGGACGTTGCATGTGGTCGCCACTTCTGTCAGAGCAGCAGCCGGAACAGCTGCGTAGCTGGGGTGCTGGTGAGACTGGCATGTTGTACCAGGCTACTACTAGTATGTACTCCGTACTACTACTAGTAATAGCTTCATCTAATATTGTATGCTGTGCGAAAACTAATAGCGCAGAGGATGGACTGACAAACTTCTCGAGCGGGTGGACGGCCTTGGCGGAACCGTCACGCCCTCAGACATGACAATGCCGGACACGCAAATCGGCAGGCATGGTGTCTTCCACACTGGTCCGTTGTCGTACCCAAACCTCAAAGCCATGTTGGCTCGAGCATTCTCTGGCGGCTCAGAAACGGCAATAGGGCGGCCCGAGGTTTGCAGCCAATTTGCAGATTCCGCCTCATTTAACAAGCGATGCAGCTGATGAGCAACCCAAATCTCCCCAGCCCCCAGCCGTTCCCGTTCGTGTCTTCGTCGTTGTGGGGGAGACAACAGGGCCCGGGCTTGAACTCAACTATCAGCCCACCTTTATTACTCGGCCCAGAGCCCTTGGGAGCATTCCAGAGCCCTCAATCATCTCCAGAATCCGTCCTTCATCTCACCTCTGCCGCTCTTCCTATATCCGAATTGTCAGAGGATTTTTAGCGTCAATCTGTCCTCCTTCATCCGTGTTGATGACAGCCCTGCCCCCACCACGTTAAACAATTGCTCGTGTACCGGCATAATGAGTAATACCCCTAGTTCTGTCTAGCCCCGGACCGGCAGCGTCGTGTTCTCATAATATCGTGGTATCAAAGCGACGATGCGCCATCATGTCATTGCGCCTACAAGAGAGTAGCACCAGCTACTCAGTTACATCTTGCAACTGTGTCTCGCGTCCAATCACTTGCCAATATTCGTCAATGGGAGGGCTCATCCTCCGGGATTTCAGTCACGTCACACGCATTGCATCGCCCGTTAGTTTCAAGCTGTTTAGCTCTAACAAGAGTCTCATAGGGTCAATACGCCGTACGCCGTACGTACATACATACATACCCAGAGCTTGGCTACCATTGCATGCCCAATTGCCAAGTTTGTATCCTTCCCTCGCTCCCGCCCTTCCCCCCGGTCATTTGGTGTAACCATGTATCGTCTATTGTTCCCGTTCACGTACCCAAAAGAAAAATGTCTCTCTTTCTTTGCAGCGCCATGTGCTCATTAGAGTGTTCCACGAACCACCAGTCGTGTTCGATTCCGTGGAGTATTTGTTTCGTAGCCAAAGTGCTCCCTGATCGATTTTTATCCTTGCCGCCGCTCCCGTGCCCCCTGTTCTCTCTGATCAGACACGGCCAAGGCAAACCAAGGCTCCCAGGACATCCCAACTAGTAGTACTATTGCTTCGAACTGGGCTGCAGGGCTTCCCACCCACCAATACCTTCACCGCCATCATCATCCGTCGAGTCCAACAGGTCCACGGATGCAGAGGATCCTGCAGCCTCCTGGCCGTGGCGGCTTGGGAGTGGAGGTTTAAATCCGTTGGCGTGCCCCGCGGTGCCGGCTGGTCCCTTGCTGTTGCGGGCCCCGCCTTGTCCACCGCCAACAATTGCTGTTGCCGATTGAGATTCAGCAGCCGTCTGTTGTGGTGCCACGGCCACGGCTTTCCGAGCCAGCAACGCGTGCTGACTCACCTGTGATGTGGTAGACGCCGGCCGTGCAGGGCGAGCAGGCGTGGCGTCCTCGCTTCGTGCAGACGTGCTTACTGTTGAACCAGTTGTTGTCTTCGAGAGTGGTGAGCCTGCGGCCAGATGGGCGGGCTTCTTGCCCACTGGCGGGGGAGGCTTGCCGGCTTTGCCTGCAAGTTGTTGCGACAGCTGTGATACTTGTGGTGCTTGTGAAGCTACCGATGCGGAACGCGGTGTTGTGGGCAATGCCGGTAGAGTCTGAGTTCTATCCAAACCGAAGGCCTGCGTTGTAGCAGTAGAGACAGATGTGTTTGGTCTCGAACTTGCCGTTTGTCGTCGAGGCGGTGGCGGCGGCGGTGGTGTTGCGGATATGCCTGTGTCAGACTGACTGCTAATGCTCTGCTCATCATCTAGTCGCAAGCGTCCCACCTTCGCGGGCAGCTTAGAAGGCTCATGTGGTATCGGAATCTGTTTCCTCGACACTGCCGCAGCCCGTTCCGCCATCGCTTTTGGCAACGACACCTTCTCATACGGCGAGCTCGATATACTAGAATATCCAGTCGAAGACCTTGGCACCGACACCCAGTCAGGCTCTTCACTCTGGCCAAACGGATTCGACGGCCGGTTCGGATTCAGGGCCATTGGGAGACCGTCGCGACCATTCGGCGCTGCCACTTGCGCCCGCGCCGGTTGTCTGTTCTCCAGCCACCATTTCTGGCGGTCTGAACTCGCGGGCGGAAGACCGGGCTCAATGGAATCATACCCAATAAGGTCCTCATCATCTGATTCTTCGCCGTCGCCCAGATGGGCCGTGGGGTCGCCTACGTCTGCTTTGCGGCGCTGGTACAGCTCGAGGCTGATATTTTGGCGTTTTCTCTCGTCAACAATGTTGACTCTGCATTCAAACGTAGCATATACCGGGCGGTGGTCGGAGAATCTGAGCGGTGCGGAATTGTACGAGGTTTGGCGGAGATTAGCGCCTTTTCTGAGGATGCGGTCTGTCCATGCTGGAATTCGTGCCTTTTCACTAATTTTTTGCTTCCTCGTCAGTCTTGTTACACGGCACATTGAGATGGGTTTGAATACGGTGTGGCTCACGAGCTGTCATAGGTGTCTGAACCGACGTCGAATTTGTACGTGGGCATAAAATTGATCCGAGCCTCCGAGTAGAATGGGAACGATAAGCCAGCAACCATCTGTAAGTTGAGCTGGTCATTTTCGTAGAGTGTCTCTAGATCTTGCTTTTTGACTAGAGCCTTTGCGGCTTCTAAGCCTAGTCCAATGCGATAGTTGAAGTCACCCATCCAAATGATGGCGTCTACACGGGTCAATTTAGTTGAAAAAGTCCCATCATCCCAGGGCTGAATGCTATGGGTTGCTTACCGTGATCTTCAATCCCTCGATTACGTTGAAATCGCAACCCATGGTGAATCGTCGTGTAATCCCTGTTCCTCTCATCGTAGTTTGAAAACCCGGCTGCCAAATGCGCCGTGACAAAGCAAATTTGCGTATTGGCGTAATCGAATCGAATCGCCACGGCTCCCTTGTTTCCAGCCATACCTGAAAGACCGGTTTTTTTGACGCTTCCCTCGACATTTTTAATGTTCTTCAAGATGGACGTCTTTACAAAAATGCATAGAGCGGCCCCGACGAGTTGTCCACTTCGCAAGAGGACGTATTTGTCCCTTCCAAGTCTGGCTTGCCTATCGTTCAACGTGCGCTTGACGGCTTCTTCCCATAGATGTTTTATTGAAGGGTCGCTGTTCATAATTTGCTGAGGGCTTAGCTCAACGATTTCTTGAAAGGCAACCACATAGATGTCGGGTTGCTCGACGCCTGGTGAGGGGCCAAACAGCCAGGGCGACAAGTCGTGGCCTATGCCGTCTGTGCGGCCGTTCAGGTTGAATGTACCGGTCCATATGGTGATGTTTTCTGACGATGTGAATTCATCGCTCCGCTTGGAGAGTTCAATGGAAACAAAATCGCTGATGGGGTCGAACAAATGCACTGGAGCCTGACCCATAAGGCGGCCGAGCAACATGTCAATCGTCACTTGCCGCGAAGGGTCGACAAAGTTGTTATGGTAAATGCGCTGCACCGACTTGCGCACATCGGCCATGGCACCGGCCAGGGACATCTTGCCATGACGTGTGAAGGAAGATTTCAGGGCGCCGGTCCCCGCGTAGATTTTGGATAAAGAGTCGCCATTGTCTGCCCAGAGGCTAGAGTGCCTCATCCAAAAGTCAGATGCCGCGTAGTCGCTTCGGTGAGCCAGGAACGACTCCACGGCCATTTGTGAAATCAGTGTCTGGATCAAGTTCGTCCGGTCCAAACAATCCAGGCAGTTGGTGCGGAACACACCGTCCTGTTGCAATACAACCACCATGCGGCCGTTGTTGGTCCCGCCGGTCCTATCAGCCGGGTCATCTGTTTTCTCAGCAAGAAAGTATGCAAACCCGTCTGTTGACCCTTCGATATACCGGCGAATATCTTTCGCGGCTTCATAGCCCGCCGGACCTTTTGTTTCCGCATGAAAATCATAATGCGTCTCGCGAAGCAAAGCATGCTCAGCTGAGACACCGCTGGACTGGCTGTATGGAGAGTGTCGAATAGCGTTGCGGTACAGTGTCGACAGTTCAACTTCTGCGGGTTTCGTGTCGCTCAGCAAGTTTATGATGTGGACTGCACCGTATATGTGCTCCAGGTCTTCGAAATGCTTGTTGAAGGCAGGTTGCGTTCCTTCGGGTGATCTAGTAATGGTGATTTTCTGTCTGCCAGGAAGAAGGTCTGCAGCTTGTTCCCAGAACACGGGTACCGAGCCTCGAACCTGGACATAGGAGAATAGTGTGCCCGCTGGGCTGCAGAATATCGTTTCAGTCTCCACAAAGTTTGCTACATACCCATCGTCATCAATGCCTCTAGAGTTAAAGCGGGTTCCGGCTCTTCTGCATGACAGCCGCGAGATGAGGCTCATGTAGGATGGCATTCCATTCCTTGGTTCACGCAAGGGAGATGCACTCTGAGGAATAGTCACCGTCATACAGAATCCACGGATAGCAGACGTGAGGATTCGCGAAGAGTCCAAGGCCTCTCGTTCTGGAGGCATGAGGCGAGATCGAAACTCGACAAGTGGGCGAATCATGAACGAATTCCACAGGTATGTGTCATCAAAATTGTCAATGTCGAATGAATTGGGGTTAATAGATCTGCACCAACGTTAGTTAACTCTGCATCATAGGCCGTCGGCGTTTCGATAATCAATGTACCGACCTATCTTGTAGCCTGTTTGTCACATCAAAATCGGTACTATAATAGAATGAGCCATTGCTCAGCAGCTTTCGCAGCTCATGGCAAGGGTGTTCCACAGCAACCTCCCGGCGACTGAGGCTTTGGCCATATCCAGACTGACTGCTATATGTCGACATGGTATCCGAGAAGTCTGGCTCCTGGGATTCCAACGGCACAACATCGTCATAGTTTGCGCTGCTCAGACAGTAGAAATCCACAGTTGCAATCTTTTCCACAGTCTCTCCCGGTCGAACAGTAGCAGCTCTCTTGGCCCGAGTGATGACTGACAAGAACACTTCGCCGTTGGCAGAAATAAGACCCAGTGTACCATACACGGGCATAAGGCTCAGCGGGCGGTAGTCCTTCAACAGTTGGCTCGATATAGGGGCAAATTCCACCATGCACTTCGCAGCATGGGAGTCTACGCCGCCACGAGACTTGATGGAATGGAGAGAGGTTACCGATCCATTTTGAGGTGTGTCGCTGCTCGCCGACGAGCTATATCGCAATACCAGGGCATGGGACGAGGACACGATGGCAATCGATCGATAGGGAGAGTCCCTTATGTAGAGTTCACTCGATTTCTCGGGGGCGGAAGCCTGCGCAGCCCATGAGCTTTGTGTGTGGTCCATTGAGCTGGCGCGAGCATTGGATGTCTCTTCGGGCGGGCGGAAAGGGTTCGGTCTTGCTACGTGGGCAGATTATCCATTATCTGGGGATCGGTGATACAGGATTGAGCGTAGAAGTGCCGTTACCTGGCCTATTGTGGTAGCGAGTAGCTCACAACATGCGTGTTTGCGCGGATGAGCTGGCCAAATCCAGCCGTACATGACGTCGGCTGTGACACGTCGTTCGAGACACCCAGCGAGGCTCAGCCCCACGGGTGGTACAGCAAGGAGAATTTAAACAAAGGCCGCAACGGCAACATTGTCTCGGAAATGGTTTTGTTCTACACTCCTCTACCTTGCCTGATGATGATGTTTGTTTTTCTCTTTTTTTTATAAAAGAAAATATTCGTCGTGTCTTCATCTCAACGCTCCTCTGCCTGTGGCCTGTGTCGCATCTTGTCACAGCCTGCGCTTACTTTTCGTACTATGACAAGTTGCATTGTTATGAACACAACACCACTCCCTCTGCGAGATTCGAAATAGGCTTTTTTATAAAAATAATAATAATAGATACTTCCTCGTGGATTGCAAAAATAACACATAGCATTTCGTTAATTACAATAGAGCTTTTGGATTGCTGGTGTCCTGCGCAAGGGGATGCCTACCCTACAGGAAGATGGTGCGAGGGAGAAAACTTAGGGTTGAAGAAAATTCCTTTTTGACATAAGACTGACAGATACGCAGGAAACCACGCACGATGACTGCTCAGACTTTTGTCACCGAATGCCTCAAAAAGATCATCGCCAAATGTTAGTCTTCGACTAGGAGACTGGTGCCAACTGGCAGTATCTGCATGCTGCTACGAAGATTGTGTGTTGTGTTGAAGACTATGCTCAAGAGGGGGATAAAATAGTAATGAATCAAGCCTGGGAGCAGATCGAGCTTCAGATTTGAAATTGAGATCATGCTCTCTATTGAGAGAGCGTTCAGTCTCTTCCTATCATATGTTTTTATTGGTAAATCATCATAAGCCCGTATGGAGGGAAAGATTCTTCATCAGTACCTTGCCAGGAAAAAAATATTAATAGCGCCAGCTTAGTCACAGATGATGACTCAGCGCCAAGCACCTTTTTAGACTGGGTCCTACGGAGTACAGCTCCAGCGATAAAGGTACATATGCTACTTGTATACCTTCTTCATTCAACCGCAGAGAAAGCAACACACGGCTACACAGAGCTACATGGGGATAATGTATCTGCCATAGATCCTGGGCGCACTGCGCGAAACGAATTCCTCTGCCAGCCTTCCTGCATGCAACGCGCTGCATCTCTTCAACCTCCAACCCCGTGCTATAGTTCCAGAGCTCCTCCTCCTTCTTTTTTTCATCGTTTTTATCTCAATTAATTACGAGTCGTGACGCGCGAACGACCGCCATGAGTGAATTCGCTCCCTTCGGCGGCTCTGACGAAGAGTACGCTTCGGTGCGCAAGCACCAAGCTGAGGTGGTGAGTAGGCCCATGATGCGACAGTGCCGTCTACAAGCCATCGTTCAACGTCCAAACCACCCAATGCTGATGCTGCTAAATACAGGAAGCGGACCCCGATAACTTTGAAAGCTGGGAAAATTATATCAAGTCTAGCGAGACTCTAGATGGCGGATTAAATCGCAATTCAAGCCCCCAGGCGCTGGCTACGTTTCGCGAAGCCTACGATCGTTTCCTGCATAAGTTCCCCCTGCTGTTTGGGTACTGGAAGAAATATGCGGATATGGAATTCAATATTGCTGGGCCAGAGTCAGCAGAGATGGTATGGCGATGGATTCTTGAACCCAAGATACTAGTGCCGATACTAACCTGAGGGCTGATAGGTCTATGAACGAGGCTGTGCTTGCATTACCAACTCCGTCGACTTGTGGACCGACTATTGTTCCTTCAAAATGGAAACGACACACGACCCCCAGATTGTCCGAGAGTAAGTATAGCATGATGGTTTCCTTCCCCTTAACAAGCCATCAACGCAGTATCCCTAGAGGTCGCCAGCATACCTCACGTTGCCTACTTTATCCTTGAGACCTTCACACGTCGTTGTCGATACATGTGCTGGTGAGATATGCCTTCAATGGCCCTACCACTTTCGGGATATTCTCTCACGCTATGCGCCAGGCTCTGTTGATGTCCTGCTTCTTATTCACAGCCTCCCTCTTATCGCCTTGATGCCGCTTACCCCCATCGATGACCTGAGGAATGGAGTTGCATTTTTTGTACTAGTTGCTTTCGTGGTCGTACCCCTTCTTGTATTAAACCTCCCTTCCCCTATTGCCTATCCGTTTACGACATATGTCGAGATTTGTCGAATTCTAACATGATTTTCCAGCCTTTTTGAACGTGGAGCAAGCCTAGTTGGTCTCGATTTCCTTGCCCATCCTTTCTGGGACAAATATATTGAGTATGAAGAGCGGCAAGAAGCACAAGATCGAATTTATGCTATCCATGCTCGAGTAATTCGGATTCCAATGCACCAGTATGCTCGCTATTACGAACGTTTTCGCAATCTTGCTCACACTCGGCCGTTGTCTGAGGTTGTGCCGGCTGATGTTCTCAGCCGGTTCCAGGCCGAGGTCGAGGCAGAATCAGCAGCCCAGGGTGGTGGTGCACGGCCCGAGCTGGAGATAGAACGGGACATTCGAGCCAAGATTGACGCCATGTACTACGAAGTCTTTACGGCTACTCAGCAGGAGGTTTCTAAAAGGTGGACCTATGAGTCGGAGATTAAACGACCCTATTTCCACGTCACCGAACTGGAGCATTCTCAGCTCAACAACTGGCGCAAGTATCTGGATTTTGAGGAAGCCGAAGGGGACTTCGACCGCGCAGTCTCATTGTACGAGCGATGCTTGGTGACGTGTGCCTTTTACGACGAGTTTTGGTTCCGATATGCTCGATGGATGGCTGCACAAGACGGTAAGGACGAGGAGACACGGCACATCTACATTCGAGCATCGATTTTCGTACCGATTAGCAGGCCCGGTATCCGGATGCAGTGGGCTTACTTGGAGGAGAGCTGTGGCAGAATTGACGTCGCCATAGATATTCATGCAGCGATTCTTATGAAGTTGCCAGATTGCGTCGAAGTGGTTGTCTCATGGGCCCATCTGCAACGTCGTCAAAATGGACTTGAAGCTGCTGTTCAGGTGTACCGAGACCAGATTGATGCGCCAACGGTAGATCTGTATACCAAGGCTGCTTTGGTGGCAGAATGGGCTCAGTTATTGTGGAAAGTCAAAGGTTCAGCCGAGGATGCTAGAGCTGTGTTTCTCAAAAACTCGCAGTGGTACGGCGACAGTCTTGTTTTTTGGGAGAAATGGTTTGCGTTTGAGTTGGACCAGTCTGCAACTGGCGAGGAAGAAAAGGATACCGCCGAACGCATTAAGAGCGTGTTTGATGAGTTCCGCACGAAGAGCAAATTATCTGGGAGTGTCAAGCAGGAATTGGCTAGAGTCTACATGAACTACCTTGTCCAACGAGGTGGTAAGGACGCCATGACAATTTTCTTGGAAGTGGACCGAGACATGTTTGGGTGAGTTGTCTGACGATCTCGATTTTGCAGATCAAATAACTGACATTGCAAATAGACCTGCCTCAATATCCAAGTCGACTATAGCTTCCAAGGAGAATGGCACCACTGGCGGCGAGTTGGACGAAGCAAGCAGACGAAAGGCAGAAGCGAGGCTGTTTGCGTTTTACGAAACCCACACTGAGCCTAATACCGCAGCACAGGGTCCCGCAGACTTCAATTAATTTTAATACAAGTCGCTGGGTCCATCGAAATTGACGAGGACAGCCTTAGTAATGGATTGTCACGCATGCACGCTGTACAATAACTCCTGGATATGATGGCGAGCCACCATGCATACATACTAGTTGTCGGATGCTTGAAATATGAGATTCGACGTGGATGAGGGCTTATGGTACGAGCGTGGTCCATGGTGGAGTGGAGTGCCGCTTTCATGGCAGTCGCCTTTTCGGACCTCAGGTATTATGGACTTCATGCATGGAGGCAATTTGGCAACCAAAAATAAACGACCTTGGATGGGATAGAGCATCAATTAGTGGTCTGGGTTAAGCGTCGCAATCGTAGTGATTAATAGTCATGTATGGCTGCAATAAGTGCTAAACTAGTATAATGAAAAAATAGAAATGTGGTCCCGAGCACGCCAATCCGGAACTCTCTCTTCTCTACATTGTGAGTATTTTGACCCCCCCTGTTTTGGTATGGATATATGGGTTTATTATTTCGTCGTATTGACGTGGCAGAGGGTTGGTTATCTGGCAAAGGCAACGAGCGGAGTTGAGTCCCGGCCAAGACAGTTCAGTTCCTTCAAGGAGAGGATGAACTGGCGCGAAGTAGCGTCGGGGTTGCTGGTAACAGCCGTCTTCCGATTTCACTCACGGATGAAAGTGAGCGGAAAGTGAACTGAGTCAAGTGAATGTGGATAGTAGGAGGATACAAACGGGTGCCGGCTTGCGTTTGCCTCTCAGAGTTGTGTCATGTCAGCCGCTCATCTCGCCGTTTGCTTGGAAAAAGAGATTATATTTTGTTGGTAGGTCTCCTCCTTCCTGCTTCTTTCTTACCTCCTTCAACGCAGCTTCTCGTTCCCTTTCGCGTCATCTTCCGTTCCCAGAGCCATTGCCATATTTAAACTCTCCATTTTAGACCTGCTCATTTTGATTCTCTACTACAGCCCTCTAAGATGGTGGGAAAAGGAGGCACGCAAAGCGGCAAGTCGCTTACAAGTCCCGATCGTCTTCATAAGATTGATCAGCTAAGGGAGAAGAATGTTGGGACGCACATGCCTCTGCCACAACTTGTGGTCGTAGGTGATCAAAGTTCCGGCAAGTCTTCTCTTTTAGAAAGTCTAACTGGGATCCCTTTCCCGAATGGTCAAGGTCTGTGTACGCGATATGCAACGCAGATTACGCACCGTCGCGATAATGTGGAGGATATCACCATACGTATCATTCCTGGTCCTGACTCTACTGATGAAGACGTGGCTCGCTTGTCGGGTTATCATCGCAGCGTGAAAAACACTGATGAATTGCTTGTTCAGTTCGAGTCAATTTTGATCGAGGTGAGCAAATACACTATGACTTGATTCGATGGATGTCTGGGCTAATGGAAATTTTGACTTGAAGATTAATGCCGCCATGGGGATCAAGACCAAGTTGAACTCGGGGGGCAAGAAGACTTTCAGCCAGGATGTGTTGAAGATCGAAAAATGTGGCCCCACGGAGGATTATCTGACCGTCATCGATGTTCCTGGAATATTTCGTAACACTGAAGAAGGCGTTACAACCGAGAGGGACAAGTCGCTTGTTCTTGACATGGTCAAGGGCTACATTGAGCAAGAAAGGACCATCATTCTCGCCGTTCTCCCAAGCACTGTTGACATTATGACGCAAGAAATCCTCAACTTGTCCGAGAAATATGACAAATCTGGAGAGCGAACGTTGGGTGTGCTCACCAAGCCTGACTTGCTGACTGAACGCAGCACTAAATCTGTGATCTGCGACTTGGTCAATGGAAAGAAAAGGCCACTGAACCTGGGTTATTATGTCGTGAGAAACCGGGGTGCAGACGAGGACAGCCAGGATGGCTTACTTTCCCAACGAAGGGAGGACATGTTCAAGGAAGAGCCTTGGTGTCATCTTCCGCCTGAGCGAGTTGGGATAGTTGCGCTGCGGGCACGTTTGCAAGAGCTTTTGGGTCAAATCACTGACCGAGCTTTTCCCAAGCTTCGGACTGAGGCCAAAAAGTTGCTCGCCGATTGCAACAAGTCACTTGAAGCCCTCGGGTACTCTAGACAAACGGAGCGTGAGCAGCAGCAATACCTTTGTGAAATTGCCGCTCAGTTTCAAAGAACTGTACGCGATGCTCTAGAGGCCAACTATTCGTCTCAAAGTGTGTTTGAAAACAAGGAATTACGTCTCATAACACAGATCATCAACATTACAGACGAGTTCAACACCGATTTCACAAACACTTCCCACTCCCGCTGTTTTCAGAATGAGGATGAGGATGAGGATGATGAGGATGAGTCAGCCGAGGAGGCGACGGAGCACGAGGAGCATCCTAACCAGGACCTTGATCCCTCAAAATTCCCCGAGCTGGATGATTTGATCGATGTTGATTGGGCTCCTACACCTCCTGAGGGGGACATATTGAAATGGATCAAGCGCACATACCAGGGATCTCGTGGCGTCGAGCTCGGCACATTTGGCCCTGGTCTTCTCTCGAGTGCATTTCGAGAGCAGTCTACAAATTGGGGCCCATTGACCAAAGCTTATCTTGGCAAAGTCATTCTTGTCGTCCATCGCTTCATTCTACGAGTTCTTGGACTGAGTTGCTCAGACACAAAGGTTCTTGAAGAGATCAAGTCTCTTATCACGTCTGAGCTTCTGGACCGATACCAAGCTGGGATGGAGCAGGCGATGCTCCTTGTGAGCCTTGAGAGGGATAGGAAGCCCTACACGCTGAACAGCGCGTTCAATACTGAGCTTCATGGATCTCGCAGCCAGCGCGTTTTCGATCCGCTTAAGAATAAAGCCAAAATTCCTTACAACCATAACATCAAATATGTGGCTCTCGACGACATCGAGACCGTTGTAACAAATAAATCGAATTTGCAGAACGCCCACGAAGACATACACGATATCTTAGAGTCATACTACAAAGTTGCTCGAGAACGATTCGTTGACAATGTTTACCGTCAAGCGATCGACTATTGCTTGTTGACTGGGCCGATGAGCCCGCTGCTGCTCTTTACGGAGAAATGGGTTCTCAGTTTTGACGAGGAGAAACTCAACTGCGTCGCAGGAGAGTCCCTCTTGGTCCGAGAGAAGCGAGAACAGCTGACGAAGAAGATCCAGGATCTCAAGAGTGCCTTGAAAATCCTCCGCTAATTGGCTAAGGGGAAAGGGTTATGCAGTGGAAATGCAGGAATCCACTGGAGACGTTTGGAATACATTAGGATGAGGGCCACAAATTTCTGGTGTTGCTCAGTTGTGTGCGGAAGCTTGTTGTCGAGGAGGAATTGTCACCTGTGGCCGCTGTTGCTTGCCAGAACGCGGTGGAAATCGAGAGGAACGGTTGCGTAGTGTGTTTGTTGTCGCCAATTCTAATTGCGGCTTTTTGAGCTATGTTTTTAGTTAGTAATGGAAAAGCTGATAGTCTGATTTCTTTGATGGCTTTCTTGTAGTTGTGACTGATCCGCTTGCGCGACAAGTTTTCTGCCCCTTTCACGTTGACTTGATGGTCGTCTTCAACAATTCAACTCACTACCCACATGAGCGCCTTATTTTTGCTTCCTCAATGCAAATAATCATATCTAACTAGCGAATAATTTCTTCATTTGCGTTAATTTCGACTTTCAACTACATATTGTATGGAAGGTGACGTGTGCAGGCTTATTCATTACCAGAGTGAAAATGCCGCCTCTCTAGTCTTGGGTTTGGGAACTTAAAACAGAACCCTGGAAATGCTCCATGATGAAGAGGGAGCTGGAGGGAACTCGTTCTCACCTTGGTTGAACTTTGTGTATATCCAGAAACAAGTGCCTTTCTGTAAAGTCCTACAAACAGTGCCGTTTGCTGCAAACGGATAGTCTTGTTTATTTTCATTGTCGTGCCGAGATAGATGACTCACTTGCATGACCATTTAGCCTTTTCAAATTGAATTAATTAATAGATGACTCACTGAAGAGTTCTTGTTTTATCTCCGAGGCCAGGAGCGCATCTGTTCCCTCCTTCCACGAATCTGTGACTTTGCTCCTTGGCAATGACCAATTCGTTACACACACACCTCTGTTGAATGAAGTTCTCAATGGCGCCACGGGACACAGCTTCTCCATAACTTTCTCATCACCCTCAACACAAACACCATAAACCCGCGAAAGAAACCTCCGACCCCCCCATGAGTAGAGTACTGCTATCGTGGCACCGCCTTCTGGGTCTTTCCTTGCAACGTCCCCCATGGTACAAGGCTCGTCTGCGGGAAGAACTGGCCGAGAGACGGGCAGCTCGGACGGCGCTCCAAAGACTGAGCGAGACATGCGACGTCTTCTACATTCTCGGCAGAGCACGACACGACGGCTACCCGCTGCGATGGGCTCCTCGCTTTAGCTACAGACACCCACCGGTCTACGCCTACATGATATCGAAGTACACCCTACGCTGGATGTTCTACCAAATTGCCGCCTTGCTTTGCGGCTCGTCTCGCTTCCGCCAAGTGAGGGAGGTGGTGAATCCGGCGCGTGATTCTAAACTTCGCGAGGTTGCATCACGCCATGACATCGAACACGTCAAGTTTGAGCAGGTGTGCCGTTGCTTGCGACGTGTTTGGCCCCTTCTCCCATAGAGACTATTTATCCTGTCTCACGATTCTTACTCTCGACTTCTAGAATCTGTTTTTGTTGGGGGAAACCTGGTCTGAGCTGGCTCGCAGATCAATACCAGACGCTGAATGCGCTTAGCAAAGGTGACTGCTTGCTATCTGCCGATTGACACATCCGCATATTATCCTGGAAATTGCCAAACACGAGAAGCGGGAAGAATTGCGTCATGGCCTCCGATAATGGTGGGCAAACGGCAAGTGTGTCCCGTTTACTTTGGATCGATAGTGGCGGCCTATTATTGTATCCTGACAGACGCTGTTTGCTCGCCATTGCTACTACACCTTGTACTTGGCCTATATATTTGCATCTAATTCATCTCATGAGAACGAGCACGATATAATTTGTCCCTCAGATACCCCTGATGCATAAGTCATCTCTCAATTCATTGGATTCTTTACACCTTCTAAAATTTTGGGATAATCGTTCGGAAAATGGACCCTTTTAAATCTTCTCCCCAATCGCCTACCCCAGAATCCAGGCCAAAATTACCTGCGGATACGAAACCCGCGGTAATTGGTCTCTACGGATTGCCAGGTTCAGGAAAGTCGTTTCTTTTGAAGGAGCTGAGGAAGCGTCTCAATCAAGGTGAATACGAATTCTACGAAGGCTCTGACATGATTTCGTCCCTTGCCCCTGGCGGGCTGGAGGGATTTCAGAAACTTGACGAGATCGGGGCAAGTTACTGGCGAGCCCAAGCAATTGATCGGATTGCTCACAACTGTCGCCAAACCGGGAAAACCGCAATAGTCACGGGGCATTTCATGTTCCGATCTGAAGGACACTACAAGGCTGTGTATACGCAAAATGACATGGCCACCTACACCCACATCATATATCTGAACATGTCAGCCAAAACTCTCCATGTACAACGACAGAAAGATGAGAATAGGAAGCGCCAATATTTGCCTATGCAGGATTTGGAGGCGTGGAAGCGAACCGAGGTGGATGAATTATCACGTCTCTGTCAAGAACATGGCATTCTCTTCTCTCTCCTGGCCGAACAGCCGGACAACCAACTTCTCACTGCCTTGAGGCTGATACAATTTTGTCACAGAGTTAGGACCGTGCCGAACATGGCTCGCGTCGACGCTAGGGTTAGTGAGATTCTGTTCGGCCAAAATAACTTGCAAACGATGGTTGTAGTCGACGCAGACAAAACCATATCCAAAGAAGACACAGGAAAGACGTTTTGGGACCCCCAGGCGCCTCTTGAAAAGTTATTTGGCGGCCCGCTGGCTTATTCCGAGGCTGGATTCCTCCAGGGAGTGCTTCTGTACGAAGAAGCAGCCAATGAAGAGAAATTCGAGCGCATGTGCGATGTAGTGGCGTCCAGAACCGAGATTCATGCCGAGTTCAAGGCGCTTTTTAAAAGGATAGCAACTCAAGATCATGTAGGCGCTGTCGTTGTGACTTGCGGTATTCGGCGAGTTTGGGAGAAAGTACTGGAGAGAGAAGGACTGTCCCAAACAGTCAAAGTCATTGGAGGTGCAAGGATCTCAGATGACATGGTTGTAACGGCGGAGGTGAAGGCTCGGATTATTTCGAGACTGCAGCGCGAGGAGAAACTCCGTGTTTGGGCCATTGGTGATAGCCCCCTCGACCTGCCCATGCTCGAGGCAGCCGACGAAGCCATTGTTGTCACAGGCGAGGAGCAAAACAGGAGCTGCAGCATGGACAGTGCGCTCCTGGAAGCCATCCAAACCAGAGGCCTCAAAGCTCGACAAGTCTTGCTGCCGAGTAACGTCTCCCCACGACTTACGGATGCCGTGCTTCCTCAAATTCGTCTTAGCGACAAGGAACTTCTGGACTCTGTATTTTCTCGTCGATGCCGTCTACACCCACATGTTTGGCACGCCACTGACAGGAACGCTGCAAGGTTGCTCATGTCCCCGACTCGGGATGCCTTGGTCGCCGGCCCGATGTTGAGGAAAGCCCACGCCAATGTAGGGCTCTATCTTGCCTGGGAATTCCTGTCAGAGGCGCTGGGGGTCGAGGAGTATGCCATGCGGCATGTGCAAGGCCATCATGTCATGGGTCACCGCGTCCGACATGAGCGAGAAACCACCATTGTTGCCCTGATGCGCGGCGGTGAGCCTCTGGCTTTGGGGTTGAATGAAGCTTTGCCTCTTGCCATGTTTGTTCATGCCGACTCTCCGGACGACATTCGAAAGGACCATGTTGAGAAGCAAAAGACTGTGGTTCTTGTTGACTCGGTGATCAACAGTGGCAAAACATTGATCGAGTTCATCGAACGAACGCGGAAGTTGTGCAAGGATATACGAATCGTCGTTGTGGCAGGCGTGGTCCAAACAGATGCTGTCATGCAGGGACACGCCCTTGCCAGCGTCATGGAAGAGTATGGCGTTCATATCGGAGCGCTTCGTTTGTCGGAGAATAAGTTTACCGGATTCAGGGGTACGGATACCGGCCACCGCCTGTTCAATACGACGCACATGGCTTAGTTCTGGACACGCGTATATGACAGCCGCTCTTTGTGTGGTATCAACGAAGACACCTGTGCGAGGTTTCTGCCTTTGGATGTGAGATTGATAGTTCAGAACGCAAGGTTGGTCCAGTTTTCCCGAGGGGCATGAGGGTTGGGTTGCGGCTGTTGAAAGGGTGAAGGGTGTAGTGAAATAGTGACGTGAAAGATTGATACAGAATAAATCGGAAACGAGACACTCATATAGCGGTGCAGTCAATGAACACGTATAGTAGACGACCTTTCACATTGTTGTGATGCAAGAGTGTTTGTGAAAGCGGCATGCAAGCACAAAGAGCCAAAGGCACATGTCAAAGGCTCGCTTCGTTGGGATGTCTTTCACGGCCAGTCTTTTGTGGTCATTTTTCATGAGATGCCACCTGGCCGAACTCGAATCCTGCTCTTGCATCTTGGTTCTTTAATTGAAGACGCCGATGAGTCAATGACAGAAGGTGTTGATGTAAGATGATGGCCACTCGACGGAGCGCGAAGCTGATGTACAACACCAACACAAGTATGACTAGGCATGTGAGGCACCGTGTTGAACATGCACCTTGAGACCCAAAAACTATATTTATGACGATCAGAAATTTATGTAGTGTTGCATGATATATTCGTAGTTACCTCAAAATCTTGCGGTTGCATGTAGTGAATGCTACCAAGCGGGTTCAAACTCTATAACGCCTTTGTTGAGCAGGCCGCCCAACGCCCGACGACCAAGCGCACAATGTAAAGCGCTCTGAACAGAGACAAATACTACGCCCTTTGAAGAAAGACTAAAGAATCTTTTCCTTTTAGTCTCCCCTCAGTGCTTCAGGGCCCCGCATGGCCTGCAGATTCAGAATACAACAAGGCAGACAAAGACCAAGTCATGAGATTTTCAACAAGAATGAGCAAGAAGTCCGTCTTTGTGCCTTTGTCGCACCGCCCCTATAGCAGCGTCAGAAAATAATCTCCATGCGCACATGTACATTTAAACAGATTTATGCCTGCCCTCGTCGGAGCAGGGTATACGCTCATATGCTCCGTCAACATTATCATTTATACATACCACCCCGAGTCGAAGTCGCTAGGGTCCCGACTCCGGGCAACACGTCACGCGCCTCTCAACATGCAACGAATAAAGAGCAAGTAGACTACTATTTGCCCTGTTCCCTGTATCTGTCAATACTAACCGGCCGCAGACGTCTTCGCCAAGCGAAAGATTCAACTTGCCCCTGAACCCGGGAAACTGATCGCCGCCGCTCACTTGAAGAAGCTTGCGCCCGAAACAGACGACGACGGCTATGAAAAGCGTCACTCACGTTCGTACGAGTTTGAAGAATGGGGCTATAAGGAGGGCAAGCTTTCCAATGTGGTTATTAGGGTGTCCATTCAGGCGGATAAGGAGAGCGTTCTGAACGAGTACAACGACGTTATTGTCGAGTGTTTTGGCGAGGGGTGCCGCGACAAGAAGACGAAGAAGGAGAAGAAGAGTGCTAGAAAGCTGTTTAGAAGCAGACGGGGCGTTGGGTCGACGTTTCGGCGGGTGTTTTTGCGCGGTGCTTAGACTTGAAGCACGGGGAGGGAGATATCCAACGTTGATAGCGGCCGGCTGGCCGGCTGCAGGTGGTGGAGGACGGTAAATTGGGAATATTTGTAATGGTTATTTTGAAATGAACACTGTATGATGACGCGGATCTGGTTTTTGGAGCTGGGGGGTCTGTGTTGGGCGCGATTTGCACAACTTGACTTGGGGAGAATGGGTTCGTCTCGGAGCCATAGAGTCTAGACTGCTGCTCACTGCGCTGAGGGTGGTTGCACGACGCAAGGCAGAAGGAGGATTTCACCGAGGAGGAAGTGAATATCGCGGAGATGATGTCTGTTCTGCTTGCGTTTCTCTCTTTGCTGGACGGGGGAGATGTGACGGTCGTAATGATATGTGACGAGATGGAGCTATTTTTACTCGATAGATGCCTTCTGCTGCCTGAAAGGTTTCAACATTTCGTTGGCAAGACTGATCAGGCTCTTGCTCAGGAGAAGTGTTTTGCCAGTTTGCCATCTGTACAATGGTCAGGTGGACGTCGAATGCAGGGGGTTTACGCAATGCAGTGCTTGCAGCGGCATTTATCGTTTATCCTGCTTGAAGTTCTGAACTACCCACCATCTGCTCTACCACAGCCGAAACAAGAGCTGTCCTGTATTCTTTTCTATGCATGAGATATTGAGACTCATGTTCGTTGCCTGTTGGCAGTCCAATAATAGACATGGCAATGGTGTAAGCACAGCGTGCATATCGAACATGAGCCTGCGTCAAAGATGAAGCCAAAGCCCGGTGAACATGGCAGCACACGAGCCCAACATGAACCTTTTCAACACAGCCGCAATGCTGACTCTGGTAATCTAGATCTCCCTGGCAAGAGTGTTCGGCGTGTGGTTTCCAGCCAACACAAGACCCCAATACCTTGCCTGAACAGGGCGTGATGGGAAGAAATGGTGCCACGGTCTCCATGTGAACAGATTACGAACAAGTAGTCCTGCATGAGGATCAGGCGCTCTGATTCTTGCCATGGAAGCCAGAAATTTACTATTTAAAGGGTCCTGTGGCCGCAGGCTCTTCTCAACAACTTGGTCCTCCAGATTTCCAGACCACCACGTCTCCCATCAGACCTACACTTCTCCTTCTTCTTCACCCCTACAACATCACCTCCCCCGACGAGGATTTGGCTTGATAGCCAGATAGAAAGGGGACTCACACTACAAAATCTGAAAAATCCGGGCAAGGAGCGGCCATGCAAGAGCAACGCTACAACTCAAACGACCAAACGTGGGCCGAGGCTTTCGTTGATCAAAGCGGTGCGGAAGAACCTATCGATCTTGAATCACGCGCGCGGAAATATTGCGGGTATAAGACTGGGGGAGAGCCTTCTTTTGATCAAAGCGGTGCGAAAAGTACTGCGGAACTTTTATCGCAGGCGTGGAAATATTGCGGCTATAACCCCAACGAAGAGCTGTTCGTTAGCCAAGGACCTTCCGTCAACCAAGGACGTCCCGCTGGTCAAGGTCATTTTTATCATCAAGGAAACTTCCACGACCGGGGAAATTTCCTTGATCGAGGACACCCCGTCAACCAAGGAAATCTCTATACTCAAGGATATCCTCCTGAACCAGCACCAGCACCTTTCCATTCTCAAGAATCTCCTTCCCAACCAGTTACTTTCCAATGGGAATTAACCCCCGCACCCCCCCCAGCCGCCGCATCCCTCCCATATTCTGAAGCTCAACAAAATGCCGATAATGCAGAAAGTTTCAATAATCCCGGACATTTACCTGGTCATCACTCGGGCAATTTGCAGGTACCTCGGTGGCCCCGTCGTCGTGGCCGACAAAGAAATAAACGTCACATTTGAAAGCCTAAGAGAGGACTAGAGGGGATTTTTCTCAGACTACATATGAATTGACGCCAATAAGACGGCTCTGCTCAACCCCTACATCCTTCCCCCGAAGTGCAAGCGCGGAGACACTGAGGAGCACGGTTCGACGGAATCATGACGCACATGGACAAGTGGCAGCCGACCCCTTGGGCGCGATGGGAGAAGGAAACGCTGGATTGGATCGACCTCCATGTTGGAAGGAATTTGAGGATCTTGACAAAAAACGACGCCAGAGACTCCGGCTTGAGCGGAGAGGGTTTCGAGGCATTCTTCAAGGACTGGCATCTCGCGGAGGAATCTTGTGAAGCAGTATGTGCAGGGCACTGGCACTCACGAGCGGCCCTGCTTTTCGGACGACGAGGGAAAAGAGCCTCGGTGACATCGTGTTGCTCGCGGACTCCCCGGAAGCTGCACCAGCTGGAGGCGAGTGAGGCGGAACCAGGAAGCAGGATACAGAATCAGAGGGCTGCGCGCATCTTTAGCACTCGCGTTGGATCCCCTGATTTGACGGCTTCAGGTCTGCAGTTGAGAACGGGGCATACTTTGGCGAGAGAGTCGGCTACAGTTGGAAGTTGGTTTTGAGGAAATTCGTGTTTGGGATGTTGTTTGTCGGCTGCGGGATACTTTTCCTATATTGAAGTCACCTACATTCGTTTTTCCCACAATCTAAACTACAATGTCATGATGCATTGTGCCATTGTCTGACAAGCACACACGGTGCATGCGAAGAGGGTATATTGCAGTTGACAATCGTGATTTCTGCCTCGTGACGACGGTTCTCTAGTTTACGTACGACCAGGCACGATGTTTGTATAATTGGGCTTTACTCGACGACAGTGAGTTGATGCAGTGCCAGCATGAATATCGGAATGGGTGGGAAAGACATGATTAGTAAATATTTGTGCTCAACTGGCAGAAAGTAAAGTGTCAAGTTTATACGGGACGTAATTAGTTGCCTCTCCAAGAGTCTTTACATATGCTCGATTAATACAGCTTCGGGAGTGTCCCTCTGTGGGTGTTATGCGAATAACTCAACTACCTTTAATCTCACAATACTTAAAACTGGAAAACGTCTGTACATTCTAGATTCTATTATCTCATTTTTATTTTATTTTATTTTTATATTGCATCAATTTATACAGCTTATATTGCTCAGGGGTATAGTTTGTATGTACATTCCGCAAGTATGCCGAGCCTTGCAAGAGCAGCAAGGACGCGAATAAGCATAACACTGACATTAACCCAATACACACCACAAGTTTAAAACCTAGAGTGCTCAGGGCCCAGGGGACTGTTGGCCCAAAAGGCCGCCACCATCAGATTCAGTTCCTGCATGTGGTTTCGCCTTGTGACTTCGACTTGGACCCAGCAGAATTTGTGGGTCCCGCAGACTGGCCGTGGCGTGGCATCGTCGCATTTTTTTTCAGACGGCGTTTGCGCGAGATTACTGGAAATGTATCAGTGCGCCGGGGTCCTCCTCCTTCCGGGCAAGTTCAGGCATTCAGACGCCGCGGCAATTGGCCAATACGTTCAATGTTTCTCTGCGTCTTGTGAACAGACGTTTGCTTGTGAATATTATTAATGCGCCTGTCAACAGCAGATGTCAGAGCTGCCCGGTTTTCGGCTATACTGAGCGGTTGCCACTTGGCTTTGCATTCACATTCGCATTCGCATTCACACGTGCGTGCGAGGACAGCTCTTTGGAACCCTGAGACTCAATTGAGCAGAAAGAATTGCCAAAGCCGACCTTCTTGCCAGTCTCATCACGAAACCCCAGTCGTCCACTACTCACGCACCATGTGCTCACTTACCGTGCTGTGCGCGCCCTCCGAGGCCTAAACAGACGCTCGTCGAAACAAATGCCATCAATTTACAAGCATGAGCTCAAACAACCCTTCTGGCCACCCTTGCCTGGGGATTCGCGCGTCTAGGTACTCCGTATCGCATCACCTCATCCACCTGTGGAGAGTGAAAAGAAAATCAACTCCACTTTGCATATACGCCGGTCCCCGTAGACTGTTGCGAACCACTCAGGGTGCCTCAATTTCCATCAAAGCCCATCTGGATGGATACCCCGTTCCTGTGTCCGTTGGATCTTGAGTGAATGCTTGACTGTCGTACGGTTTTAAACTATGTTTCGAACGGAGTCGGGACTCGGGAGTGCCTTGGCCTTTTATCTTTGTCGCCCTGCGCCCCGGCAACCTGGGTTTCTTCTTCGCCTTCTGGGCTGCGATTTTTCTCACTTTCTTTTCTCCTTCACACCCCCCAACAACTCTTCCACATCCGTCTGGCCATTTATCATTGTGATAAAGTAAAGGTAAGAAAAATCCGGTCCTTGCTTTGCGCGCCTCTGAACGCACGCCGTACTCTCCGTATCAAGAATCATCTTCCGTGCTGACATTTCCAAGATGGCTTCCGCTACTCGTCAATTTGCCCGCGTGGCAACCCGAACCGCTGCCCGTAACGCCTTTGCCGTCGCTCCTCGCCAGGCTTTTCGCCAGCAGGGTCGCCGGTGGTACTCCTCTGAGCCTGCTCCTCAGAAGGGGTCTTCCACCTGGTTGTACCTGACTGGTGCTGCCGCCGCGGGTGGTCTCGGATTCTGGTACTACACTGCTTCTGGCTCCCCTTCCGCCGCCTCCAGCAAAATCGTCAATCCCACCAAGGAGGACTACCAGAAGGTCTATGACGAGATTGCCAGCCGCCTCGAAGAAAAGGACGACTATGATGACGGTAGCTTCGGTCCTGTGCTGCTCCGTCTCGCTTGGCACGCCAGCGGTACCTTTGATAAGGAAACCGGCACTGGTGGTAGCAACGGTGCCACTATGCGCTTTGCCCCCGAGTCTGACCACGGTGCCAATGCTGGTCTGGTTGCTGCTCGCAACTTCCTAGAGCCTGTCAAGGGTAAGCAAATCAACATGTTTTGCACCAACCCAGTCTCTGAGCAGCTGGTTCAGTGTGACTCTGAATCCATGACTAGAATTCGGGCTGACTTCTTTCCCTAGCCAAATTCCCCTGGATAACCCACTCTGATCTCTGGATCCTCGGCGGTGTCTGCGCCGTCCAGGAGATGCAGGGTCCCTACATCCCCTACCGCCCTGGCCGTTCTGACCGTGATGTCTCTGCCTGCACTCCTGACGGTCGTCTCCCCGATGCCACCCAGGGCTCCGACCACCTCCGCAACATTTTCTACCGTATGGGCTTCAACGACCAAGAGATTGTTGCCCTCTCTGGCGCCCACGCCCTCGGCCGCTGCCACACTGACCGCTCTGGATTCTCTGGTCCCTGGACTTTCTCTCCTACCATCCTGACCAACGATTTCTACCGTCTGCTAGTTGAGGAGAAGTGGCAGTGGAAGAAGTGGAACGGGCCCAAGCAGGTATGTGGCCGAGATTTGGTCTCTTTCGGGGTTTCCCCTCTTGAAGCACTTGCTGACTTGTTCGCTGCAGTACGAGGACAAGACCACCCAGACCCTCATGATGCTTCCCACCGACATGGTCCTCGTCCAGGACAAGAAGTTCAAGCCCTGGACCGAAAAGTATGCCAAGGACAACGACTTGTTCTTCAAGGACTTCTCCGCCGTTGTTACCAAGCTGTTTGAGCTGGGTGTTCCCTTTGCCGAAGGCACCGAGAACCAGCGATGGAACATGAAGCCCACTTGGGACGAGTCCAAATAAACGACTTGAATGAATTCTAAACTCAGCTCGAGTGGTGGGACGATAGATATATAGATAAGGGTGAAGACCCAGCGGATAGTTAGACCTTGGAGCGACATGTAGACTTTAGACGGAATTTCCTTTGTTTGTTATTAGGCATTCGACATGGCAAATGCCGGGCATATTGGAGGAATAGCAGACACATGGTTTCTGTGTCGACCATCTGGTATGATGGCAAATCCTCGTACTGTACAAAAGACAGATTTTCTTCCGCTCTGGCGTGCGTAACAAGGTGAACTGTGTGTGGATTGTGGTTCATGTAAATTTGAACGCGGGTACAAGCCAGGTCTGGTCCCATGGTCCAAGGGTCCGAGTACGAAGTTGAAGTTTGTAGACTGCGCGGACGGCGGGCCACGGACTATTTAAAGCATGCACAATCACCCAGCCAAGAGCAAGCCATTGGTCCTGGAAAGACGGAATGTGCTGCAATAGAGAGATTGTCATTGGCTCAGACGAGGAGGTGCGGGCGAAAGAATCGAGAGACGTGCATGGATTCCCCGCATTTTGGCCTTCAGGCATAATTATGGTGGACGCCGTTGGTGGCGGATGTGTCCGCCTGTAACAAGGACACGATTGTTTGTTTGTATTCCCACGGGGATGAAATCATGAAGATTACACGCACGTGCGGGTACATGCAACTAGAATGTTTATGTTCCACCGATGCCTCAGGTTGACGATATGGACTGGACACTTTGATCTGGGAAGGCGCGCCTAGCAACCCTTCCGACTTTGGCATACCATCCCTCGACACTCCACTTCCTAAACTGCGCAAAATTCTTTGCAACCTCTCCCTCAGCAGAAGTGTCTGATCTCTGCGGGCAATCGGCTCTGTTATGTTTCTTCAATTACTAATTGATTCAATTTTCTGAAACACGTCAATTATACAGCATCTTGACCTCAAGCAAGGGACTGCCAATATATTAAGCCAACGAACGCCCTGCCCCTTTTGGCCGTGTTTCGTGGGTACTAATGCCAAGCGCTCTGGCATATCCGAGATTTTAGGGCTGGAATGAATCTCGGAAGATCAGCAACCCGCATGCGCCATGTAAACATGAGGGGTCGGGAAGGTAAGTTTGAATCATTAGGGAAGCTACGACACAAGACTAAAAAGTTCCTCCTGAGGTTGATGCCATCTGACAGCGCACCGGCACGTCGATTCATTGAGCGACTCCATGGGCCAACCGGAAACAAGCCTCATGCATCCTGCAGCCTGTGCGCAATCTGCTTTGCCGTCAATCCTCACACTACCGAACGCACTCAAACGCTCTCCCAAGGATGGAAGAGTCGAGCGAGATAATGGATGTGCGCGATGGATGTGAGTCAGGCTTCCGCTTTCTGCGCATGTACATGTTGAACCAGCGGTCCATGGTTTCATGTGGATGTTGCTATGGAAGTGGACCTACATCGAGGCTTGACCCGAAAAGGTAGGAAGATGAAGTAGCCGGTCTTCTGTAACACTATCCGGACCATACAAGGAAGGCCAGTGCCTATCACGACTTGATACGGATAATGGCCTCATGCTTCATCGGTTATGTCGGCAAGCTCAAATTGCAACTCGCACTGCCCATCAGTAGGAAGGCAGGCCTGTTAATGCTGCAATTTGCTAGCAGACCAACCGGCGCGGGGCGAAGGTCGAATCTTTCGCTAGGTCGCACCGGGACATCAACCAGCTTATAGGTGCTTCACAAATGACGTAGATTGCAGAATCACGTTGATCAAGCTTCCTGATTAGGAGGCCATGCTAGGTTCTTTTTCCTACGCTTTTTGTGTGATTCCGTGCAAAAATTTATGGATGAGGAATGCGGGAGAGACGCTCTATGCCATGGCTTGCATGTGGACCGGCAATTGAAGGCCATTGAATAAATAGGCCTCTCAATTCGTCACTATTTCTACGGGAGTTCCTGAAACCCAGAAGCTAGAACTAATGTGAACGTCACACATTCAACCTTGTCACACCACAACTTCACTGGGGCCTGTATCTTGCCGGGCAGCGTCACGTCACCTATCAAAAGTGTTCGTGACAATATTTCAATGCTTCTTCTAGGGACACTCGGGGCCCTCGTGGCCTTTTCCTCACCTACCGTCGCGATCCCGGCTTCCAAAGTCAGCATTGTCCAGAAAATCTCCAACGCTCCTCAAGGATGGACCAAGCATGGTGCCCAAGTCGACAAGACCACTTCTATGGTGAAATTGCGCTTTCACTTGACACAGCCGCGCATTTCAGAGTTTCACGACTTGGCCATGAAGGCACGTTGGTTATTTTCTACTTCTTTCACTCCCATTTCCCCATTTCCTATAGATGTGAATTTTTGTTTACCCAATCGTTGCTGACTGCTCTCAGATTGCCACTCCTGGCAACGAGTTGTACGGAAAGCATCTCTCCAAGGAGGAGGCAGACAAGTTCCTGGCACCCAAGCCTGAGTCTGTCCAGGCCGTCCAAGAATGGCTCAGAGGCGAAGGTCTAGGTGACCACGCAGAGGTTGATGGCTCGGGTGACAACATCCTCGTCCATGCCAGTGTTGCCGATGCTGAAAAGTTGCTCCACGCTGAATACGACCCGTTCGGTATGGCCCCTTCCAAGTGAGACAAAAACTCATTGAACTAACACCTCACATTCCACAGTTGCACAAGATTCTGGAGAGGTCATCATGAGAACGCTCCAATACAGCCTTCCAGATAATCTCAAGCAACACATTGACGTCGTCCAGCCCACGACCTATTTTGGCGTGAAATCCGTCCGTCTCACACAGATCTCCCTCCAAAACAACAATACTCCATCCACCCAAGCTTCGTGCAAAAATAGCAACCCGGCTTGTTTGTCTGACCTGTATAGCTACGGCAGTGCCAAGGCTTACTCCAACGGGCGCATGGGAATCGCCGGCTTCATTGGCCAGTTTGCCAGCAAGTCTGACTTGGCCACGTTCATGAGCAAGCAAGCTACGCAGAACAACACAGACCAGAGTTTCTCCTGCGTTTCCATCAACGACGGTGGTTGTCCTGAGAACAACCCGGGCGTTGAAGCCAATCTAGATACACAATATGCTCGGGCTATTACAGAGAAAATCCCCAACGTGTTCTACAGCACTGGAGGCTCACCACCCACCAACGGCAGCGTCCCCGATAATGAGCCATACCTTGAATTTTTAAACTTTTTCCTCGGCCTATCCGATGAGGACCTCCCCAACACCATCTCTATTTCCTATGGCGACGTCGAATACACCGTACCAAACGACTACGCCACCAAATGCTGCGACTTGTTCTGCAAACTCGGCGCCCGTGGTGTCTCCGTCCTTGTTTCCTCCGGAGACTCCGGCGTGGGCGGTAGCTGCCCGGGAGGGAAATTCGAAACCTCATTCCCAGCGGCCTGCCCCTGGGTGACCACCGTCGGTGGCACAGACGGCACCGGACCTGAAAAAGCCTGGTCTGGCTCGGGAGGTGGCTTCTCCGAGATTTTTGCCCAGCCCAGCTATCAGGCCGATACTGTACACCAGTGGCTGAAGAATGACCAGACGCACCAGAGCCAGGATCCGTACTTTAACAGCTCTGGCCGGGCGTACCCCGATGTTTCTGCCCTTGCTACCAATTATCCGATTGTCGTGAACGGAAGCACTTTTGGTGTTATGGGCACGAGTGCTTCAGCTCCCGTGTTTGCCAGCATTATCCAGCTGATAAGCAGTGATCGCTTGTCGAATGGTAAGAAGCCTCTGGGATTCTTGAACCCGTGGCTGTATAGCTCTGCTGCGTCTGCATTGACGGACATTACGAACGGTTCGAATAGCGGGTGCGCAAACATCAATGGAAAGGGATTCCAGGCTGTTCAGGTAAATTCCTCCAGGCGTTGGTGCTTCTGTACGTGGGGGTTCTTTTTTCGCTAACGTTTGCCTAGGGGTGGGATCCCGTTACTGGTCTTGGTACGCCCAACTTTGAGAAGTTGTTGAAAGTTTCGCAGAGCACATGATTCGAGATGCTAGAAGAAAGAAGTCGTTTTGATATACATGAGGAAACTTTTGTAGTTCAGAATGAGCATATAGAAGCTATTGGAGGGGAACAATCGAGCATCTGCGGTCTATAAGTCATATTTGTTGCCAGTTTACTCCGGTTGTGGAACGAAAAAACTTTACACTGGTGTTAGCGGTAATGACTTGTGATGTGTGAGCAAGAAGTCACTAGCTTCAAATTACTTACACGCGAGTTGAAAATTCCGCTCCACAACCCACGCTCAATATTACACGTGGACAGGGTCTTGAATAAACCCATATAGGTCTTCAAACCTCCAATATCGCATTATGCTCTCTAGCTACACCCGAATCCTCTACATGATGAGCCTCAAAAAAGTCTCATCACTCGATCATAAATGTGGCACCTATTCTGCAACTACCGCGGCTCTTCCCGCCTCAAACTCGATCATCACCCATCTTTAGCTGCTCGCCGGGAAAAGGAGACTGGTGCCCATGTCTATTCTTCACGCGGGCTGTCTTGGCTAAAGACTACGCTAGCGGCTTGTAGTTGTCAAATGACATCGCGCTGGGTAGGGTACAGACACTGCCCTACGTTTAACAACGTGTTGCATTATTTAACAGCGACGGCGATACGAACAACGCCTTCTTGACTTTCTTCTTTCCCTCTTCCGTTCTTTAAAGCTGCAAATTCACCATGTTGATCCTTGGAGTTTTTGCGGCCGCATCGATTTCTCGACCTGGCGAGGGGGCAATTCCGGCCCCTAGCTTTGCTGGCACTATCTGTACAGGCATTGTGTTTGTGGTTTGGAATCATAGTTTATCGGTAAATAGTAACAACTGGCGCAGAACTACTAGAGCCGTATTCCGAGGTTTTGTAGAACGAAGGAGTTTCCTTGGAGCCACAATTGCGGACATTGAACTAGACTTGGCGGGTTGTAGATTTGCGGTAGGTGCATATTGTCGGTTGCCATGTCATGACTGATGACTGATGAGTTTAAGGCGCCCCTTTATCCAGACAATTCACCAGCATAATTTTGATATAGGTAGGTTGCTGCTTTTACACGGAGCGAGTGCCAAGTTTGTCCTTTATGAAGATGCATATAGATGCGATAGAGCTATTGCACTGGGCGTGAAGGTTGAGTAGCGTTGTGGAAACAGCCTGTAGAAGAATCTTGCCCAACACGAAGTATATATTAATACATTACCATTAATCCATTATACTATATTAATATATGAAGCACGATAAAAAATATCTAAACTGGTTAAATAGTTTTCGCCTCTTGCCGTACAGAAGTTTCTTAGACATCAAATATACCCCTTATCAAGTCCTAATAAGCGACAGCGCCGACAGCCCATTTTGCCAGGGAATAATAGCTCTCAAGCTCCTCTGCTCACTTATGAGCACCAAACACAACCAACTCAACGCGCCTTCAGTCATAAGAACCAGGGCTTTTACAGAACCGTCCAAGCAGGAATGTGAAGTTGTTGGTCTCGGGTTTGCGAACCAACTAGTGCCGTGTAGCGCCAACGCTTTCGCTAAGCCAGGCTAATCACTCGGCAGATCCAATTCACAATTTGAAGTGCGTACTATACTAACTGCATTTACATTCCGTGTTGCGACGATTACAACGGTCTACGAAAGCGGAAATGGGAACATGGTCGCCTCCCCATCCAAGTTTGGCAACGCAGTTCAGGGCAAAACACATCACGACCAAAGGACCAAAGTACTGTTATCCCCAAGATTTGTTAATGAGCGAAGACGTCTCGTGAGACTATGCATAATGGAAGTGTCTAACGTGATGCAACAATGCGATGATGAAAGTTTGAGTGCTGCAAGATATTAGAAGACTAGCGACATAGTCGAGTATTTAGACAAAGGCAGCGCCGTGCAAAACGGAGTTGGGAGAAGCGCAATGAGCGGCTTGAAAAGAACGTCGTCTGATTTTAAACAAAACCACGAGGACGATAAGTGAGCTATCGCATCACGTCGGACTCGGCATGTCATTTGGAATGTTGGCTTGGTACTATTACGGCATTAGGGCCAGACCGGGCATATGTATACTAATTATCATAACGATGCAGTTGGGCGATTCTGAAACTAGTCAAGATCGATGTAGTCGTCGGCTGGATAACTAGTCCTGAAGCGCAAAAACAACAAAAGAATAGCATGTGCTGTGGCCGTGAAGGGTGGTTGCTTTGACCAGTTGCGTGGCGGCACATGGCCATGTGCACATCAATTCCGAGAATAATAATAGTCATGTTCATTACAGAGAGGAAGCCCCTGTAATGAATACGTGATATACTGAAGCATGAAGATCCGAAATAGGCCAAGTATCTCGCGCTACTAGAGGCAATTATATGTCCTTTGAACCTGTGCTGTTGGCCCGTCCACCTCCTCTTGTTGCTCTTGCTTATGAGGGGAAACAAAGTTCTGTCTTCCAAACCAGCGGGTGCGCAACGGTTGTGTTGATGAGGTAGAAGCTTACAAACTTTCCGTTTGGTTGGCACAACGGCTGGTCCCTCCCCGACATATTTAAGCAAAGACCCCAAGTTTAGTTTGCTCAAGGGAGGAGGGAGACTAGGTTGATCCATGAACTAGTCCTAGAACAACCCGGGCATCGCGACCAGCTTTGACGGATCAGGGACAGGCATAATCAGCAGCGACACCAATATCATGCACATCACGAACGAAGCCGGAAACAGCACGGTATATTCACAGCGCAATTTCCCAATTCTTTGCTCGACACAGCATACAAGCCACACAATGGCAAGCCCACCAGATGCCTCACTAAATTAGAATCCCGCCGCTCGTCGTCACAAACGGCAAAGGCCCTATAAAGGCTGGACGCGAGGACGTCCTCCCATGAGCACGACATACCGCCTTCTTCCCAGACGGACACAATGTCTACCACAGCAGCCAACTTCATCCTTTCCAACATCCTCGGTCTCGGCCTGGTCACCATCACGTCGCCCACAAGCCCCGTCATCCTGCTCCTAGTCGCCGAGAAGGGCCCCTTCATCACATACGAGTATCTCCTGTCGGCGGTAGACCTGACGCTCGCCCTCGTCATCAGCTTCCTCGTCCTATGCAACCTCGAGCACAAGTGGATCGCAAAGAACTACTCGTTCCCATACGCCTTCCACCCCGTACGCAACCTCGGTGCCAAGGCGCTCCAATTCCAGCTCGTCCTCTTCGAAGTCTACCACCTCCATTTGTTTTCGCGCATCACCCACATCCTCACTCTACTCGTCGAAGAAGCCGCCTGGCTGTTCCTCATCCAAGGAACCTTTGGCGCCGTCGGCCTAGCCACCGCCAACGCCCTTCTCGCCTTGCAGGCATTCAGCTACGGCGACGCCCTGCTCGGCGCGGCCATCACCGCTCTGAATCTGGCCGTTTCTCTCGCCGCGGCCATCGGGTTCCAAGGGGTCGCGGACGGCGGCGGTGCCCTCGGCGGCATCAAGATCGGGCTCGTTTTGTGCGCGGCCCTGAGGACCGCGTCGCATGTCGCGGAGCCGCTGCCGCCCGCGTACAATGAGAGCAGTAAGTCGTTTGAGCGTAGTTTCGGGGTGAGCGGCTTCGAGTTTCTCTTTTCCAACACGCTGTTTGCCTTTTGGCTCTTTTGCTACGGGGTCATTCAGGAGATGGGCGCCGGCATGCCGGGCCGCCTGTTTAATATTGCCGTGGCCGAGGTCATGTACTCGGCGGGGTATCAGGGGAAGTCTGCGTGGGATGTCGTCGTGGCCAAGGGGTGGGCTTGCGAAATCGTCAAGAGAGGCTGGGAGGCGTATCCCATGTCGCAGGAGTTGCTTGCCTGGGTTGCGGTGCGTGATGACAGCGGATACCCGATACTCTAGCTCTAGGATGACTGCGCTTGTACAATATGAAAAACGTTGAATGTCTCTTATAGTTGTGTTTAGATTCGAGGCGTTTAGGCCGTCATTTCGCATTGCCTTTGCAACACGTACATCTTGACCTATGTCGAGGCGGTTGGTGTACTCCGTACAAATGAGGAACAAGTGCCGTCGAATGTCTTACACGCCATTGGTCCATGCCTGCGCCAATTAGACTCGCGCAATCTAGGCGCCACGAGCTTGTGCAAGGGCGTACTCCGTACAAGGGCGTACAAGGGGGGGTGGATTAGTCCAATTCAGGCACAAATGGTACCTTGGTATTTCTAAGCATCATGGCGATGTTGTCATTGGCATAAAAAGTGAGCCATTTCACGCTTGTGCAAATGTCGTCCCTCACCACCGTCAAATGGCGACTGTCCGGCCCGGCGCATACCGTCGGCTAGCTCGCCGCATTGCGCAGCGCATCGAACCTCCTCCTTCCTTTATCACGACCTCGCATCGCCCCCAACCGTTGAGCGTCCATCATCATCATCACCACCACCACCACGGCCTCACCACACACGCGCCCCGCCTCAACATGCCCCGGTTCGACCTCCGCAACAAGGGCCAGTCCGGCATCCCCTTCTACACCCCGGCGCAGGAACCCGCGGCCGGCACCGCGGCAGACGCCTCGACGGCACCGACGCTCTACACGCCGCTGCGCATGCGGTCCCTCGAGCTGCACAACCGCTTCGTCGTGTCGCCCATGTGCCAGTACAGCGCCGCCGACGGCCACCTCACCGACTACCACCTCGTGCACCTGGGCCAGTTCGCGCTCCACGGCGCCGGCGTCGTCATGGTCGAGGCCACGGCCACCGAGCCGCGCGGCCGCATCTCGCCCCAGGACTCGGGCCTCTGGCAGGACTCGCAGATGGAGCCGCTGCGCAGGATCGTAAACTACGTCCACAGCCAGAACACCAAGGCCGGCATCCAGATCGCCCACGCCGGCCGCAAGGCGAGCACCCTGGCGCCGTGGATCGGCGGCTCCGCCAACAAGGCGCTCGCGGGCGAGGAGCACGGCGGCTGGCCCGACCAGGTCGTCGGCCCGAGTGCGATTCCCTTTTCCGACGACCACGCCACGCCGGCCGAGCTGAGCGTCGACGACATCAGGGGCCTGGTCAAGAGCTTCGGGGAGGCGGCGCTGCGAGCCGTCAAGGCCGGCTTCGACCTGATTGAGATTCACGGCGCCCACGGCTACCTCATCACCGAGTTCCTGTCTCCCATCTCCAACGTACGGCTCCCTGACATGCCCTGAAAGGTAAACGACAAAAGAAAGATTGAAAAAACTAACACACGCCAGAAACGAACCGACAGCTACGGCGGCTCCTTTGACAACCGCACCCGCTTCCTCCGCGAGGTCATCGAGACGGTGCGCTCCGTCATCCCCGACTCCATGCCCCTCTGGCTGCGCGTCTCGGCCACCGAGTGGATGGAATGGACGGGCGAGCCCTCGTGGGACCTCGACAGCACCGTCAGGCTCGCCAAGCTGCTGCCCGCGCTGGGTGTCGACGCCCTCGACGTCAGCAGCGGCGGCAACGACCCCCGGCAGAGGCTGCTGCGCGAAAAGACGTACCAGACCGACCTGGCGCGCGCGATTCGCCGCGCACTCCGCGCCGACGGGCTGGACCTGGCTGTCGGCGCCGTGGGCAACATTGACGCCGCCGAGTTCGCCAGGGACGTCGTGCAGGAGGGCGGGGAGCAGTCGGCCGACTTGGTCCTCGTGGCGAGGCATTTCCTGCGGGAGCCTGACTTTGTGCTTAATGCTGCGGAGAGGCTGGGTGTGCCGGTTAAGTGGCCGAATCAGTATCACAGAGCAGCGTCGAGGGAGGTTGCCGATGCATTCTGAGTTCTGAGGACTGTGTTTTTTTTTTTTTTTTTTTTTTTTTTTAAATTCTGGAGAGCAATGGGGCAGAACGTTTCAAAACAGGGGGGTTGGAGTGAAGCGGCCTACTGGTTCGAGAGCAGGGTGTATGAAATGAATAGATATGCCGTCATGATATAATAGATGTAGATGACTGAAATAAAGCAAGGTATAGTACGGAGTGTTCTAGGCGGGATCAGAGGTGGTGTTGATGGCTGACATGCGTGCGGTCAACGAGACTTGATGCAGCATCATGGCCAGACGTGCGCATGTAACCCAAACGAGGGAGTTGAAGCCGCCTTTCCTTTCGTTCAACTTTACCAACGACAGTCCTGTCGGTGACAGCATTATTGACAATGCAGTGCAGATGACTGAATCGCGGCCTCCAAGGCGGACTGACTGACGGCCAGTGAGCGCGTTTCTGACGTAATTTCTTATCCAGTGTTTCAAACCCCTCATTCTGTTGCATAGTAGTTCTGAACCATTTATGTATGTTGACCCGCTGAAATATGCTGAACAAGATTGGGTTGGAAAACTGACGTAATTGTTAGGTACCAAGAGCGTTATTATCAGAAGTTGAAAGGGCTGAAAAGTCTCCTAGACTTTGATCAATGACAAGAAACCCTCTGTAGGGGTGGGAAAACGGCAATTATAACCAGTTCCCACCATAAGTTTAGTAAACAACAAGTCTCACGACATGGCATATATCCCCCTTCACACGTCAAAGCAGTGAGCCCGAAGAAGAATATTAATTCCGTGGCAAGATGCTTTTCCAGCCTGTTTTTCTGGACACAGAAATAAAATATTGTTATGTGCAGTTGTATGCAGCTTAGAGAAAACTACCACCTACCTAAGCACGCCATGAGGTGTTTTGGTGACTGTCACCTACCTCGTCAGTTATTACCCGACAGTTTATGACAAATCTCTACTAGAACCTGACAATGTGTAGGTGTATTATGAGAATTGAGCTGTCTTCAGAAACAGAAGCCGCGCACGTAGGCAAGTACGTTTGTCGGGCCGCTGGCTTCCCCCTCTCGGGTGTCAATATACTACACCCTATGCATGTACGAACTACAAGGGAGTATCTTCTCGGGTCGCAAGTGGCACGCTGTGGGCCTTGATAAGTTCAGTATTACTAGAAGATAGTGACCAAGGTAGCACAAATGGGAAAGCCATGCACTTTTATGACTCGTGGTGCATGGGAATGCAACCCTCTTACGGAAATGTCTTACCCAGTACCGTTTTCAATCTTGTTCCATACTACACGTCACTTCCGGCAGTCTATGTGTGTTGACTCTTGAGGAGCAGACGGATTCGTGTGCGGTGCTTCAGGCAGGACTTTTCAGAGTCTATATAAACTCTGCGCCGTTCCCAGCTTTTCACATCGGACAACCAAGCAGCTCCCAACAAGTTACTCTTATTCCAATATATCCTACCGCTCAATCTCGTGGCTCAGTTTATTAAAACCTTAAACAATCTCAACATGCGTCTCTCAGCACACGTGGCCCTTGCCTTTGCCTCTTCGGCCCTTGCCTTGCTCATCGACACCCCTCCGGAGGCAACCAGGGGTTCTCCCTTGAACATAACTTGGAAGCTGGACCCGGACCAGGTCGTCTTTTACCTCTCCAACAACAATGAATCGTACTGGCCCATTGGGTTTGCCAACATTCACGATGGATCCGTCACGGCCCAGGTCCCCACGACGTATTCGTAGTAAGTTTACAGCCAGGGTAATCACAAACATGTGTTTAAGAAAAATGTCCTAACTCCCGCGTGCAGTAACACGGGTCACATTATTGCGTTTACCAACGATGGCCTTGGCCCGGTTGGGGCGTCTCAACAGTTCCCCGTGAACTAGGGTTGGGTAGCTTGATGTGTTGGGGCAAAGGGCAGTTCGATTACCATCACGACTACAACCGATGCTTGGATAGCGGTAGTGACCCCGATACATAGTTTCACAATCCAAGACTATAAAACCGTGTCATCTAGGCTTAGATAAGCGTCTGCAAGTATCTTTGTCTGGGAAAGTTATCCCGTTATTATGTTGTAGCACCCGGGGCACGATGCCACACAGATCCCTTTCGTAGGACAAGCGGCACGCCAAGACAAGAGAGATATCATCCTTGGAAATGCCAGGGATACATGAACGTTGGCGGCTCCTACAACGTACGACTGTTCCCCGGGACAAGGGACTTGGCATGTCCGTAGCTTATATCCTCGAGTAGAAAGACATGTCCGAGTTGCCACTGGCGTATTACTTTTACGTCGCTTTATCTGACAGTTGAATTATATTCCGACTATGTAGATGGATTCTTTCCTTTGCCCCAGCAGCCAGCCGCGCACACTCATCAGACCAACCTCTTCTCATCATTCCTGCTTTCCGTTTCCGTTTCCGAGTTTGATGCCTAGCGCGGTTCCCATTCCCAATGCGAGAATAACTTCAACTACAGTCGACGGTCACCCTCACGACTATACGTCCGAGTCTCTCTATTCTTAGTATCCGTTAATCAATCTCACCATTTGATTGTTCACGCAGACCAAGTCCGACCGCTCTGTACTCCATTAGCCGCGCCGGCTCGGCCCCGCCGATAAGTGGGGCGATTCCCGGGCCGGGTCCGATGCGGTTCCCTGCCCTGGGTACGGCCAAAATAGTATTACTAGGTGTCTTGCGTAATTATTTGGCACTCTTCTTTAGTTTAGATTTACTTGATATTGTAATATACTAGTTTATACTTCTTATTAGGTAAATATACTCTGCTATAAACTGAAACTATTTACTACGAGGTACCTAGTAAGCTTAAACAGCACGTCTATTCTCTTATATATATAATATAGTACTCGGATAATAGTTAGGTCAAGTTAGATACTATTATATTAGAACATCAATCACCGCACTTCCTTTGTCATACATGAAAGCAAAATCCATACTGGCGGCAGCGATGGGGTGCCGGACTCGCCAATACCAAGAATGTGCCGAGTGAGCATTACAAGGATAAAGCCGCCGCTTATCTTGTTGATCGAGTCCATTTAGAGCGACCACCTTGACAGACTATTGAGAGCTGTAGTGGCTGCTACAGACCTTGAACGGAAGATTACGACGTGCGGGCTTGCTAAGTACTAGCTGCTGCTAGCTGCCCCCGGAAGAAATGCAGAAGGGAAAATGAAGGCAGGGGAAGGAGGTTTGCGGTAGTTGTTTCATTGAAGCTATTACAAGGTCTGTAGCGAATAAAAACTTTTGCTGGGTTATTATAAGTCATCGGCCGCAGCGTTGAGTTGAAGCTGCCAAAAGGAAGCTGTCGTACGAAGCCAAGTAAAAGGGACGGCTTTGACAGGCTACGAGTTGAATTGGTCGACGAAATTGTTAGGTTTGCTGGGCCAGTGGGAAGGTAGACGCCTAAGACAGATAGCACCGAACAAAAGTTGCATACTTTCCCTTATCCTTTAGTTTCCTATCCACATCATTCAACCGTCTTGCAACTAGTACTCGCCTGGACAATACTCTTCTCAACTGCGCTTTCGTAAACGGGAATAAGCATTACGTCCAAGTCATCGATTAGCCTAGCCCGTAATCACGAATGATTTACTTGGCACATGTCCATTTATATCAGCGCAACCCCCAGGTGAGTCCATCTAGAGTCAAAGTCTTTGGATTGAAGACTTAGACTTTCAAGAGACGGCAATTTCGCACACCTGGTAGTCACAATCGATTCGTTCTGCAGCTGTGTGATTGGGGACAAAAGAATTATTGGCCGGGGCTATTGCATATTCCAGCACCTTGCACTTCTCCGCACCGAAATGCTGAAGTGCAATGTTGACAACAGGCCACTACGGCGTGAACTGTAATCTCCCACACTGACAATAACGCCGCCAATCGACTCCGCGCTTACGACAACTGACTGAATGTTTGAAGGAATTGCAGACTGGGATCTGCAGAGATACTCGGGATACAACAGGTGGCAGCTTGGCAGTCAGGATTATCAGTAATCCTGTGCGGAGCGCCAATGAGCTTGTGGCCACTTGTTCTCTCTCAGCAATCAGGCCTGCTGCTGTCTTTGGCTTTGGCCGTTGGAAAGTTGCTCCGGGGCCAGTGTGTAGAGTCAAGTGTCACTGCAGGGCAATGCAGCAGCCATCAGAGCAAAGACTTATGCGTGTGGGACAACATTGAATTGAGACATGGCCAGAGTCGATCAATTAGTAATAATTTGTTGATTGACTGATGGCCGTCGGTGGGTGGAGACGGCATTCGGATGGCGGGAGGCGATCAACAAGATCGAATTGGTGATTTTCGAGACGCTGCTCTGACTCCGGGGGAGAGATCAAAAACTACAGATAGTCGATGCGTTCGCAAATGACCAGCCATTCGAATCCAGCACTGGGCTAATCATTCGCTGGCGGTCCCAACTCGACGCACGGGTTTGGCGTCGTGGAATGGATGCATGCAGCTGGATGCGGCATGCGATGCAGACAAGAGGCTGAGGCTGAGCCAATAAAGCCATCTGGTTAGTCTACACACACAGTACGGAGGACGCGGTACATACGAAGCGAGGCAACACCCTGAGCTGACAATCGACTGTCAATTAAGTGATTATTGAGATAGATGGTGACGGAGAGACGGGGTCGAGGCTTGGCTAGCAGCTTGAGCCGTCTGGTCTGGCCAAGTAGTACTACGAATACAGTAGGCGCGAGCTACAGGCTCGACTGCATGGCAGCTCCCTGAAGGTACAGTTGATGCATAGGCCCCACTCCGCGGTGGATCACAAGCGCAGCACGAGCTGTGACTCGCTGGTTGCAGGTCTGGTGGGCTGAGCGCCGCCAAGTTCTCCGTACAGAGGTACGTAGTAGTAGCTGCAAACATTGAATCCTAAAAGGTACCGGAGGCCACAGTAAGCTTGCCAGCTCCCTTTGTGGCATGGAGCGGCTGCACTCTGAGCACAGCTAGTCCCTAGGGAAAAGGGACACTTGTTCAATTGGACTCCAGCCGCGTCTTCTCGAGTGTACAAAACCTCTCTTATCCCATCGTCCTCCCACGGCACCTCTTGAATCTTTCCTTTCCATCCCCATCCCCCTCCCCAATCCCATCGGCCGCATTTTAATCCATCGTGGGCTTTTGATTTGGGCTTCGGAAAATATCCCCCCGTCTTCTTTTGCCTTCGCACGTTTAGGCAGGCTCGTCTAGTGTAGCTCTAGCTCGCACAGTCCACACATCACACGCATTATGCAGCACAAGCGTATCGCCTTTGGCCTTTTGGCCGCCTTTGCCTCCCTGGCATCTGCCGACGACTCCGATGTTCACCAGCTGACCGAGAAGACCTTCAAGGACTTTGTCAAGGCCAATCCCTTGGTTCTGGCCGAGTGTAAGTTCCTGCCCTGCTCCCCGTTGTGAAGACGTGTCTCGCCAGCCGGGCCACGGTGGCAACTTGGTTGCCTCGCCTCATTTGTAAGCCTCTTCATACGCTAACTCGACGCTCGCTCCCTAGTCTTCGCCCCTTGGTGCGGACACTGCAAAGCCCTCGCCCCCGAATACGAGGAGGCTGCTACCACTTTGAAAGAAAAGGACATCAAGCTCGCCAAGATTGACTGCACTGAAGAAGCTGAACTCTGCAAGGAGCACGGTGTCGAGGGTTATCCCACCCTCAAGGTTTTCCGCGGCGTCGACAATGTCGCCCCCTACAATGGCCAGCGCAAGGCTGCTGCCATCACCTCTTACATGGTCAAGCAGTCGCTGCCTGCCGTTTCTCTCCTGACCAAGGATACCCTCGAGGAGTTCAAGACGGCCGACAAGGTTGTTGTCGTCGCCTACCTTGCTGCCGATGACAAGGCCTCCAACGAGACCTTCACCACTGTCGCCGAGAAGCTCCGTGACAACTATCTGTTCGGCGGTGTCAACGATGCCGCTGTTGCCGAAGCCGAGGGTGTCAAGTTCCCCTCTATTGTTCTGTACAAGTCCTTCGACGAGGGCAAGAACACCTACACTGAGAAGTTTGACGTTGAGGCCATTGAGAAATTTGCCAAGACTGCTGCCACTCCTCTCATCGGAGAGGTTGGCCCTGAGACCTATGCTGACTACATGTCCGCTGGTATTCCCCTCGCCTACATCTTCGCTGAGACCCAGGAGGAGCGCGACGGCCTCTCCAAGGACCTCAAGCCCATCGCCGAGAAGTACAAGGGCAAGATTAACTTTGCCACCATTGACGCCAAGTCATTCGGCGCTCACGCTGGCAACCTGAACCTGAAGACTGACAAGTTCCCTGCCTTCGCCATCCACGAGACTGTCAAGAACCTCAAGTTCCCTTACGACCAGGACAAGAAGATCACCAAGGACGCCATTGCCAAGTTTGCCGACGACTACTCGGCTGGCAAGATTGAGCCTAGCATCAAGTCTGAGCCCATTCCTGAGAACCAGGACGGCCCTGTTACCATCATTGTCGCCAAGAACTACGACCAGATTGTCCTTGACGATAAGAAGGATGTCCTTGTCGAGTTCTACGCCCCCTGGTGCGGTCACTGCAAGGCTCTTGCCCCTAAGTACGATCAGCTCGGCGAGGCGTACAAGAAGTCCGAGTTCAAGGACAAGGTTGTCATCGCCAAGGTCGATGCCACCGCTAACGATGTTCCTGATGACATTTCTGGCTTCCCTACCATCAAGCTCTTCCCCGCTGGCAATAAGGACGGCGCCGTTACCTACGATGGTGCCCGTACTGTTGAGGGTTTGATTGAATTCATCAAGGAGAAGGGCAAGCACAGCGCCGCCATCTCTTTCAAGGAGGAGAGCACCGAGGAAGCTGCCCCTGCCGCTTCGGAGAAGGCGGAGAAGGAGAAGAAGGAGGAAAAGACTGAGAAGGCCGAGGAGAAGGACGATGAGGATCACGATGAGCTGTAAATTTGACGAGCAATGTACTGGTTTTAAAATGAAAGGGTGCCCTTTATGATATCCGAGGGTGGGTTTCAACGCGTTGGCTTGAGTATCAAGGCTTTGTAGTTTCTGTAATATGTGCGGACGCTGATGGATCAAAAATATCATGTTACACATCTGCTTCTCGCTGTCACAATGTCCGGGACGCATCTGTTGTCCCGTGTTTTTGACATGAATGATTTAACTTTATATGTATATCAGTTGTGATGTTACACGCGTACCAGATTCCTAGCAATTGGCGCTACATGATGTGGCCACAGCAATATCCGGGGACAGCAACGACCTTGTTATTGACCTGCCTTCCTCCAACCCTTGGACCCATGCCCAACGCTGTTCATTATTTCTTCTCCTGTGTTCTTTGCTCAAGGGCCTTTACATAATTTGTCAAGCGGGTAACGGAAGCTTGCAGGGTCTGTAGCAAAAGTTAGCCGTTATCGCCTCTCCGACCCGAAACCCAGAGCCAGTGTGGGCATTGCCACACATCGAGAGAGAGCATAGATCACATCAGGGGGGGTGGGACGAACGTAAATATCCTCGCTGAGCAGGTCGTTGGAAACCTTGAACTCCTGAACGAGATAGGTGTATACGGCGCTGCCGGAAAGGACGCATCCGAACAGGAAGCCAAACAGTCTGCGCCAGTCAGTATTCCGTTGCAAGAGCCAGCCGCACACATCCCCCCGTCCCATATTGCTCGGTCCAGACCAGGAGCACCCGGATGCGTCTCTCCAGTCGGAGGGGTACAAGGGGGGAACTCACCCTCCGCGGAAAGCTCCCATCGGCCGCTTTGCCGGAAGAGGCGCCGCATCGGCCATCCGTCTCGCGGACGTGCTGAAGGTGCGCGCGCCCAGGGCTCGGGTCGTGCTCGCAAAGAGGATTCTCGAAGCTCCGGACATGTTGGGTGTCGTGTCGTGGGTGGCGAGTGCTAGATTGGGGGGGATGAAGGAGCTCAGACGACAGGCGACGGGATGGGCGTTCGGGTGTTTGGAGTAGAGAGCATGAGGTGTCTGGTGCTTCGGCAAGACCAGCGGGTTTGTTGCAGGCGGGTTGAATTGGCCCCACTTGATTGGGTGAAGCTTTCAAGGCGGATTTTCCCGGCGTTTTGGCGGAGCCCATGCATCTATGTATCTTCCCACGCGGCTGCGAGAGATGGTTGAGGCATCTACCTGCCTTTGGACCTCTTCACAACCATATCTCCGCAAAACACCCTCCATGGTGCGCGGATAGATACCCGGCGCCGGGTCTCAGCATCATGAACAACTTTGGCGTCATCGAGCTCGCCGGCGCGAAAACAACATCCGCGCCGGGATGGGCCTACGTGCCAGACACGGCCATAGCTCCCGGATCGGCTGGCATCCAGCCTGTCAACAGGAAACGGGCGCGTAACCCGACCGGGGGAGGGCCGAGCCTGAGCGACTTGACGGCGAGACAGGAAAACAAGATCCGGAAAGAGGTCGAGGCCCTGGGGAAGGACGGCTCAAGGGACAATACAATTCCTCTACCGGCGAAGAGCGGCCGCAGTACGTATTAATCACACCCATAGAACACCCGGGATTGTTGCTGAGAACGCGCGCGAGAAACTAATGGTCGATAGCGCAAACGAAATTCACCCCCAACGTCCGCAAAGTGATGCAGTCCCAAAAGACGTTTGCGAACCACCTCGACGACTACCTCGCCCTGCAGGCCCTTGAGGCCCAGCCGTCGTCCAACGCGAGCAAGCGGCCTGGGGCCGGCAAAAAGGACACCGCGGCCTCCACGCCCAGACAATCTACGCATGATGACGACGTCGCCATGACGGACGACCTGCCCCCCGTCTTGCCGCCGCCGTGCAAGGCGCCGCCTGCACCGCACCCCAGCGATGGCGACCCGCTGCTCGCGTCTCGCGTGCCAGAGATGCCGTCCGATGCGGAGCTGCGCGGGTTATTGGCGCACCCGCCATTGTCGTATTTCGAGGCGCTGGGGAACCTGGACGACAGATATCCGACGAGGGTGTTTTGTGAAGTTTGCGGGTACTGGGGGCGGGTGAGGTGTTTGAAGTGCGGGACGAGAGTATGTGCGCTGGATTGTTTGGAGACGCATAGGGAGGAGTGTGTGACTCGATATGGACTGTGAGCCGTGGCCCGACGACCGATTCAGAGCCGACTAGTTACATGTTTGAACCGTTGGGCAAGGAGCCGGCGGGTGCAGGACAAGATCGATCGAGTCTCCTCATACAACTGGACGAAGAGATATTTGGGGAGAGGTCAGTCATGGAATCTCCCCGCTGGGAACGAACTGGTGGCTTTGGGTCAATAGATGTGTGGTACGCTGGGAAGGCTGGGTTGGGCGTTTTGCATTGCTGGCGTTTGGGGTGGATGTAATGGCATGATACCCAGATAGAGGACCGACTGTATGGTTAGGTTCTTTGCTTTCACATACCCTTTTCTTTTGCCACTTGCCATCACAGGTCGCGTCTCGTTTGAGTCGTATTGTGCCATTCATGGAGACCCTTGTATTACTCGATTCTCTGACATTGGGCCAACCACCATGGCCCGAATAAATCGTGGCTCAGTTTAGAACCAGGCCTAGTCTGATTTCATCACATGCAGACAGCACAGCGTCCCTGGGGAAGAGGTATCCGAAACCACACTCGCGGCAACATCTTGGGAGCCTGCCGGCGCTGCGTGTCAAACCCCACCTTTCACTTGGTGAAGATGAAGTTTTGCTGCTTGCCTCCAAGTAACTTACTCCGTAGGTATTTAAGGGTATCTCGTGCTTGCCCCTCCAAAAATAGCTTTCGATATTCAAGCTCGACTCTTTACCACCCGCTCCTCATAGCGGCCCGAAGAACCGGCCGAGTACACGCCGTTGACCCTTCAAGCCATGCCGTCCACGCCCAGTTGATGCTCTTAAGAAGGGAGGGCGCACATATATAGGGCTGATGTTCCTTAACGTAATGGTGATGTGAGAATCCTTCCCGGAGGCATTTAGCCAAGTGCTGGCCAAGAGGACAATGAGATACTTGACCCCATCTCCAACTTTACTACTATCAGGAGAGCACGCATTTCGTACCACTTGAAACGACCAAGGATATCCCTTGACGTGTTCAAGTACACAAGTACAAAGAATAGTATCTGGCCAGCTACCGCGTGCCTGATGGCGCCGAATCCACGGTGTACAGATATGGCCACCTGGTTGATTTGGGCCGTGAGCCTCGCATATTGAACGCCCAAAGCATCAAAGGCTTCTCGGCGTTCAGCACAAGTGTCGACCGTGGCGACACCATGGATAAAACTAACGCCGTCTAGAACCTAGCCGCCTACCAGCTTATCAACAGCAAAGAAAGCCTGTCTAGAGAACTGCTAGCATCTCGCCTGCCGACAAGAACTCTCTAGCCGAGAGCAACAAGTCTCCCGAGAAGGCTGCCCATGGCAGGATTGTTCAAGACTAGAAGCTCTTTTCCTAGGACGATGTATCCCGATTCGGCATTGTGGCCGCCGCACAGCACCCATATCTAGGAGTCACTGACGGCGCGGCATCTGCAAGGCCGATGTTGGGAAGGTCGCTGGCTACTAGGATCGCTGCGAGGAGAACATGTTCACCTCTGACATGGAGAGGCATGAGTTGAACTCCACGGCCTTTGCCTGTCATGGCAATATCCTTGCTCTCTCGGGTGTGACGTATAAGGACTTGGCAGGCGCAGCCAACTCGAGCATCTCACAACCGAAACAACTTGTCCGGTGCTCTGAATGGCCTTGTGTGCGTGCGTTGACTCCAGTAGGATAATAATTCTAGCATCTTTGCAGGATCGCTCAGATGCACAAAAGATGCGTTTCTAACGTCGGGGGCGGCGCGTGTGAAGACATATATCTCTCGAGGTGATAGATCCAAAATAAAACAAAAGGTACTTTCGACTTCTTGTACAGTGTCTGATGCTTCGCCTTGATTTTTGCTGAAACTGTCTACGCCATCAGAGAAGTACATCGGCAACATTGCCGTTTGATATAGAGCGAGTCTAGCCTCGAGCATGTCTCTGTACTCCCTTACCTTTGGAATCGGAGTCCAGGGGGGAGGAGAATCATGGCTGTGGTGCTTCCTATGACTCCAAGAGACACAACACCCTGAGACGAAACTACGAATATTGCACGATCCTGCTTGATTTCAACCTGTCCCGGGTGGTTCGAGCATCGATGTGTCCAGGCCAAGGACTTGACACTCGCGGATGGCGCCTGCGTTGAGAAGGACTTGCTCTCAAGCGATGCCGGCCCAGTCACGATTCACTGGACAATTTCGCGACAATGATTGATACTCCAACGGAGCATCTTGCAGGCAAGTGGTCGTTCTGGCTCGGCCCTCAACAGGTGCTCGTTGACCTCCATCAACAGCTACGTCAAGGAAGTAAAGCAGACCTGCTACGAAAGTGAGCCTGTTTGCTGACCTCAACCTCTCAACTGCAACACGTTCCAGAATGGGGTTCACACGACCCCGGCTGAACCAATATTGTGCAACATCATCTTCGGTAAGTCCTTGTCAAGGCGTTTCCATTCCCCCGTGGCTCACTCTCTCACCCTCTCACCAGCAGTCTGTGACGGCAAGAATCGTTGGGCACATTTTTGTGCTTTTAGAACAAAGAAAAGCCCTTGCCTTGGCATGCTCATACTACACGCAACACTACCGACCATCTCTTCTCATTCAACACCATCACGTGCTACCACATTTTCGTCTTCGCAAGAAGAGTCCCTGGAGTGTGAGGAGGAGAAAGTCACGCGCCGTCAACGTATTGCAGTTGCGAACAAAACGGCGGGTGACCAGACAAAAACCGAGCATATTCCCCGCGCAAGGCGCTCCAGAGCAGCCGGGCAAGCTCAGAGACGAGAGACGGGTCAGCCGCGGGTGCTACAAGCGGAAAATCATACAGTTATTTGGGTAATGTCATTTCTTTTCCTTGTGGTAAGAGCGGCAAAGGGGCAGTGAGCGAGGACGAGCGGTGACGCATCATCCAAAACTGCACATATGGGACGTGGTGTGGCACCACCGTGTTGCTATCCAGGACAAGGATGATGATATATGACATGTTGGAAAGGATATGACCTGCAGCGGAAAAGGAAACCAGTTCTTCGCCTCACCTCATGCGAGGAACCTTGCCGGAGCGTCCTTTCCCCCGGAACGGAGTACGGAGTAGCTACAGGTAGTTTATCGAGGCGCAACGGCACGGGGGTGGATCTATGGAGAAATGCGAGTGAGGGTAGGATAGGATCAATAGAATACTAGCTAGCAGTGGGGAACAGACAGGAGAGCATTTCGATATGACTGCTCCGGTTCGTGTCTCCCTATCTTGGGCGACGATGTCACTATCTGGAATTGTCTTCGTGCCGCTCCAGCATTCTCCAGAGGGCTAAGCCATCTGCCAAGGTCAGGGTTGAGATAAACAGGTCTCGTATCCATGACACGTGTTTGACGGCGGAAGAATAAGGTTGGCGTCGGCAAGAAAAAATGTCCGGGCGAAAGGGTCTTGGGATTTTTGCAACACAGGGTCTGTGGGCGGCCAGTCGGTTTTCAAGGCAGAAACAAGGCCAAGTTTTGCTAGTTTCGCAGAAGAATATCCATCCCTTTGTTTTGTAGAGCACGGTCCGCTTGTTTTAGGATAAATGTGGCTGTGGAGAGGAGAAAGGAGAGAGGAAACTTGACCAACTCCATAATATTGATGGATGAGGTGAAAGGAGCTGTCCCCCTATACTCATGCGACGAGTCATGAAAGACATGTTGTAAATGATATGGCCGACTGGGTCAGGTTGGGCGTTCCTAGCAGGATTCGGTCACATACCCATGAGTCTACCGAATGCTGTAGTGGTGCTTCCATTCGCCGCCCGTCCTGCTTCACCCAAGGGAACTCACTTGGTGATAGTACAATCTTTATGCCAGAGTGTGTCGGCCCATGGACTTGCAGATAGCGTGCCTGTGACTATTGACAATTCACTCGGCTACCGAAGCCCTGCATGTTAAAACTGAACCTGCCACAATGAGGAAGAGGCACGAGCATGTACAAGAACAATTTTTAGATGACATGTTCTCTGCACTCCGTATGTAGATCACCACATAATCAGGGCTTGGGTCTAGTTGTTACCTCCCCAGAGCAAAGGCGGGAGGTTGGCACGAGCTCGCAGGTGCCACCGACTGACCATTTACACCGGACCCTTCCTCCAGCTGTCTTCTTGCACCGCAGCCGAGTCTTTTGAAGCAGGGACAAATCCAGGAACAGCGTCCTAGTGGGCCATATGTATTGAATACTCCATAGATAGGGCAGAGCAGCTACGCGCCGGTTGCAGGGCGCATTGACCCATATCATGTTATGCCGTACTCCGTATAGTTGATGTATTGCGTAGTTCGATGTTGAGGTGACGCACATTGATGCTGCAAGGGGCCGGCTTCAGAACCTGAGTGGAACATGGACAATCGGGTTTCGCCCAACAAGGCAGTTAAATCGCAGACAACAACACAGTACATCCAATCTATGATGGACGTTCGGAACCACGAAGCCGTTGTAGCGGAGGCCAGAGACGGCAAGAGGGCACGTTCATGACAAACTGGCAAGGCGCAGCCGGTTGGGAGTGTAGTTAGCAGAAGCGGCTATAATCAACGACTACTCCGTACGAAGTACACCGTAACTGAGCTGGAGAGCAAAGAGTGGTGTGACACAGCGTCCAGAGACACAGGGGTATGCATAGCGGGCATTTCTGTAAGAGGAAAAAAGCCGTTGATGCCAGGGCTGCCGCGAGTTCGGGATCAGCCTGAGCCGACGAATCAACAAACCGTGGAGAGTGAACCTTGCGATAGATTAAAAAACATGATTTCCGGGCCGAGTTTGACAAGTCCGGGGAGCGAGAACCACCAACATGCAGCGCCTTCTGAATCCACGTGCCAAGTTCGATGTTTCAACGCGTCGTGAAAGCATCAAGAAGACTTATTAGCAGTCCTCTACTCCAGAACGTGCGTCGCAAATAGCGACAAGAGAAAAACCAACGGCAACATGGCGCATTCTGCAGATTGCCCGCGACTCAAGAGGCCAACGGAGGTGTAGCGTACTGAGCAGTCTCGTCCGGCTCAGAAGCCTCAAACCATCAACCACGGAAGCAAGCGCAGGGCGACATCAAAGGCATGAAAAATCCAGCGGGGCGGTGACACTTGCACCACATGCAGCGTGATATGTCACATATGTATGTACGGAGTATGTGGACACTCGACTCTTCAAGGGCGGGGCTGGACAGTGCTGTCTGTCCACGAGGTTGGATTCCAGAACAGGCTGGCCCTGCCCCGACGTTTATTCCAGACGCTGTACTCCGTACTCCGTAGTATGATAGTACTTAATAATAGAAACGAGGTGCATCTGGAGAGCGAGACAACTGATGAAAGCCGAGTGACGGATGGGGCCGAAGTGGAATGACCACTACTGGTACGCTGTCGGGAGTACAATACTAGTACTAGTTGCTCAGCCACCTTCGAAGCCCGTAAGTGCGGCAAAATACCCTCGACCTTGGGCGGAAAGGACCTCTGATGAGGCTATTCGGCATAAATCTGGGACCGCGCTGGCCACTCATGAGCTTTTGGATAGCCGAGGATGAGACCGCGGGGTAAGCCAAATGGTCGGTTCGCCTTGGGCATGCTCATTTCCTCGAAGCCATCAGGAAAATGCTGTCTCGCACATGCGGAATTAGAGGTCCCTGGAGCAGTGCTCCGTAGCTCAGCGAGAAACCAAAAGCCAGGGATTAGGAGTTGGAGTCTTGGGTGTTTGGGCAGGGGCTGCTCACCGGTGTGGACCCGAACCCTCCAACAGGGACGCATTGATGCCAATCACCAAATCAGGAAGATTGCAAAGTTGAAAGGGAATTGCAACCACAAAAAGCCCGTCCTATAAGCCAAATGTAGTAGCGTGATATGGGCGATATAGCCAGACGCTGGCCTGGCCACGCATCAGCCGAGCCATGTCCAAGGACCTTCCTAGAACGATGCCAAGGAGCATTCACAACTGCGTGTCTCGGGGCTTCCTCGAATCATGCTCACGGCGTCATCTACACGACGAAACCAGAGTGGTGACTGGTCGATCAGAGCCGGCAGAACAAAGTGTGGAGCATCAAAGCATACCCTAGCAAGCGGCCCGTGAGGCGTGAGAACAGGTGGGTGTACGCCGTACCATGGGGCTCATAGAGCCGGGGCTTGAAGCAATAGATCATTTATCATAAAAGATAGAAACACAGACCTGTGGAACAGATTTACCAAGAAGTCGTGCTGGATACAGACCCCAGGACTGTCT